TAATGTACGTTATGGATAAATGTCATGTAAACAAATCCTAAAGTTACCTACGTATGATTGTGTTTCCTTAGCATATAATAAAAATTCGATGTAATCAAATAGATACTTAGTATTTTTAAATTTAATGTAATTTTTCTTGTAATATGAGCAATCAAGAAATTGTATAATATATTTTAATCCCATTTTTTTAGAAAAGTATTTAGGTCTTTACAGATTACAGAGTATTTAAGAGAGAATTATTTCGAAAATTATTATAAAAATCTCTAAAACCAATAATTTTTTATTTATTTTTACATATTTTTGTAAATTAAAAAGAAAATAAGAATTATATAATATGCATATTATATAACATATTATATTACATATTATATAACTAAAATAATAAACCAGTTAAAATGCACAAATGGCATACTTATAATCGTGCTTTGTACTCTGTCAAATGATTTAATAAAAGTATTGTAAAAGTATTCTATGACATTCATTTGTTTATTCATTTTTTTCTCGAAGTTAATATTTTTTTATGCGACGCGGTAGCATCGCAACGTCAAGTACATAAAAGAAATAAATTCATTGAGAGTCACTATTTTCGATACGTCGAAACGCTTTCAAGTAGCTTATTTGGATTTTATTAAATCAAATAAACTTTCTTTAAAAATATCTCATTAAAATATTAAAATTAAAATATCTCAGGAAACAAAGCCGTAATGAAAAATCTAATAACACTTTTTAATACAATGTTGATGCATAGTTTCGATTGCGATCAGTTTAAATTAATTGATATAGAGTCAATTCTGATGTACGATAATCATATATTAGAATTGTGATTATTTTTGTTTGAATTTTTCAATTTTTAGACATTCGTATGTATGTATGTACATACATATGCAAAGCGATTTTGTTCCTAATAACGTTAGAAACGTTTATTATTACAATGACTATTATTATGACTATATATCATAGATAAATGCACAAATGGCAATCTTAATAATCGACAAATATCAGTATAATATAGTTAGTAATATCAAAAATTACTTTTGAACTTTATAAATATTTCACAAAATTCTAAATGTTTCATGTAAAATAATTATAATATAAAAATTATACACTATAATCTTTTCTATTTTGTACAATATACAGGGTGAGGCATCTAAAACAGACCACCTGAATAACTCCGTTGGTAAGCCGAATACAAAAAAATTGTTCAGACAAAAGTTGTATGGTTTCAAGGGGGACATATGATGGTGTCATTAGTTTAATCTTGAAGAGCCACCCGAAGGTCACGTGAAGGTCAGCTCCAACTTTTTAAATGGGACACCTTATATGCTTTTGCATATTTTTGTAGCTCATCTCAAGAGCTTTCCAAAACACTACAATTATGTTAGTTTTCATTAAATACTTTCCAAGTTATGAGGCTTGAAATCATTTTTTAATTTTACATAAACCGTAAAATATCTTGTAAAATATTCATTTTTCGATTATTTTACCTTAATACTTTTATGTACAAAATAATGAGAAGAATCAATTGGTGTAAAGAAAACACATAATTGCTTCGAACAAAAAAATGTAATTGTTAATTGCAAATTACATTTTTTTGTTCGAAGCAATTATGTGTTTTCTTTACACCAATTGATTCTTCTCATTATTTTGTACATAAAAGTATTAAGGTAAAATAATCGAAAAATGAATATTTTACAAGATATTTTACGGTTTATGTAAAATTAAAAAATGATTTCAAGCCTCATAACTTGGAAAGTATTTAATGAAAACTAACATAATTGTAGTGTTTTGGAAAGCTCTTGAGATGAGCTACAAAAATATGCAAAAGCATATAAGGTGTCCCATTTAAAAAGTTGGAGCTGACCTTCACGTGACCTTCGGGTGGCTCTTCAAGATTAAACTAATGACACCATCATATGTCCCCCTTGAAACCATACAACTTTTGTCTGAACAATTTTTTTATATTCGGCTTATCAACGGAGTTATTCAGGTGGCCTGTTTTAGATGCCTCACCCTGTATTTCCTTTTTCACAAATAATTGTATAATTATAATAATATTGTGATAAATGAATAAAATAAGAAAAAATAATGAAATCAAAATTCTTCTTTCTTTTTTTAACTTTGTAAAACTAAATTTATTTGATTCTAAAATTCAAATGTAACTTTTCGAAACAAATCTGTCATAAGATCATTTGTAAGTATCTCGATTGATAAAAGGAACTTGAAGAACAAAAATTGTAAGAAAATTTTATAAAAATTTGTTTTGACACATTGAAACATTGATATGATTTAAAACATTGATATCTGTAATGATTGACAGTTTTAGAAATACAAAATGAATATAGAATAAATATAGAAAAATTTTTGAAGGGAGATACACTAATTATAATTATAATTATATTCCTACATATTTAGCATATACATAAAAGTATTTAAATTTTATTTTTAAATGTTATATATTACACGAAAAATACAGCTTATTATCATAATTACATTAATATGATAGCGTTTGTGTCATAAATAATTGTAACATATATTAGATTATAAAGATCAAAATATGTACAATATTTAATTAATTTTAATATTAATTTTTGCATTCTTATTTAATATTAATTTTATACATGTGTGTGTGTGTAAAATCGAAATTTCAAATATCATATATTAAACATAATATTACTTTATATCTATTGACGAATATTGCTATTTGCATTATTATATCTTTAAAAGTCTAAACGAGTAGATTTTCAAGCAACTATTCACTAATAAAAAATTTATATCTGGATGCGATTTAAAAGAATCCGTGAATATACTTTATTTTTAATATTTATAGAAGAATAAAAGTAAAATTATTATAACAATTATTCATAATAAAACTTATAAAATAAATTCTTCTTACATTCTTACATAATTTCCTGAAAACGACTCAAGTGTTTTAAGATTTCGGACTAGCGTAATTCTATCTTGTAATTGATTAATGTATTTATAATTATATTTAATGTGGTCTCCGGATTGTCCGGAAAAGCTATTGTTTTGCAATTAATCTAAAATATTATTATTCTCTCGTTTATTGTATGATTAAAGTAATATAGAAAGTGCCCTAAAATCGCCATTCTTCCTCTTAATGACTGAATCAAGAACATTTTAAAATGAAAATCTTAATACAAAATTCTTAGATCGTTTCAAGACGAAAATTTGAATACAAGATTGTTGAATCTATAGTTTTTAAACGGGAAAAAATTATATTTTGTCAATAACAGAGTTTTTGCGCAATAAATCATGCAAACAATATGTAATAAATTCTAAAATAGTTATGTATTAATTAATAAATACATTTTTATTAATAAATAATAAATTCTTTTCATAAAACAAAAACATGATAGTATTCCTTCTCGTTTATTGTATGATTAAAGTAAATATAGAAAGTGCCCTAAAATCGCCATTCTTCCTCTTAATGACTGAATCAAGAACATTTTAAAATGAAAATCTTAATACAAAATTCTTAGATCGTTTCAAGACGAAAATTTGAATACAAGATTGTTGAATCTATAGTTTTTAAACGGGAAAAAAATTATATTTTGTCAATAACAGAGTTTTTGCGCAATAAATCATGCAAAACAATATGACAAGTGAAAGAAAAATGAAAGGGGTATCTTTTTTATAATATATGATATTTCAATTATCATTTATAAAAGCATTCTCATTATATATTTTCTTGCTTCTCTACTGCGATAATATATTCTTTTCATGAATAACGTAAGAACTAAAGGTCTCTTAAAAATGATTTAAATGAAAATTTACGATATATTTCAATTTCAGCTATCAAAATGATCGATCATTATTATTTCCATAAAAGCGTCTATTATGTTACACTGCGAGATCAATAAATTGTAATAAAATTATGCTTGACGTTTTATTTAGCATTTCAGAATGATCGCAATGAAATATAAATTGCAACCATTTCAGTAGAAATTAAATCAATGAATTTTACTTCACTTAAACCATTTTTTAAATACTTTTTATTCTTGCATTCATTATTCTTAAAAAGAATGTGCTAATGCAATACGTACAGGAACAAAAAACATAAAATGAGAATATGATTGTAAATTTATACTAATAATATCATAAAAACAAGGCATTCATAAGGTCATTTCTTTCACGTGTCATTTAATAGTGCGCATGAAATATCGATTCAATTCGTAAAACGTAATTGCTTCTCGTTTGAAAAGTATTATGGCATAGACATTTTTGTATTAGAATTTTTGTTTTAAAATATTTCAAAGAATCTGCCATTAAGAGAAAATACGGTTTAAAATATGTGTATGGCATAAAAGCGAAAATAAAAATACTTAATAATAAGAAATAGTAGATAAATAAATATATTGTGTTTCAAAAATTGACCTTGAATAGTTTATAATATTTTTCACAAAATAACTGTTGGACCAAAACATGTTCGTCAGTTACTTTTTTATTAAAACCATCTACAAACTCACTTATCTGAAAAAAATTACAATATTAGTTTGTTAATAAATAATTAGTGATTTAATCTTGCGTTATCATTCAATTTTTGCGAAAATTAAATGTAATATAATTTTGTATTTTCAGTACAATTATAATAATCCTAGAAAGTTGTCCTAATTAACATTTTTTATTTATTTATTTATAAATAAATTTATAAAGTTTACCTGATTAAGTTGTTTCGCAGAATATACATGATTAATAATGTAAATTAATGTTGCAGCAATGTATTTTCTATAAATAAAATATAGTAAACTTATAATTAATATATATGATAATCTTTATATGATACATGTATTATGAATTGATAAAAGTACAAAAAAAGATATCACATATATTACCTGCGTATCTTCTTTAAATTTCTTAATATAAGATTAAGTATTTCCTTATCATTTGCGTGCCTTGCAATGATATAATGAAAATCATAAAGAACATTTTTTCTTCCTTTAACGTAGTCATTGAATAACATATCTATATATTTGATAATAACAACAGAATCACGGGAACAAGCAAGGGATTTCGAAGTGATTACGTTAGGATTCTTAATATGTATATTCCATACTTTGTTCCAAATACTACTGCTAGCTCTCATTAAATCGTTACAGAACGTCCAATCTCTCCACCAAGGTAAAAGTCTATGATATTCAGAAAAAAATTAAAAATCTATTAGAAAAATTCAATTCAAAGTCTTAGAAATCCCGTGTTATTCATCAAGTATGTATCAAGAAGGAAATTATGAAAATTGAAAATTGAAAAAAAATTACCTGTTTTTTTTAGTTTTCGTGAGATATTGATGCAATTTGATTTCGGCTGTTTTCATGCAATTTGACGCACCGAGAATACATGCCCATTTATTAGCTTCTTGTTTTAAGCAGTCAATTAAATCGTCAGTTTTTTTGTTAGGTTTTTTATCATAATTGATGTTTCGAAAAAGTCCGTTCAAACTGTTCAAGATTTTCGTCTAGTAACAAAACAATACTATTTATTTTACTGGTTATTTGTAAAAGATTGTAATGCTTGAAGGAATTTGATACTAATAAATCTTCGCTATTTGATTAAAAAAGTGAATATAATATTATTCTAAAATTTCTCAATCTCTTTAAATCATTATAAAAAGGTGCAGCGTGCACAGATACGTATACATAAAAACTTACACGTACGTAAAAATACACACACACAAATACAAATATACACACATACACGTGCTTATAGGTATATTTTTAAAACAATATAAAAAGATTCAGATAAGAAATGTGTCAATAAGAGTCAAACGCATAACCAAGTGATCAATATTTATAATAAAATATTTCAGTATTTTGAACGAGGGATCATATAGTATAAGATTTGCCTGCCTGTTATATTTAATGTTGACATGTTTTCGAAGTCATGTAATTGCAATGTTAACATATTTTCAAAAAGTCATATAATTTAAATTTAAATTTAAACTTCTTTCACTTATGTGTAACTGACATTACTTATCTTGTATTATATTCATGTTCGATCGTTATTACTTATATATATATATATATATATATATATATATATATATATATGTATATATAGTATTTATTAGTAAAAATTTGTTGAAGATAAATTTAGTCCATCTCTTTCTTTAAATGTTGTCTTATAAACTAGATTCAAATAAAAAATCATGTACAGAACTAGCGATAGTAACTAACAATTTTGTTCATATGTTAATACAATTTATTAACAAAAATAGTTAATATTTGCGAAGTACTATATAATTTAAAGTTTATACTTTATATATAATAATTATACATTTAACATAATGTTCGAAAAATTTATGTATATGATCTATTTTATTTCTTATATTGTAACTTATATAGAAGATTAAGTAAATTTCACTAAATAATTGCTAACATTATGAAATGTCTTTCTTTTTTTTCTTTAATCTATATAAAATATATCATAATTTTAATTTCTAAAAAAAAAATTTCCTTATAGTAAATTTAAAATTATTTAAATTCAAAGTTAGTATAAAATGTTACATTTTTGAAATTATTCACATTTTATTAATAATTTCATTAATGTTGAAAACAATAAGTTGTAGAAAATAAACTCGTCAAACTTGCTTTTTAACTAATTTAAATTGTATTATCTATATACATTTTGCATTTTTATAAATGTATAAATACTTTTCTGCAATAACTTACCTTATTATGTTGAAATTATAATAGATTAAGATATAATTACTTGTTGAAAGTAATTGCAATTAGCACAGTATTATCACAATTTGTCAATGCCAAACATATATATGTGTATTTGCGATCTTACCATTTCTAAAGATCATTGAAAACTAATGAATTCGATACATTATAGCTGGTACATTATAGCTGATGTCATGTAAACAAATCATAAAGTCATGTATGATTGTTTCCTTAGTTTCTTAATATCATCAAGATTCTATGTATAATCAAATAAAGCATGTTTCAAATTTAACGTAATTTTTATTAATTTTGAGTTATTAACGTAATTTTTCATAAAAAAAATAAATCAAAAAACTGTATGATAGATAGATAGATAGTATGATAGATAGATCTTATTAATCTTATTAATCAAATACAATAGTTAACAATATCAAAAATTACTTTTAAACTTTATAAATAATATTTCGCAAAATTCTAAATAATATTACATACAAAATAATTATAGTATAAAAATGACACCTTTTCTATTTTGTACAATATATTTTCTTTCTCACAATATAATTACAATAACATTATGATAAATAAATAAAATAAAAATAATGAAAACAAAATTCTTCTTTCTTTTGTAAAATTAGATTCATTTGATTCTATAATTCAAATTTAACTTTTCGAAACAAATCTGACATAAGAAGATTATTTAAAAGTATTCGATTAAAAGAAACTTGAAGGTTGAGAAAAACTTGTAAGAAAATTTGATAAAAATACTGGTGAGAAAATAAAAACTCGTATGAGCATTGATATCTGTAATGATTGACAATTAGTTTTAGAAATATAAAATAAATATAGAATAAATATAAAAAAATTCTTCGAGAGATACACTAATTACAATTATAATTACATTCTTACATATTAGTCAAGCATATACATAAAACTATTTAAATTTTATTTTTAAATGTTATATGCTAGGTACACGAAAAATATTATTATAATTTTATATTTAAAAACTGAGAAATATTGGAATAACAAAAATGTGATATAGCGTTACGTCATAAATTATTGTAACATGTAATAGAATTTATAAAAAATTAAAAAATGTACAATATTTAATTAATTTTGATAATTTATTACTTTATATCGTATAAAATTATTAAGAACACAGTGATATGTGTATACATTTAATATTACGTAATCTTTAGAACATTATTATATATTATAATTTTATATATAGTATATCATAATTTTATATATGTATAGTATATCATATATATACAATATACACAATACCTAAAGAGCACGCATTAATAATTTTATCAATTTTTGATGCTTTTATTTTTATAACGCACACTTATTTTATTCTAATTTCTTATAGTTCATTCATCGTAGAATTTGTTTGTAGATATTGTTTTTAAACTTTACTTTAACTTAATATAGCCAAATATAATGAAAATATAACCAAATATAATAAAGTCAAATGATTAATTAATTAAATAATTTGTAATATGATAAAAGTTATACAGACACATGAATTTTATATTTTATTAGAAAATATAATGTACAGAAATTTGTAGTAATTTGGCTTTATTTGAGTTAAAATAAAATTATTCAAATATTTAACAAACGATCGTAAAATCGAGCGATCCTTACGATGAGCGTGAAATATTTATGCTTATTTGTCGGTAATTAATTGGCAAAAGGAGTGTTTCCTTTTTCGATCTCTGAGTAGAGATCGAGCGAGAAAGGCCAGGATCAACAAAAGGTAAGTTCAACTGGCCTGAAGAAAAGTTTTATATACAATAGTACGTAATGTCGGAGCCTGTGTGGTCTTGCACGCTGCGTCGCAGATTCGCCTTGGACGAGAAATAAGCAAAGCGCGGGTTCGAGGCCACACCAGGGATGCAAGATTGTCTCCGCAAGCAACATGCCACGCGTAGTGGAGAGGGTAACATCTTCTTCTTCTTCTTCTTCTTCTGTTAATGGCACCGGGCAATTTAGACTATGCCCATGCTGCCAGATGACTTCATAGGTCGCATAAATTCCATGAGGAGAAAATCGAGCACATTTGGTCAGTTATAATTCGGATGAGTTATATGAGCAGTTCCGAATTTCGAAGGAAAGACAGAATAGGATTAATGATTTTAATGGTAGGATTCTTTAAAATGACAAACACATCATAAGGGGGAGGCGAATCCAGGACCCCTCTCAACGATTGCAACAGCCGAACACGATGACACACAAACATCGGGCAGGACCACAAGACGTGATTGATATCTTAGCGGGGCGATCCACACGGACAATCAGGACGCCGGACAAGGCCACATCTATGGAGGCTGAAATTCAAATTGTAGTGGTTAGACCTGATTCTACAAATAGAGGCAATTTCTATTCGACCAAGGTCAAGCTTCGCAAATCAAGATAGAGAGGGAGATAGTAGTCGATCGCTTCCCCCGCCGAGCGGCATACCCTGCCAGAAGATCCGCTGTTTCATTTCCCAGAATACCTACGTGGGAAGGAATCCAAACAATGACGACATCCAAATTCTGCAAAAAAGCTGACCTCAACTTGTTCTTCAATGCAAAAATAAGATCTGAAAGATCTCTGTCCAATGAACTATTAGCCAGAATCTCCACAACGCTGCGGGAATCAGTAAATATCGAGGATCTTTGATACCTCTTTCCAAGATGCAATCCATAGCACAAATGATGGCGATACACTCTGCCGAAAAAATTGAGAAGTAGCCATCTAGCTTATATTTCTTCTGTATCGAGATATCAGGAGAATAAAAAGCGCCTAAATGCGGGAGCGACTCAGACTTAGATGCATCCGTAAAGAAAGAGCATCTGTTCCCGATAAGATACGATAAATGCGAGAGAAAAACAAGCTGAGGAAAAGGTGCGGAAGCGATGTCATCCACGACTAATGAAGGAGTATAGTCGACTTTCGAAGCAAAGGTAGAAATTTCGTAGGAAAATAAATATAGCGGAATCTTTGTAAAGGTCGCAATCTTAGGCTTATAATCCCTCACTGAGCGGAATGCCCGGTAGAGAGGGAATCTATTAAGGAGATCAGTTCGAAAGCCCGACTCAAAGAGAGAGAAGTGCAAATCCTGAAGCTTATTGATCAGAACGTTAGGTCTGATGGCGTAAGATTTAATCAAGAACTTCTGTGCCAAATAATTGGATCTGTAACGGGCAGGGCAAACACCCGATTCAGCATACACAATATTACACAGAGTAGAACTTGTAAGACCAATACAATATCTTAGGGCCCTACGAGATATCCTCTCAAAGCGCTCCGTAAGAGCCTTATTATGGTACGGGAAAAAAAAAGAAGCATAGACTTCTTATTAAGGTTTTATATATGCCCAACAGAGTCCTAGGGTCAGACCCCCACCAAATCCCCCTCAAGAATTTAATAATATTTGAAAGCTTGCTACATTTATTAATGATTCGCTCGGCATGCAAGCCCCCCGTGAGACGCGAATCAACGAGAACCCCCAAAAACCTGACGGAAGGCACCGGGTAAAGACTGGAATCACCACACGAACAGAACTATCCACCGGGATACTTCTTTTTTTGGTAAAAATCATTAGAGCCGATTTAGAGGAGGAGACATCCAGACCCCTTTCGAGCAAAAAAGAAGAAAGCGCATTCGCGGATCGCTTGAGAGCCAACAAGGAGGACGCGACGTCAGGAGAGCGAGCATGCAGGGCAATGTCATCCGCAAATTGAACCGCACGGCATCCACGAACCAAGGTGGACCCACGTTCATAATATCGGGATCCGTGCATAATATCGGGATAATCGGCCCAGCAGTGCGCCTTCGTGTATGAGATGAAGAAAGGATTCTTGAAGCATTTTATCATCGTATCATTATCAATTATTAACGTGTGCAATACATTTTATCGAGGGATTTTCAACCACGGATCAATTTTTGTAAAGGTACTGTCACCATTAATTTTTTACATTTACGATATATTCAACTAATAGTAATGGTATTTTGAATAATTTTCAAATTGAGAGTGAAATAGGCCTATGGGGGGAACCACTATAAAAAAAGCGCACCATGCTATCTACCGCAAGGTGGATAGCATGGTGGAAATGATAGCGCATCATTTTCTCACCACTAAAAGGACGGGTCATTTTTCGACACGGTATTGCGATATATCGCAAATCACCATCATGTCTTGGAGAGCGACCCGCCCACCGCTTCGCCGCGCTCGTAGTATCGGATTACAGTGGAACGACTCTCGTCGCCGCGCACTTCTACTCACGCAGATTAGCCGATCTTCTTTATTTAATTTTTCGTTAATTATTGCGACGATCCCAAAACAATACAGGTCATTTCTTCTTAATTTGAGCTAATTACTTCCTTATTTCGTTAAGTTCGAAAATTGACGGACACCCTGTATATGTGTATATATATATATATATATATATATATATATATATATATATATATATACAGGTATTTTCAATAATTTTTCAAAAATTTTAATAAATTATATTTTTATATATTTATATTTTAATAAATTATATTTTTATATAATTATAACTTTATAGCTTAAAATGTTTTAATACGCTTTCAAAAAAACCAAAATATGAGGATTATTTTTCTCCATATAAACAATAAAAATATATCATTTTGTATTATTTATATTAAAAGACATACTTTTAATATAAACAGAAAATTATTTTCAATTGCGCACCTGTTGCATTCATAGACGTATATAACTAGACTGCGCATGCTGTGCTAGCCATTGAAGCAAACATTTAAAAAGAGAAAGCAATATCGGGGGATCTCTGTCTCACTCTAAATCACACCGTGGAGGGGGAAGTGAACTCTTTTCCCCTCAAGACTTTTACTCTCATTCTGCTTCCCCCACTTTTCTTACTGTGCGAGAGAGAAAGAGATCCTCCGAGCCATTTTCTATCTCACTTCATTGCTTCAACGGCCAGCATAGCATGCGCAGTCTATGTATATATGTCTATGGGATAAAATGATACCCGAGTACATTCGGATGATGTTTCCGAACGCAGCCCTAATAATGCATCATTGGGAGTGGTAGGTGGCAGGATGGGCGAAAGTTCACTGATTCGTCACAAGTGCATTTAGAATCTAGACGAGAAGTGCATATAGATTTATATTATTTATAACTACACTTTCTCTGTAGTTAATTTTCGCTTTAAAATAAAATAAAGGTATATTCATAATTTTTAATGTTGGAAAAAAGTAAAGATGAAAGATGAAAGGTGAGTTTAACTAAAGAAGAAATAAAAATTATCACGTTGTAATATTGTATCACGTGAAAGTTGATTCCACAAGACTTCTACACGTAATGTTAAATAAATAAAATATTTGGATATCAATAGATCAATTGTTAAATAAAATATTTGGATATCAATAAATCTCGTCAGAGACTTAAAAGAGCGTGCTTATTTAACGCTTTACAGGTATGTAAAATAAAATTTTGAATAATAAAATTCTTTCATTATTTTTATTATGATTAAAATTGTGATAAACATGTCATTGTTATAAATAAATTATAAAAATTACGTGAAAATTGATTCCACGAGATTTCTACAAGTGATGTTAAATAAGATGTTTATATACCATTAGATCTCATTAGAGACTTCGATAAAAGCGTGCTTATTCAACGCTTTATAAGTACATAAAACAAAATTGTGAATAATTAAAATCGTCTCATTATTTTTATTATGATTAAAATTGTGATATAAGCTTGTCATTGTTGTAGATAAATTATAGAAATCAAATACCATGAAGAGATAACACAGAGAGAATAAGAAAAGAGAGCTCATCAAGTCAATATATAAAATAATGGAAATTCAAACTTTTATATTCTTTGATCTGGAAACAACTGGTCTGATTCAAGAAAAGCTTATGCCAAGAATCACAGAAATTGCTTTAATCGCTGTTGGAAGAGAATCAATATGTAATAGCAACAAAGCATCTCTGCCACGAGTCTTACACAAATTAATACTTCCGATTAATCCCCAAAAAATTATACCGCCAAATGTAGAGTACATAACAAGTAAGTTGTTTTAATAGCTTAGATTAATTAATATATAGACAAATAAAATTTAAAAAATCAATTAAAAATTCTGATATAATTTTATAAATTTGTAGAGCTGTTTAACGACGAGATGTTACTGCTGCAGTCTTTCGAGTGTGAAGTTTATGAGTTAATAATGCGTTTTCTACAGCGTCTCACACCACCAATTTGTTTTGCAGCACATAACGGCAAAAGATTTGACTATCCAATATTCTTGCATGAACTCGAGCGTATAAATAAAGTACAATTGATTTTTAAGGATATTAATTGCTAATTTTTCTAGATTTTCAATAACATTTAGTTTTTCTCTATTAAAGGTTCTTGATGACAAAATCCTCTGCATTGATACGTGGAAAATGTTTAAAGATTTCTTCGAGAAAAAAGACTCTGAACCAAAAATGATCCAAAATTTATTGAACGATGAATATAATGATTCACTTTCTATGTTGGATATGAATATCGGAATAATAGGGCAAGAGGCTACGGCAACGTCCACTTCGCTAATGACATCTACCTATGATGGATATATCAAAACTATAAGCAATAAGAAATATGATACAAATGAAGTATATAACGGTAACATTGATATCGAATCGTCGAAGAATTTTAGACAAAAAGATAACGAGAAAACACCGGAGAATCAAATAATAAGGCATGAAATCGGTCATATCGAACGACCATTTAAAAAAAATTATCCAAGAAAGAGATTGGATTTTGGGTGCGAAGAGAGACCAGTCAACCTGAAACTCAGCACCATTTACAAATATATGTTTGGTTCAAATGTCCCTCAGGAACATTCAGCCGAGGCCGACTGTCTTGCCATGATACGTTGCGTCACTAATATCGTCGACTTCTTCCTTGAATGGTCAGGCAATCACGCAATTCCATTGGCTAGCTGTAAAGGAATTTAGTTCAATGTTATTAATTGATGTTGTAAACAATAGAAATTATATAGGGTGTCCCAAAAGTCCCGGACCGGTCGAATATTTCATAAACTATGCACTTTAAAAAGAAATGTTTCAGACAAAAGTTGTATGGCTTCTTTCTAAAGTGCATAGTTTATAAAATATTCGAACGGTCCGGCACTTTTGGGACACCCTGTATACAAACAAGTTAAGCATGATACAAAACAATACAGTACAAAGGGAATATGTGATTGTTGTTGAATTAAGATATAAGGCTAGTGTGTGAAATTAATGGTAATGTTTGCCAAAGCTCTCATCTCTATACATTGGATTAGTAAGTGCGAATGACTTTATAACTTGGATTTTTAGTCTGAATGAGACTATTTGTGATAGCAAAATATGACTCATTGGCTGTTCATTTCCTTTTTATATATATAAAAATTAATATATAAATTTATAATTTATCATAAGTACGAAATTAATTAGCAATCTTAATGGATAGCTTTGCATATGTAGTAGTCTACTTCAATAATGCATGTTGAATTATTGTTTATACTGATTTATTAATTATTTTGTTTGCTTATTTTGTTTTGCTTACTTATATATGTAAAATTTGATTTATTTTTCGGTGATACTTATAAAAAAATTGGAAAAAGCTTTTTATTTCTAGGAAAGAATTGTGTGAGCTTTTTCTTCTCTTTTTTTATTATAGATGAGAGAAATGCTAAAAAAATGAATATTGTTGATACACTCAAATTTAAAAACAATGTATATAATCAGATAACATCATAAAAATGTTTCTAGTTGAAGTCTGATGTTGAAAAATATTAGAAGATATAAATCTCTTCATTATAAGAAATAATGTTAAACTCTATTCTTACCTCTTTCTTGAACAGAAAAAGGAAAGAGAAGAAAAAAATGAGACTATTTTATGAAAATGTTGTTATATAAAGAAGCTATGTTAAGCCTGTTTTAATGACTATTGTTTATGACTATCTTTAAAGTATATTAATATTCTTTTAATTAATGATCGATGTTTTATCATAAACTTTTTAAAAGTATTTTAATTAATTTTACTTTGATAAGATCATTAATTTTCTTATTAACTGTATTAATAATTCGATTACTTTAGGTACTTAACTTTATTTATATTCATAATAGATAAACTTATGTTTTATTTTACGAAGTAAGTTTGATGTAGAAGGATATAGAATAAAAATATTTTTATACTCTTAAGATTGTGAATAAAATGGAGAACTAAGGTGACACTTTTGTACATTGTATATATTTTCAATATGCCAATTCTCGAAAACGTAAATGAAAGTGAAATAATTATTTCTAAATTAGCGAAAGAGAATTATAATTGGACGAAAGTCTCACGGAATAGTATATAGAATCCGTTATCGGTGTGTATGTATGTATGTATGTGTATGCTATTTAATTAAAAAAATAATTTTAAGTGAAAAAATAAATTTGAAAATAAGAGTCCCGTCCTGATAGCGAATTATTAATAATGAATTATTTTATATATTTATATATATAATACATATTTACCAGGCTCTGATTCTGATTGATATGATCTGCATGGATTAATTAAAGATCGCAATTCGTCTTCATTTACTGCAATATTAATGTTTGTATATTTTGGTAAATAAAATAGTAAAAACAATATTCTAGTAATCACTATTCTAATTATCAGATTTTATAAACATAATTCGATATACTTACATTTCATGAAAAAAATACGAATATATCTTGCTATTGCATATTTATCATACGCGATAGTTTTCTCGATATCATTTATAATTCGATTTATTCTTCCTTCCATACATCTCATTTCATCATGTATAATATGTTCCAATAAATTAAAATTTTCATCCCAATCCCAGACAGCACAGGACATCCTATGGACATTCATTTTATGTCCATTTTACGTCCGTACGTCCATGGACATGAAATGACTGTTCATCGTACATCCGATTCGGGACATCCGTTAACGGCCAATATTTGGACGTCCACAAAATGTCCGATCTTGGACATCAAAGTTTCGCGCGAGCACGCAAGGATGTGTTAGTTCGTTCGTTTACCGCTATGCGACGTGCGATGCGCTATCTTTCTCGTATTTAAGTTTTAGTTATAAGAATTATATAAAGTTTGCAAAGAGTAACAAATAAGATTAAAAATATACTGTTCAATTTAATTTGTGATCTCAATACAAGAGTTTCAGATATTAAATTGATTTTATAAGTCGTACAAGTAAATGTCCGGCAAATAAACGAAAATAATCCGGTACTTATTTAAACTTGCTTGTTGCACTTTACATTTTAAATTACCTATTTAAAATGTAGAGTGCAATAAGCAAGTATAAATATAAATAAAATTTTTACATGAATTTTATGTAAAGTTTTATATGAAATAGATAAATTATACTATTTTATTATATTATTTAATTTTGTTGGGCCAAAGAATTTTTTATGTTTTAAATGTTATGAAGGATACATAATGCTATTTATTTATGTATAATAAAGAACAATTTTTTATATATGATTAAATTAGGTCAAAATCCATACATAATTATATCTACACAATTATACATAATTAAATATAAATTTTTTTCTGAGTTTATGAATTTTTGATATTTATTCCAATAATAATTTGAAAGAGTAAGACACTGAAAATGATGTCCATTTTAAGTCCTTTTTTGGATTGTTTTTTGGACATCCGAAGTAGTGAATAACCGACGTCTTATGGATGTCCAATGGATATCCGTCGGACTTAATTCAGACATCTTATGGACGTCCACATGTCCAAACTCGAATGTCCATTGGACGTCCATAGGAGTTCCATGTGCTATCTGGGATAGTAACTTATGCTGCCTTTGCGAAAAGCCTCACGAAGTTGTTGTAACATCTACAAATGTATTTAAGTAACAAAGTTCTTTTATAATTAATTTAATAAGGAAAAACTTGAATTATAATATAATAATACATACCGTGAAGAATAAAGAAGTACATGATTGCTTGTTCGAAATCCGAAAAATGTTTAATTCATTCAAACGTAATGTTTCAATATAATAGCTGGCAATATTTCATTTTTGTGTGTCTCTGAGTTTCTGAGAGAATGTAATTAATAATTATATATTAAAATAAAGTAATTTGTCATATCAAAGTATAGAAAAAGAATATTTTTAAATAAATTAACTTACAATCTAAAATTTATTATACTTTTCTCTATAAAAGGAGTTTTAGAGCTTCTTCTCTATTTAAAATTTTTAAGTATAAAAATTGATAAAATAAAAATTAAACCTTAATGAAATTACTTAATGATTAGATATACAAATACATCAATTAAAACTTAATAATATAGATTTATATTTTTCATATATTAATACATAGTAATATTATATAATTGTATAATAATTTTTTTTTATATTATATAAACATGTATACAGGATGTCCGTCAATTTTCGACCTTAACGAAATAAGGAATTAGATTAGTTCAAATTAAGAAAAAATGACCTGTATTGTTTTGAGATTGTCGCAATAATTAACGAAAAATTAAATAAAGAAGATCGGCCAATCTGCGTGAGTAGAAGCGCGCGGCGACGAGAGTCGTTCCACTGTAATCCGATACTACGAGCGTGGCGAAGCGGTGGGCGGGTCGCTCTCCGAGACATGATGGTGTCTTCTTCTTCTTCTTCTGTTAATGACACCGGGCAATTTAAACTATGCCCATGTTGCCAGATGACTTCATTGATCGCGTAAATTCCATGAGGAGAAAATCGAGCACATTTGGCCAGTTATAATTCGGATGTGTTATATGAGCAGATCCGTATTTCGAAGGAAAGATAGAATAGGATTAATGATTTTAATAGTAGGATTCTTTAGGATAACAAATACATCATAAGGAGGAGGCGAATCCAGGACTCTTCTCAACGATTGTAACAGCCAGACACAGTGACACACAAACAACGGGCAGGACCACAAGATTGATATCTTGGCGGGGCGATCCATATGGACAATCAGGACGTCGGACTAGACCACATCTATGGAGGCTGAAATTCAAATTGTAATGGTTAGACCTGATTCTACAGATAGAGGAAATTTCTGCTCGACTAAGGTCAAGCTTCTCAAACCAAGGTCTCCTCGCGAAAGGTGGATAAAGATTAAAATATTGCGCGCCTCTAATGGGCAAGCAAATATTTTTCGATATCAGAAAAATGTTTCTTATACGGCTCTCTTAGGGTCCTATATCTTAGGGCCCTACGAGACACCCTCTCAAAGCGTTCCGTGAGAGTCTTATTGTGGTACGGGAAAAGAAAAGAAGCATAGTCTGAAGATCCTCTTATTAAGGCTTTACATATGCCCAACAGAGTCCTAGGGTCAGACCCCCACCAAACCCCCCTCAAAAATTAAATAATATTAAAGAGTTTGCTACATTTACTAATGATTCGCCCGGCATGCAGGCCTCCCGTGAGACGCGAATCAAGAAAGACCCCCAAAAATCTAACGGAAGGAACAAGGTAAAGACTGAAATCACCCAAGCGAATAGAGCTGTTCACCGGAATACTTCTTTTTTTGGTAAAAATCATTAGAGCCGATTTGGAGGGGAAGACATCCAGACTCCTTTCAAGCAAAAAAGAGAGAGCATTCGCGGATTGCTCGAAAGCCAGCAAGGAGGACGCAATGTCAGGAGAGCGGGTATATAGGGCAATGTCATCCGCAAACTGAACCGCACGGCACCCACGAACCAAGGTGGATCCACAACCCAACAAATAAAGATTAAAAATCGGGCTCAAAATTGATCCCTGCGGAACACCCTTGTATGAAAAGAGACGCTCTGTCAAACTACCATCTATAACAAATTGCAACTCTCTGAGACAGGTCAACTGATAAACGAACCAACAAAATTTAGGCGGAAGGCCTGCGTCAATAAGATGAGAAGTCAGAATAGAAGGGTTAACGTTATTAAATGCCCCTTGTATATCAAGAAATAATGTACTTGTTGTCTGTTTTAGAATAAATCCATGATGTATTTCTGTATATAATATACCAAGGTTGTCAAGGCATGAGGCTTTTTTACGGAAACCAAATTGGAAGGAAGGGAGAATAAGAGACGACCCACCATCCAAGACGATATAAGACGATCCTCTCAAAAACTTTAAGGAGACATGAAGTTAGAGAAATAGATCGGAATTTGGGAATTGGGAACCAGGGGACGATTTAGGGATTAAAAATACAAGAGAGTGACGCAAAGCATCCGGAAAAGAGCCTGTATTAAAAATAGAATTATAGATGTCAAGCAAAAGATGAAGGTATTCTTCCGGTAATAAAGAAAGCATTTTATTATCTATTTTGTCGTATCCAGGAGATGTATGAGTCTTTAAATTGCGTATAGATGAAATCAGTTTCTGAATGGTGATAGGATCGTCGAATATCTTACAGGAATAATTGGACGGGAAGTCGTTAATGAATGAAAAAGAACGATTAAAAGCGGATGGAGGGCAGAGGGAGTCAATGGTATTTTGAACAGATAATGAATGAGCAGAATTAGAAAAAGGCAAGACAGTAGGTTCAAACTGGCGAGATCTAAACCGCTTGATAAATCGCCACAGATAAGAAATGGGAGTATTAGGGTTAAGTTTGCTACAAAATTCTCTCCAACCCCTTCTCTTCTCCGTCCTCAACGTTCTCCTAGTTACAGCTTCTTGCTTTTTGAAGGTAAGGTAATTCTGGAAAGTGAGTTGTTTTTTAAAAATAGAAAGAAAAGAGCGTCTAGTATTTACGGCCCGCTGGCACGTCTCATTCCACCAAGATGATGGAGGGGAGAATCTTCTTCTCCCCTTTCGGGGAGAAAGCTCCTCGGATGAACACGATTTTTGAGGAGAGGAAGGCCAGTGTCGAAGGAGGTGTTCCGTAAAAGAGTTATATTTATGAACCGGATCTAACGTCGGGTCGCTGAGAATTTCTCTCAGCGGTCCCAGCGAGGAGCACAGATTCTCAACAAACTGCTCATCCAATGGCTTGGAATGTTTAATTCTGTGAAAAAAAAAGGATTTCCTAACAGGAGGTCGATTAAAAAGTATGGCGATTGGAAAGTGATCGCTAAGAAAGGTGTCTTCAAGGACCGACCACTCACAAAGACCAATGATTGAGGGTGAGATGAAAGTCAGATCAATAGCCGAAGATCTTTGTCCCGGCCGCGTCATAAAAGTAGGCGAGCCATCATTTAGGCAGGTAAAAGAAGCCTCAACAGCCGAGGAAAACAGCAATTCACCCTCACCATCCGAAGGCTCATCACTCCATTCAGAATGGTGTGCATTAAAATCGCCCAACAAAATAACATGGGAAAAGGAGCGACAAAAAGAAAACAAGGCGTCGTATTCATTCGAGGAAAGAGAGCCAGTAGGGTACTTATAAATAGAAATTATGGTGAGATTATAATTAGTATAATGAATCGAGATGGCTTGAGTTAATAATCTACCCTCGAATGAAATAGAGTTGTCTAAGTAAGAATAGGACAAGGAGGAACGACTCGCCAAGGCGAGGCCTCCTCCCTGTCGAGTGTCCGAGTCTTTACGAAAGATATCAAAACCATGCAATTTAAAACGTAAGTTAACGGTCAACCATGTCTCAGAGAGCGCTAAAACGTCATATTTCCCAAACAGAACAGTGGAAACGTCAAGTTTACTTAAAATGGAGCGACAATTCCACTGAAAAACAGTAAGGGGCGCAGAGACCGAGCCACTAGTCAGAGCAGGATCAGCCATTACGCAGGAACTCACCCTCCCCCCCCCGAAAGCCCCATCGCCGGCACAATCAGAAATCTGCTCACCAGCTCGTTCACCATGTCGTGAATACCAAAAAACTTGAATATTGGCTCAAGTTTTTCAAATAACGTACATATCACCTGAGTAAGCATATAAAGCTGAGAAGAGTCCACTCCCAAAAAACCCCGAATCAGCGAGAAGAAGGGCGACGAGTCCGAAGCCTCCCCCATGGCCATCCCATCACCGGAGACAGGGGGAACCCTGTCATTAGGGAATAGCAAGGGAGGAGAGGGGCCAGAAGTAGAAGGACCAGCCCCCGAAGGGGAGGACCCCGAGCAGAAAGACGGGAAGGCAACGACTCGTCCCCGTCAGCTCTGTTATTATAATTAAAATTGTAGTTGGTATTACTATTATTATTTCGATCGAAAAGTCTCGTCCCCCGCCCGAACCCCCCATAGGATCTCGAGGATCCAGAGGGCCCAGAGGGGGGGGGCCAGGAGAACCAGCAGAACAAGCGGAGCGAGTAGAAGAAGAAGGGGGAATCACGGAACCACCCGAAGAACCCCCCAATCCGGACGAAGAAGAAGACAAGACTCCAGAATACAAACGGGAGGGCCGGGAGAGCCGAGAAATCAAGTCTCCCCCATCCGGAGAGGGAGAACCCGGGGAAACTCCCCCCCAGACTGCCGAAGACGGCTCCCCCTCAGAAACAGGCACCCGACCGCGGACACAGGAAGCCACATCCGAAAGGGGTACATTCTCATAGGCCGAGAATTCTCTAATTCTCCTTTGAAAAGAATATTCCGAAGAAAAATCCGAGGCTCTATGCGGTCCGCCGCAATTAATACAGATCAGAGCGCTGCCCCTCTTGGAGCAAGCCCCATCATCTCCATGTCTCGCCTCTTTACAATCGATACATCGAGCATGGCCTTTGCGCTGAGCGCCAATGTGACCAAATCGAAAACATTTAAAGCATAAAGAAGTTTTTGTTACAAATGGAATAATAGAATGTCTAATCATATACAGACAAACATGGTCCGGCAAGATCTGACCTTTAAAAGTAATCAAAATAGTGCGAGATGGAATCAGCAGATTATTGTTGTCACTATTTACATGGGTCTGAACCGAAGAGGAGGAAGAGAGAGGACCCCCCCCCCGTGCACGGAAACAACATCAACAGTGGACTTAAAGCCTCTCAAGATTTCCTCGTTCGAAAGATCCCGCGAAACATCTCGAATAATCCCTTTGCGAGTTGTACGATATAGTGGAATATATATAGAATATCCTTTATCTTTTAGATTTTGGTTTGAAATAAGATTGTTAGCCGCCTCCCAAGTCTTGAAACGGATATTAATTTTTGAAAAGCCAATTTTTTTCAATTCCTGAATGTCGTTTTTATTATCAAAATAAAGAAGGCGATCGATCGCCAAGGGATCAATGGCAGAAGGCCTTAAGATTTTACTACTGTCGTTATTAATATTATTAGAGATGTTTCTCTGGATGATAATATCAAAAGGACCAACAGATTTATCATCGTAGCGATTTACATCAAGCAAAGGGGGACCCCGAGAGGCTCCCGAGTCTGAGTCCTTGTCTAAGGTAGAGGATATAAGATTGGTCTTACCTTGAAGCGACCGACTATCTCCCTCACCCAATACCTGACGCTTGCTCGCAGATGAGGCAGGATTACATCTTTTTTCCTCTTATTTTTATATTTGGTCGGAATGAATCTTTATCCACCTCGCAAGTGTGTATATCACGATCCACGATATCACCATCCACAGCGGACTCAACCACTGGGATGGAACAATTCATAGATTCAGAAAGTGGCTGCGAAACAGAAACACATGTACGTATTAACATTAGGATCATTTATAACTGGAAAGACGGAGTCAGAGGATGGGGAGAAAGAGGAGAAGGAAAGAGCAATAGCGTTTAGTTTGTCTTCGTCTGAAAAAATGACTGCGTTAGAGTTCGACAACAAGAGATTATTGTCACTGTCATGTGAAGAAACACGAGAAACATTCGAAAAATTATCTATAGGATCTTGGATGGACATGTTGGAAGGAATACAAACGAGCGGCGAGAAAAAGCAGAATACACCATCAAAATCAGTAACGAGAATGCTCTCCTTGTATAAAAGGAAGTTGTTCAATATACGTATATAGAGATTAACAGGCAGTTATCAAAACGCACGTCTTGCTCCTTCGAGATCTCACAGTCGAGTCGACATGATGGTGGTTTGCGATATATCGCAATACCGCGCCGAAAAATGACCCATCCTTTTAGTGGCGAGAAAATGGGTGTGTTTCGGGGTCGCATCGCTACTGTAGCGCTATAAGCGTGTTTCACGATATTAAAGCGCTATAGTACCCAGACAGCACACATGTCCAAAAAACATCTAAAAAATGACTTAAAAACATCTTCTAGAAAGTCATCTTTAAGACATCTTTTGGTCTTTTTGTGCTGTCTGGGTAGCGCTATAAAAGTACGTTTCAGGACTTTCTGCTACAATTGTAGCGGTCGCCATTTTTTTCTGCTACAATTGTAGCAAAAAAGCTGTAGCACTACTGTAGCGATGTGACCCCGAAACACACTAATGATGCGCTATCATTTCCATACCACCTTGCGGTAGATAGCATGATGCTCTTTTTTTTACAGTGGTTTCCCCCATAGGCCTATTCCACTCTCAATTTGAAAATTATTCAAAATGCCATTATTATACGCTGAATATATCCTAAATGTAAAAAATTGGTGACAGTACCTTTACAAAAATTGATCCTTGGTTGAAAATCCCTCGATAAAATGTATTGCACACAAATGTATTGATAATGATACGATGATAAAATGCTTCAAGAATCCTTTCTTCATCTCGTACACGAAGGCGCACTGCTGGACCAATTATCGCGATATTATGCACGACACCCAATTTCACATTATTATTGCACAACACGTAAAATTGTACGGCCACTTGGTTTTCGTGCACGCCCGAGAAATGATTCCATGTAAATTGCGGCCGCACGATAAATATTTTCTCCCGCTAGTCCGTATGTCACAATCATATCCGTATATTCCTGCAGAGTATACTTCATTTTCACTGTTAATTTATTACGCAAACACAAGATTTTTATTAAAACATCTTAGCTCTCGCACGCTGTTAGAGTGTAATCATAGTGCGAAGGCATCGAACTCACACGCTTACACCGACATGTCCGCTCAGCTGTCAGCTGTAGTTGCGTGCTGCTGGCGTACGCATCTGGTAACAGCATGCGAGAGCTAAGACATTTTAATAAAAATCTTGTGTTTGCGTAATAAATTAACAGTGAAAATGAAGTATACTCTTCTTCTTCTTCTTTGAATTTTAGTGGTCACCTCTGATCTAGGGGCGATCAGTATATTCAGGCCAACAACTGGTTTGAGTGAGTAAATAATATAGCGAGTTAAAAGGTGATGTGTCTAAAGGGTGCTACGTTCAGAGTTGGAGATTACAGGATCTTAGGAAGAAGAGTAGTACGTGGATAACCCCGGAGAAAGGCTTAACCAAAATCTCTTGAATCTTGTAGGGTCGTGTTATCTCCTTAAATCTAGCCGGATAGCTGTTTTAAGAGAGTTACCCTCTGTGTATCGTATAGAGGGCAGTTTCAGAAAATGTGATCCGCATCTTGAGTGAAGAATCCGCATTGACAGGAAGAATCTGAATTGCAGCGAAGAACCAGATTGCAGCGTTTTAGACTGTAGTTGAGGGCGTAATGGCCACTCCTAATTTTGCAGCAAGTTACTATGCTCTCTCTGTTGGACTTAAGCTTGTGAAACCAGGGTTTTGACATGATCTCGTTGAAGGAAGTAAAGTACTTTATCCCTTTGTGTCTACCTTGTATCTTGAGTAGTCTAGAAGAGCTTTCGATGTACTTTCTTCGAGGAATGGAGAAGAAATCGGAGTGAGGAAGTTGTCTTTCGGTTAGTTTTCCTGTGGAGATGACTCTTTTTGCCAAATGATCGATGGTTTCATTCCCCAGGATGCCTGTGTGTGCCGGAGTTCAAACGATGGTGTTTTCGAGCCTGTTTTATATCGTAGAGCTGTTGCTTGATGTAAATGACAAAGATGATGTAATTGTATGAGTGAGCCAGGTTGACAGAGAGAAGTGCCTCGATAACACTTTTGGAATCAGTAAAGATGACGGATTTCTTGATTGGTTTGGAGAGTATGTGTTCAAGGGTGTAGAGAATGGCAAGGGCTTCTGCGGAGAAGATGGATAAGTAGGGCTGGGTTTTGAATAATAGCTGTAAATGAGGAGAGGGGGAATGAATATATAGCAAATCCAACATAGTCGTCAGAATTATTTTTGGAAGCGTCGGTGTAAAAACATGTACAGGAAGAAATTAATGTTTTATAGATTTCCATAAAAATGATTTGAGAAATGGGAGCATTTTTTATTCTTTCTACTTCGATTGAAGGCGTGATAATAATTGAAGGGAGGAAAATAAGAGCTTTGTAATCTGTGGAGTAGACAGCCTAGACAGGATAGTCAAATTTGAAGTATACTCTGCAGAAATATACGAATATGATTGTGGCATAGGACTAGCGGGAGAAAACCCAGTAAGCAAAAAATTATTATCACAACGTTATTATAATGATATTCACTAACATAATAATGTTGTCAAGTATGTAGTTTTTAACATTGTATGCAACATCATTATGAACAAACTTTGACACCGATTTAGAGATTTCGGTAATGTTGAAATAACATTGTTTGTGTTGTTACAAGTAATATTGTATTAATGTTGTTTTAACATTTTGATAATGTTTCTCATAAAATTAAATCAATAATAAAATAACATTAGTATCAACATTTACATAACTTAATATTAATATCACAATAATATTAATTCTAACATTAATTTAAGGCTTTTAGAACTTTTACTGAAAAATCTAAGAACGAATATTTAGACATATCTCTAAAAATAACTTACAAGATATTATAACACACTGGAAGAAACACTTTCCTCTTCTTTCGTGCAGCACTATAACTCGCAAAAACACTGTAACTTACTTATTATGCGAGATCGTGTAAAAGCACGTGGCACGCTGGCAGCCGGCACGAGTGTTCCGAAGTCAAAGAACAAAAAATAAATCATACGCATACGCAATAGAGTGTATACGCATATCCCACCAAATGTTGCTTCTCAGTAACGTATTAGATGTCGTCATGCCCGTCATGAGAAAGAAATTAAGATATATTATGAAAAAAAAATAGTCTAAAGATATGTATGAAATAAATAATACGACGTTTAATAACAACGCGAATGAACTTGTAACTGGATGTTATATTTTTATTTATAATAAACATATTAATAACATATAAAAAACATTTTGACTAATGTTTCTAAAATATTTTATTAATATTTTAAGAGGGATGTTATTAAATAACATTTTTATAATATTTATAAAACATAAATTATAAATTAAAACATAAATTAAAATATTTTTTAAATGTTATTAATATGTTTATTAGAATATTTTTAAAATATTTATAAAACATTATATCATAATGTTTAGAAAATTTATATTAAATCAACATTTTAGAATGTTGATCAAATGTTTCTTGCTTATTGGGAATACTTATCGTGCGGCCGCAATTTACATGGAATCATTTCCCGGGCGTGCACGAAAACTAAGTTGCCGTACATTTTATCGAGGTATTTAATTTTAATTACGGATCAATTTTTGTAAAGATACTGTCACCATTAATTTTTTACATTTACGACACATTCAGCGTATAGTAATGGCATTTTGAATAATTTTCAAATTGAGAGTGGAATAGGCCTATGGGGGAAACCACTATAAAAAAGCGCATCATGCTATCTACCGTAAGGTGGTGTGGAAATGATAGCACAACCTTTTTTCGCCACTAAAAGGACGAGTTATTTTTCGGCGCGATATTGCGATATATCGCAAACCACCATCATGTCTCAGAGAGCGACCCGCCCACCGCTTCGCCGCGCTCATACTATCGGATTACAGTGGGACGACTCTCGTCGCCGCGCGCTTCTACTCATGCAGATTGGCCGATCTTCTTTATTTAATTTTTCTTTAGTTAATTATTGCGACAATCTCAAAACAATACACATCATTCCTTTTTAATTTGAGCCAATTTACTTCCTTATTTCATTAAGGTCGAAAATTGACGAACACCCTGTATAATAAATCAAAATAAAATATGTTTTGCTTGCTTCGTATTATATATATTATACTCTTTTTACCTATACTTTTTTTGTTATATATTTCTTCATTTCTCTGCTTTACTTTCTTGCAAATACTACGCAAATAATATTTTCTTATGATTTTACTCTGGGTTATGTACTTTACACATGTGTAGACTAATAGCCAATGAAAAGTGCTCACACTTTACCTCGTCACCCTCCTCGCAATGGCTTCCCCCCGCGAGTTCACACTCCATCTCTATCTTACTATATCTATACCGATTTCTCCGCGCGCCATTATCGGTCCCCTCGCCATAGAACTAAGTCTGATAGCAGAGAACTAGATGCCTGTCGTAGTCGTGGACGTAAAGTAAGGCTGATGGCAGAGAACTAGATGTCTGTCGTAATCGTGGACGTAAAGTAAGGCAGAGAAAAACGTATGTCGTACAAGGCCATTATCACAATGGCCTTGTACGACATACGTTTTTCTCTGTCTTACTTTACGTCCACGACTACGACAGACGTAAGCGCTCACGTCTAGTTCTCTGCCATCAGCCTAACTTTACGCTCCGTCCAGATATATTTATACGTCCATGACAGGCAGAACTCTGATACAGGCTTAAGGGTACTGCCACATGGCAGTCGGAATTGGGGATTGTCCGATTAGACACAGTACGATTAGACACAGCCAATTATATCGACCGATGCCTAGGGTAACCAGCACGATCAAGCACGATTAGCCAATCAAAACCAGTTGTGTCCAATCTATTGGTCTAATCGGAGGTGTCTCGTCGGAATTTCGGAAAACGGAATCTCGGAAAAGTACTAGAGTGGTGATCAACTAATCAAAATTTTTTTCCAATCCAATTTTTTGATAGCCTCGCTCCCCATGGAGTGATTTTTATGGAAAGCGGAATGTTATTCTAACCTCAAATTGTTTTTTAATTTAGAAAATTTCTTTATTATTTTGTGTTATAATAAACAATACATACAAATGTCACTTTTTTATATATTCTATTGTATTAATTATTTTTTTTTGTCGGAAAGTTATTAAAATAAATTTTTATATTTTTACTAATTTCCGAAATGCTTCGAATATTAGTTCATGGGGAGCCCAGCCACAAAAAAACCGGACCGACAAACACGCAACTTTTATTCCTGACAATATGATAACTATTTTATGTCAAATCCCAGACAACATACATGTCCAAAAGACATCTAAGGCTGGTATTTATAGTCCGATCTTATATTTAAGATCGTCTTAAGTCTGCTTGGAGGTTGACTTAAGACCTCCTTCAACCAATCAAATAGCTGCATAGCATTTCAAGCTCGAACTTAAGACGATCTCAAATATAAGGTCGGACTATGAATACCGGCCTAAAAGACTACTTAGGCCGGTATTCATAGTCCGATCTTATATTTAAGATCGTCTTAAGTCTGGTCTGAGGTTGACTTAAGACCTCTTTCAACCAATCAAATAGCTGCGTAGTATTTCAAGCTCGAACTTAAGACGATCTCAAATATAAGATCGGACTATGAATACCGGCCTTAAAGTCCTCTAGACGTCTTTAAAAAATCTTTTGGCCTTTTTGTACTGTCTGGGATATTTTGATTAAATATTTATATGTACATTAATAAATATTCACCAAACAATTATTTATTAACAATAAAATTCTTCTTATAAAGATAAAAATTCAATCCCGTTTAATTCATAGTTCTAGTATTCTAGTATCTTTTCCGAGATTCCGTTTTCCGAAATTCTGACTGCCATGTGACAGCACCCTAATGATGCATCATTGGGAGTGGCAGGATGGGTGAAAGTTCACTGATTCGCTACAAGTGCATTTGGAATCTAGACGAGAAGTGCATATAGATTTATATTCTGTATAACAACACTTTCTATGTAATTAATTTTCGCTCCAAAATAAAATAAAGATATATTCATAATTTTTAACGTTGGAAAAAAGTAAAGATGAAAGATGAAAGGTGAGTTTAGCTAAAAAAAAAAATAAAAATTATCACGTAATATTGTATCACGTGAAAGTTGATTCCACAAGACTTCTACACGTAATGTTAAATAAATAAAATATTTGGATATCAATAGATCAATAGATCAATAGTTAAATAAAATATTTGGATATCAATAAATCTCTTCAGAGACTTCAATAAAAGAGCGTGCTTATTTAACGCTTTACAGGTATGTAAAATAAAATTTTGAATAATTAAAATTCTTTCATTATTTTTATTATGATTAAAATTGTAATAAAATGTCATTGTTATAAATAAATTATAGAAATTACGTGAAAATTGATTCCAGAGAGATTTCTACAAGTGACGTTAAATAAGATGTTTATATACCATTAAGTCTCATCAGACTTTGATAAAAGTGTGCTTATTCGACGCTTTATAGGTACGGAAAACAAAATTGTGAATAATTAAAATCGTCTCATTATTTTTATTATGATTAAAATTGTGATATAAGCGTGTCATTGTTGTAGATAAATTGTAGAAATCAAATACCAATGAAGAGATAACACAGAGAGAATAAGAAAAGAGAGCTCATCAAATCAATATATAAAATAATGGAAATTCAAACTTTTATATTCTTTGATCTGAAAACAACTGGACTGATTCAAGAAAAGCTTATGCCAAGAATCACAGAAATTGCTTTAATCGCTGTTGGAAGAGAGTCAATATGTAATAGCAACAAAGCATCTCTGCCACGAGTCTTACAAAAGTTAATACTTCCGATTAATCCCCAAAAAATTATACCGCCAAATGTAGAGTACATAACAAGTAAGTTGTTTTATTAGCTTAGATTAATTAATATATAGACAAATAAAATTTAAAAAATCAATTGAAAATTTTGATACCATAATTTTATAAATTTGTAGAGCTGTTTAATGATGATATGTTACTGCTGCGGCCTTTCGAATGTGAAGTTTATGAGTTAATAATGTGTTTTCTACAGCGTCTCACACCACCAATTTGTTTTGCAGCACATAACGGCAAAAGTTTTTACTATCCAATATTCTTCCAGGAACTCGAGCGTACAAATAAGGTACAATTGATTTTTAAAGGTACTAATTGCTAATTTTTCTAGATTTTTAATAACACTTAGTTTTTCTCCATTAAAGGTTCTTGATGACAAAATCCTCTGCATTGATACATGGAACATGTTTAAAGATTTATTCGAGAAAAAAGACTCTGAACCAAAGATGATCCAAAATTTATTGAACGATGAATATAATAATTCACTTTCTATGTTGGATATGGATATCAGAATAATAGGGCAAGAGGCTACGGCAACGTCCACTTCGCTAATGACATCTGCCCATGATGGATATATCAAAACTATAAGCAATAAGAAATATGATATAAATGAAGTATATAACGGTAACATTGATATCGAATCGTCGAAGAATTTTAGACAAAAAGATAACGAGAAAACGCCAGAGAATCAAATAATAAGGCAGCATGAAATCGCTGTCAAACGACCATTTAAAAATTATTATCCAAGAAAGAGATTGGATTTTGGGTGCGAAGAGAGACCAGTCAATCTGCAACTCAACACCATTTACAAATGTATGTTTGGTTCAAATATCCCTCAGGAGCATTCAGCCGAAGCCGGCTGTCTTGCCATGATACGTTGCGTCACTAATATCGTCGACTTCTTCCTTGAGTGGTCAGACAATCACGCAATTCCATTCGCTAGCTGTAAAGGAATTTAGTTCAACGTTATTAATTGATGTTGTAAACAGTTGAAATTATACAGGGTGTCCGGGCCGGTCGAATATTTCATAAACTATGCACTTCAGAAAGAAATGTTTCAAACAAAAGTTGTATGGCTTAAAGAGGGCCATAAGACGGTGTCATTGGTTTGACCTTGCACAGTCGTTTGAAGGTCACGTGAAGATCGCCTTCAATTTTTTAAATCGAACCACCTATTTTTTATTGAATGTCCTGGTAGCTCACATCGAGAGCTTTCTAAAACACTGTAATAAAGTATTTCTTCATTAAGTACTTTCCGAGTTATGAGGCTTGAAATTATTTCTTAATTTTACATAAACAGTAAAATATCTTGTAAAATATTCATTTCTCGATTATTTTACCTTAATACTTTTGTGTACAAAATAATGAGAGGAATTAATTGGTGTAAAGAAAACGCATAGTTGTTTAAAAAAAAAATTGTTAATTCCAAATTACACATTTTTTCTTGAAAACAACTGTATGTTTTCTTTACATCAATTGATTGCTCTCATTATTTTGTACATAAAAGTATTAAGGTAAGATAATCAAAAAATAAATATTTTACTAGATATTTTATGGTTTATGCAAAATTAAGAAATGATTTCAAGCCTCATAACTCGAAAAGTACTGAAGAAATACTTTATTATAGTGTTTTGGAAAGCTCCCGAAATAAGCTACACAAATATGTAATAAAAAACAGGGGGTTTTACTTAAAAAATTGACGTTGACCATCACGTGTCCTTCAAATAACTCTCCGAGTCAAATCATTGCTACCATCTGATGGCCCCTTTCGAGCCATACAACTTTTGTCTGAAACGTTTCTTTCTAAAGTGCATAGTCTATAAAATATTCGACCGGTTCGGCACTTTTGGGACACCCTGTATACAAACAAGTTAAGCATGATACAAAACAATACAGTACAAAGGGAATATATGATTGTTGTTGAATTAAGATATAAGGCTAGTGTGTGAAATTAATGGTTATGTTTGCCAAAGCTCTCATCTCTATACATTGGATTAGTAAGTGCGAATGACTTTATAACTTGGATTTTTAGTCTGAATGAGACTATTTGTGATAGCAAAATATGACTCATTGGCTGTTCATTTCCTTTTCATATATATAAATTAATATTACATATATAAATTTATAATTTATCATAAGTACGAAATTAATTAGCAATCTATTAATGGATAACTTTGCATGCGATAGTAATCTACTTCAATAATGCATGTTGAATTATTGTTTATACTGATTTATTAATTATTTTGTTTGCTTATTTATGTTTGCATATATATGTAAAATTTAATTTATTTTTTGGTAACACTTATGAAAAAATTGGAAAAAGCTTTTTATTTCTAGGAAAGAATTGTGTGACCTTTTTCTTCTTTTTTTTTATTATAGATGAGAGAAATGCTAAAAAAATAAATATTGTCGATACACTCAAATTTAAAAACAATGTATATAATCAGATAACAACATAAAAATGTTTCTAGTTTGATGTTGAAAAATATTAGAAGATATAAATCTCTTCTTTATAAGAAACAATGTTAAACTCTATTCTTACCTCTTTCTTGAACAGAAAAAGGAAAGAGAAGAGAAAAATGAGACTATTTTATGAAAATGTTGTTATGTAAAGAAACTATGTTAAACCTGTTTTAATGACTATTGTTTATGACTATCTTTAAAGTATATTAATATTCTTTTAATTAATGATAGATGTTTTATCATAAACTTGTATATATACTTTGATAAGATCATTAATTTTTTTATTAACTGTATTAATAATTCGATTATACTTTAGGTACTTAACTTTATTTATATTCATAATAGATAAACTTATGTTTTTATTTTTACGAAGTAAGTTTGATGTAAAAGGATATAGAATAAAAATATTTTTATACTCTTAAAACTGTGAATAAAATGGAGAACTAAGGTGACACTTTTGTACATTGTATATATTTTCAATATGCCAGTTCTCGAAAACGTAAATGAAAGTGAAATAATTATTTCTAAATTAGCGAAAGAGAATTATAATTGGACGAAAGTCTCACGGAATAGTATATAGAATCCGTTATCGGTGTGTATGTATGTATGTATGCGTATGCCATTTAATTAAAAAAATAATTTTAAGTGAAAAAATAAATTTGAAAATAAAAAAGTCCCGTCCTGATAGCGAATTATTAATAATGAATTATTTTATATATTTATATATATAACATATTTACCAGGCTCTGACTCTGATGATTCTGATGATTCTGATTGATATGAACTGCATGGATTAATTAAAGATCGCAATTCGTCTCCATTTACTGCAATATTAATATTTGTATATTTTGATAAATAAAGTAGTAAAATCAATATTCTAGTAATCAATATTCTAATTATCAAATTTTATAAACATAGTTCGATATACTTACATTTCATGAAAAAAATACTTACGAATATATCTTGCTATTGCATATTTATCATTCGCGATAGTTGTCTCGATATCTTTTATAATTCGATTTATTCTTCCTTCCATATTTCTCATTTCATCATGTGTAATACGTTCCAATAAATTAAGATCTTCATCCCAGTAGTAACTTATCCTGCCTTTGCGAAAAGCCTCACGAAGTTGTTGTAACATCTACAAATGTATTTAAGTAACAAAGTTCTTTTATAAGTAATTTAATAAGGAAAAACTTTTGAATTATAATATAATAATACGTACCGTGAAGAATAAAGAAGTATCTGATTGCTTGTTCGAAATCCGAAAAATGTTTAATTCATTCAAACATAATGTTTCAATATAATAGCTGGCAATAGCGTTCCATTTTTGTGTGTCTCTGAGTTTCTGAGAGAATGCAATTAATAATTATATATTAAAATAAAGTAATTTGTCATATCAAAGTATAGAAAAAGAATATTTTTAAATAAATTAACTTACAATCTAAAATTTATTATACTTTTCTCTATAAAAGGAATTTTAGAGCTTCTTCTCTATTCAAAATTTTTAAATATAAAAATTGATAAAATAAAAATTAAACCTTAATGAAATTACTTAATGATTAGATATACAAATACATCAATTAAAACTTAATAATATAGATTTATATTTTTCATATATTAATACATAGTAATATTATATAATTGTATAATAATTTTTTTTTATTATATAAATATAAATATATATATATATATATATATATATATATATATATATATATATACAGAGTGTCCCAAAAGACCGATCGAATATTTCATAAACTATGCACTTTAGAAAGAAATGTTTCAGACAAAAGTTGTATGACTTGAAGGGGGCCATCAGATAGTGGCAATGATTTGACCTTGGAGAGTCATTTGAAAGTGACGTAAAGGTCACCTTCAATTTCTTAAATGGAACCTCCTATTTTTTATTACATATTCGTGTAGCTTATCTCGAGAGCTTTCCAAAACACTATAATAAAGTATTTCTTCATAAAGTACTTTTCAAGTTATGAGGCTTGAAATCATTTCTTAATTTTGCATAAACCATAAAATATCTAGTAAAATATTCATTTTTCGATTATCTTACCTTAATATTTTTATGTACAAAATAATGAGAGGAATCAATTGGTAAAGAAAACACATAGTTGTTTTAAAAAAATATGTAATTGTTAATTGCAAATTACATATTTTTTTCTTCATCAATTGAATGATTTATAGATGTTAGCTGCTTGAATCGACCATGTTTGCAGTAACGTACAATCGAGTTAAATACAGTGAATCAAATAATATACATATTCTATGCAAAAGAGATTTCTTTTTACGCGGCAGATGCATCTCACTATAATAAGAAATCACGTTATTAGAAAAAAACCGTGTAGAAAGAAAAATATGCACATAAAAGAGTTAAATACAGGGTGTTTCATTTTAATCCGACCACCTAAATTTCTTGGAACCTAAGCAAGATAGAGAAAAATGTTTTAGACAAAAGTTGTATGGTTTCAAGGGGGACATAAGATGTCATTAGTTTGATCTTGAAGAGCCACCTGAAGGACACGCGAAGGTCAGCTCCAACTTTTTAAATGGGACACCCTATATGCTTTTGCATATTCTTGTAGCTCATCTCAAGAGCTTTCCAAAACACTATAATTAAGTTAGTTTTCATTAAGTATTTTCCAAGTTATGAGGTTTGAAATCATTTTTTAATTTTACATAAACCGTAAAATATCTTGTAAAATATTCATTTTTCGATTATTTTACCTTAATACTTTTATGTACAAAATAATGAGAGGAATCAATTGGTGTAAAGAAAACACATAGTTGTTTCTAAGAAAAAATATGTAATTTGCAATTAACAATTCCATATTTTTTCTTAAAAACTGTATGTTTTCTTTACACCAATTGATTCCTCTCATTATTTTGTACATAAAAGTATTAAGGTAAAATAATCGAAAAATGAATATTTTACAAGATATTTTACGGTTTATGTAAAATTAAAAAATGATTTCAAACCTCATAACTTGGAAAATACTTAATGAAAACTAACTTAATTATAGTGTTTTGGAAAGCTCTTGAGATGAGCTACAAGAATATGCAAAAGCATATAGGGTGTCCCATTTAAAAAGTTGGAGCTGACCTTCGCGTGTCCTTCAGGTGGCTCTTCAAGATCGAATTAATGACACCATCTTATGTCCCTCTTGAAACCATACAACTTTTGTCTAAAACATTTTTCTCTATCTTGCTTAGGTTCCGAGAAATTTAGGTGGTCGGATTAAAATGAAACACCCTGTATATTAGAAAAGTATGTATGCATAGAATATGTATATTATTTGATTCACAGTATTTAATTCACTCGTACGTTATTGTATAGACACGGTCGATCCAAGCAGCTGTCATCTATGAATCATTCAATTGATTACAATTACAATTGGTAATTAACCTCTAATGATAAAAGGTTGGTACACCCTTATGATTCACCCTGTATATACATATATATTATATTATATAATAAAACTATATAATATACAGGGTGTCCCATTTCAATGTCTCCAAATAATTTTCTTATTTTTAATTTTAGAAAAAGATGTTTCAGACAAAAGTTGTATGGTTTCTAAGGGGACATAAGATGGTGCCATTGACCTTGAAGAACACATGAAGATTTACATGAAGATTACGTGAAGGTCATTTTGAATTTCTTAAATGGAACACTCTATATATTTGTGCATATTCTTGTAGCTTACCTCGAGAGCTTTCCAAAACACTATAATAAATTATTTTTCCATGAAGTACTTTTCGAATTATGAGGCTTGAAATCGTCTTTTAATTTTACATAAACCATAAAATATCTTGTAAAATATTCGATTATCTTATCTTAATACTTTTATGTACAAAATAATGAGAGGAATCAATTGGTGTAAAGAAAACATACAGTTGTTTTTAAAAAAAAATCTGGAATTATTAATTGCAAATTACATATTTTTTCTTAGAAACAACTATGTGTTTTCTTTACACCAATTGATTCCTCTCATTATTTTGTACATAAAAGTATTAAGATAAGATAATCGAAAAATGAATATTTTACAAGATATTTTATGGTTTATGTAAAATTAGGAAATGATTTCAAGCCTCATAACTCGAAAAGTACTTTATGAAAAAATAATTTATTATAGTGTTTTAGAAAGCTCTCGAGATAAGCTACAAGAATATGCAAAAATATATAGGGTGTTCGATCTAAGAAATTTAAAATGACCTTCACGTAACTGTCATGTGACTCTTCAAGGTCAAACTAATGGCATCATCTTATGTCCCCCTAGAAACCATACAACTTTTGTCTGAAACATCTTTTTCTAAAATTAAAAATAAGAAAGTTATTTGGTGTCGGACATTAAAATGAGACACCCTGTACATATATATATATATATATATATATATATATATATATATATATATATTACTGTAAATTAATTTATTAAAAATAAATAGATATTTATTATTTTATCTATCATACCTTTAAATGACGTATTATGGGTTTCGCACGCCCATAAATAGATTGATTAGAAAGTAAATCTTTTTCGAACTCGTAGAAACATAATCGCCAATAACGACTTCGTCGATCTTTGAAATTGGCTCTACTATTATTCAAAGGTTTAGGGACTATGGACCAATATCTAGAACCTGGATTACACTGCAAAACGTGCAATTTAATGATAGTGCGCGTAATTATATAATTAATAAATAATAAATTAGTGCAAATTATTTGTCGCTTTTCTCTATTAAATCGTATTTAAATTAAAGTAGCAAATTTTAGTATTTAAAAAAAAAGAATTTGAAAAATATCTTGTTAGATGAAAAAAGTAAATCAAAATAACAATAGCTCTAATATTATTCTAAATAATAAACTTTTCAAAACTATAATTTTATTATTATCCTTGTGTGTCTGATACATACGACAAATCTTTTACTCTAATATAATTTTAATTTTATGTTACGTTTTTAAAATTGATTTTGGAACGTCTTCGTGATGGTTTACTAGCTCTATTGTTATTCAAAGGTTTAAAGCGTGCGGACTAATATCTAGAAGCTGGACGATACTGCAAAGCGTGCAATTTAATGATAGTGTGCGTAATTTAAATTATATAATTAAGAAATTGGTGCAAATTATTTGTCGCTTTTCTCTATTAAATTTTATTTAAAATAAAATTGAAAATTTCAATATTTGAAAAAAAAATTTTTGAAAATATCTTGTTAAGTGTAAAAAGTGAATCAAAGTCACAGTAGCTCTAATATTATTTTAAATAATAAACTTGTATTTTTCAAAATTATAATTTTATTATTATCCTTGTGTCTGACACATACGACAAATCTTTTGCTCTAATATAATGTTTTAATTTTATGTTACGTTTTTTAAAATTGACATTTTGGAACATCTTGGTGGTGGTTTACTGGTTGAAAAAGCTAATACAGGAACCACATCAATATCAACCGGCTTTCCAGAAACTTCAAATGAAACTGTTAGCGTAAATGCTGGTCCTGTTTTTCTTACCGTTATCTAAAAATAAAGATGGAAAATTTTTTAGTTTTTGCCTTTTTGACATGATACACTACTATGATATAACACACTGTTGGAATACTGTATGTATTTGTATCCAATGTATGTTAATGTTACTCTTACCGGGCTATAACCACTGAATACAATTTTATTATTTTTATCAGCCACTTTACTTAAAATTCCTTCTATCCATCCGCGAAATTTATCTTGATTTAAATATGATTCATCATCAATAAAAGCACTCAATTCCCTAGAGAGACAAAAGTACAATTTCTTTTTTGAAAAAACACAACTTCTCTTTTTTTCTAAATCATAGAAAATTTTAATGCGATTTACCGTAATGCTTCCTGTCCTAAATTTAACGTATTGTCTCTATCTCCCCAAGTCGTACGTATTTTAATATAACTTGGACAATCTGAGATAAACTGTAATAATTTATAAATATTTATTATTATTTAACAAAAGTAAATTATATATTTTAATTTAAAAAAAAGCAAATATATTGCTTATTAATAATTCTCTTAAACTTATAACTTCCAACATATTATGCCATACTTCTAACTTTATTTATACTTTATTTTTTTTCAAATTCGAAAATAATATTACTATTATATCTCTCTCTTTAAAGGGTAATCTCATGACCAAATCTAAATCATATTCCCCTGGGTCTCCAACTCGAGTTTTTTTGTAATAACTACCTGCCCACAGAATTCTTTCATACATTTTTTTAAACAGAGGGCTTTGCTGTTGCATAGCTTCTGTTAACTTTTCAAAAACCTACGACATAAATTGACATGTAAATTTTATAATGCATTACAAATAACGTTATATATAATATTATATAAAACGTTAATATAACGATTTTAATAAAATATATTTTTAAATATAAAATATTATCATTTTTTTACAATACCCTACTCAAATGTTGATTGTGATTTCTCTCATCATGAAAATCCAAACTTATAAATCGTTTGTTTATTTTCTTGAATATATCATCGTTAATTAAATGGCGTTCAATATTTGCGTTGTTGTACATTATTATATATGTATAATTATTGAATTTTTCTAATCTAAAATCTAAAATTTTAACTTAAAATTATGCACATAGTACAAAACATTTTGTATTTCTGTTAAAATTTTCTCGTGTAAAAATTTTTGTGTTAAATTTTTAACATACTCTTATGTTAATGTAACATATTATCATTGCGTTATTTTGACATTTCTGCGTTGAGTTAATATTCATCGTTTCTAAGAGTTAAAACAACACAATTAATATGCAAATGCAAGAATTTTTGATGAAATGTTATATGTTACAATGAACAGATAAGTTGTGTTATTTTTCTCTCTATAACAGTTTCCATATGTTAAATCGATATATCTCTTCTGTTATTTATCATAAAAATGTAAGAATAACATTTTCTTTTAATTAAATTTAACATTATAAATATGTTAATTTAACATAAACTTTATTTTCAGATAAAGTTTAAGTGTTACACCTTTGTGTTTTAAAACATATTACTGGTGTTGTTTATTTACATACTTGCCTTCTGTTAAATTAACATTAAAATTAGAGTGGATAAATTGGGACATGTGAAATATGTTAAATTTAACACAAAATTTTTTACTGTGCATTAAAATTATACAAAACTGTCACATTATAAAAATATCATATTATTATGACAACATAAAAGAGGACTTATCATAGAATTATCATGCAATTAGGTTTCTTAAATATGTAATAAATAATATAATAAATAATATATTTTAAACGGAAATTAAAAAAAAGATGAAAAAGTAGAGAAAGAATATAAAAATATTTGATATTTTTATTAAAAAAGAAAATAATATTGTAAAGAGAATAATTATTATATTTCAAAATTAAATTTTTAATTTTCCCTTTTTTTAATGCATTCAGAAGAAATAAAATTTTCTATTATAAATATATAAAAATATATTGTTTGTAATTAGTACGATAAAGAGCTGTGCTTGAATATTTCATTATAAACGTATACTGCACATATCAGATTTATGTTACTATTTCTGAATCTTACGCAAAATTTCCGAGAAATTTTAATCGGTAGTTTAAATAAGCAAATTTATCTACATATTCATATTACGCGATATAAATAATTTTTTAAACAATAATAAAGATGATATTGTATAGATATCATCATTTATAATAAATATATTATTGTGACAACATAAAAGAGGACTTATCATAGAATTACCATGCAATTAGATTTCTTAAATATGTAATAAATAATATAATAAATAATATATTTTAAACGGAAATTAAAAAAAGATGAAAAAGTAGAGAAAGAATATAAAAATATTTGATATTTTTATTAAAAAAGAAAATAATATTGTAAAAAGAATAATTATTATATTTCAAAATTAAATTTTTAATTTTTTCCTTTTTTTTAATGCATTCAGAAGAAATAAATAAATTTTCTATAAATATATAAAAGTATATTGTTTGTAATTAGTACGATAAAGAGCTGCTTGAATATTTCATTATAAACGTATACTGCATATATCAGATTTATGTTACTATTTCTGAATCTTCCGCAAAATTTCCGAGAAATTTTAATCGGTAGTTTAAATAAGCAAATTTATTATCTACATATTCATATCATATAATTTAATATTCATATCATATCATATAATTTATTATCTACATATTCATATCATATCATATTGCATACGCGATATAAATAATTTTTTAAACGATAATAAAGATGATATTGTATAGATATCATCATTTATAATAAATATGTTATTATCTCTGAATCTTCCGCAAAATTTCCGAGAAACTAATCTGAAACTAATCTGAAATTAATCTTAAATAAGCAAATTTATTTACATATTCATATCGCATACGCGATATTTTTTTAACGCTGGCAAAAATCGTCATTTATAATAAATGTAATGAAATCTGTTTATAAAAATGTTGATCAAAAAATGTGAATGCAGAAATATATATGTGGAATTAACTTTCGCCGATTCAGATAAATTCCGTAGAGTTTGTTACAAGTGAGAAATATTAACATAAATTTGATAAACAATATTGATGCAAAGAATAAAATTTATTTCAAAAATATATTGATTAAATAGTCTGCTCAATAAAAAGATTATTTAAAAAATTACTATTAAATTTTTTAAAAATATTTTGGATCAATAAAAAATTCATTTAATCATAGAGCTATTAGTTATCCTGTTATATAATACAATATTGAATTATGGCGTTGATAACGAACTAAATCCTTAATAATTTGTAATAGTGAAAAGAGAGAATATTCAATTTCAATGTTAATAAAAGAATTTCAATTTGTGATGATAATAAAAGAAATTATTTTTATTTAATTACAAAATCATTTTGTTGTAAATTACGATAAAATTATCGATGATAATACGTTAAATTCTGTATCTATAATATCGAATTCGATTTTTTTATCGTATCTACTTACCAAACAAGAAATGCAAATAACCTCAGCGTAGATCGGCAGATTTGTGATAATATTCACAAAAATTGCGATTTGTACAGTACTAATACAATACGATACAATAATAGTTCGAATTATTGGATTTTAAAAGATTCTCTTTATTAATAATTAATTTGTTTGCAAAATTATAATATAAATAAAATTGCAGACTATATCAAGCTATAAATTCTACTGTGCTCTTGCCAAGAAAACGCTGCTTTTATATAGCTACGAGACAAATGAAAGTTTTTCCACACTAAACTGAATACGAGTACTTCGGGATTCTCCCGTCGAAAAACTAAAGTTAACTAACGCCTATTGACGTATGCAAGAACTATGAATCATCAATTAAAGTCGTCACATATCCAGATGGCGTTTTAGTATAGTAAAAAGGGTAAAAAGTTTAAAATGCTGTATGAATGAATAAATTAATGAATGAGAAAAAATAACATATTTTTATACTATTATATAAAATAACATATTTTTTTATTTGGTCTATTATATAGATCACATCTTTAATTAAATTAATAGACTAAATGTTATATAAAATTGTGAAAAGTCGTAAAACTTTTTAAATTTATCTTTTTTTTTATACAATATCATTGAAAATATGCTCTTCAATTAAAAAGATTGAATAAAAGATCTTAATCTTAGCAGATACAATCTTATGCAATATTTAGTATTGACAGAAAGTTTAAGGATGTTTTGTATCTATTTGCAAAATATTGAGAATTTAATGAAAATTGTACAAAATGTCTTTACATATGTTTAGAATCTACAGTAGAATTTTTAAATCAACTATTTTCATCGACTCGTCGATTAGTCGATTAGCCCAGACAGCACACATGTCCAAAAAACATCTAAAAGACGACTTAAGGGCGTCTTAAAGTCCTTTAAACATCTTTAAGATATCTTTTAGTTTTTTTTGTGCTGTCTGAGCATGGAAATAATATTCACAATTTGTTTAAAATTTGCAAAAGTTTAGATACAGAGGAAATATTTGGTCAAATAATATTATACAAATACTAACTGGTTAAAAAGATATTAAATATAATTCAATGAAGTTAGCCATGTATTTGTCACAAGACGAAATTCTCTGCCAAAAGTTAATCATTTCGATTAACAAAATTCGGAATATTTCAGTAAAAATGCAATAAATATTAAAAAATACATCTCTGTACTGTAGCTAAGATCAAATTGTAATATTCCACACAATTTCTCATACTCAAAATATACCAAAAATGGATATTCGTCAATATTGATTTTCAGCTACTTTTTGCTGGGATTGTACGGACGGAGCAAGTAACTCCAATAATAATGTCAATTACGATGGGTCCTCCGCGAATGCGCGGGGCCGGCCGGCGGCGGGTTCCGCCCCGGGGTCGTCGGCGTCCGCCGGGGCGTCATCGCGAGGTCGCCCGTCCGACTCGCGGCAACTCGGGTTGCGCTCCACGGCTCCGGCGCCAGGAACAACAGCAGCAACACCACCTGCAACAACAACAGCATCCACACCCGCCACACCACCGGCGAGGACATCCCCCTCGTACGCGGCCGTCACCGCAGCACCGGGGCCGTCGACGTGCAGAACATCGTCGTCGGCGGCCACAACAACAACAACAACAGCAACGGTGACAGGTGGCGCGGCCGCCATCTTGGATAGCGCCACGGCCGGCGCGCCGGCCGCCGCAACTACGGGCCTTAAGGCGCATCCGCAACCTAAAGGCAGGCTTCCATTGAAGCGCGGCGCAGCCAATAGGAAGAGTTCGCCTCCCGCGTCAAGAGAGGCACGCGGATCGCCCCGCAGACCATCCGGCGAGGTGAATGGACCATTAATGAGGACCTCCGTGACCCCGCCAACCACCATCAGCCCGGCGGGGACCATATATAATCCGAGGATACGGAGGTCCAGCAGCGTGCCTCTCGAGAAGAGCGGCGCGTCCAGGTCGATGCGCGGGCCCCCCCTCCCATCACCGGAGTCTGCCGACGATACACCTACGTTCGGCGGGAGGGGGGGCGAGAGGAGGAGGTCGCCCGAGAGGACCCCGCCAAACACCATCCTGGCGGGGCCTCGTACCAGGAAACAGACTCGGGCGAGCGCATCAGCCGCGAAGTGCGCAACGGAGGCGAGGGCACAGGCCAGACCATCGGCCAATAGCGCATCGCGGGGGCCCCGAAGAGCATCAAAGAAGAAGAGGAGAAGCCCAGGGGCCCAGCCGGCATCCACCATCCGAAAAGCCGGCACCGCGGTGCGCGACTTGAGCGCCGCGCTGACACCGCGGGCGACAGAAGGAGTGGGGGCCCAGGGGACGACGAGGACACCCCCCCTACAACGTGGGACCATGCCCCCCGCAAGACGTACCCCCACCCCGCCGCAGTCCATCCGCGGCGGTCCAGTGGGGGGTCGGAGGTCGCCACTATCACCGCCGGCGATGCCCGCGGTGTCGTCAACGCCTGTCGCACTCACGACCAGCACGGTGACGACAGTTTCATGCGGGTCCCCCGTGATGTCCACGGGGTTCCCCGCGGGGAGGCGGGGCACGCTGCCCCGTCCCACCTCCCCCCCATCACGGAGGTGTCGCCGTGTCTGGTCGGGCGGCGGATGCGTCGAGAGGAGGAGAGGCCCCTAACACCATCCAGAGTGGAGGAGCGGCGACATCCGAAGGAGGTGGCGCAGGGGAGTACGGAGGGCGAGGGGGACAGTGGAGAGGAGGATGAGCCGTGGAGAGTGCGCCTGGGGAGAAGGGCGAGGCGGCGGCTGAGCGGTGGCTCCCCCGGCGGCGGGAGTCCGGCGGCCGCGGGGCGGGACCCGGTGCCCGGCCTTCCCCCGTTGCAAGCGCCGGCGAACTTAAATTCATTAATGAGACCGTACACGGTCCAAGTTCAGCGGACTTTGATCCGCGCTGTTTCAGGGGATGGAGCGGGGGTCCCACCTCAGGGGACTAGCGTGGAGGGAGCATCGGGAGTGCGTGCTGGACGACCTGGAGGACCAGGAGGCGTCAGTCATCCGAGTGCTCCGGAGGGTGTCCCTGGGGTGATGGGTCGTCGGCGGAGAGGACACGCAGCCGGCGGCGTCGGGGCTGGCAGGGAGACACCGGCGGGTCCGAGGAGCAGCGGAGGCGGGAGGCACCTCCGAGGCCTGCGGCGTGCCGCCGGCCCGTCTGCCCAGCCATACGGTGGCCGATCTGTCCCTGCGGCAGTCGCAGGACTCCGCAGACGGCGGCGAGTGGCCGCTCGCGATGTGCTGGTTGGGCGTGCCGAGGCCGTCACCTCGATTGCGGACCTGGAGGAGTTTGCGGCCTCGGTCGCGGCTTTCCTCGGGGAGGAGGCATCGGGGAGGGTTGATGGGGGTGCATCCGGCGTCCGCGACCGTCCAGTTCGGTCGCGTGAGGCGGGGGAGCGGCGCGGCGAGGGAGGGGTGTTGGTGGGAGACGGTGGCGGTGTAAGGGGGGAAAGAGGGTCGGCACCGGCTGGCCCTCTGCAGTCGGGAGAAGGACGCGGCGGCTGGGTGCGCGAGGCCACGCGCGTGCAGGCGCTGTACAGGACGAACCGACGCAAGGCGGTCAGAGAAGTATTGCAGAGGCCCGTAGAATTCTGCCAAGTGCCGAAGGATCGGGTTCATGCGTACTTCGAGCGGCTGTATCGCGGAGGGGAGGATCTGGACGGTTCCAGCGCGGGGGCTGAGCCCACTGATCCCTCGGTCGATGGGGGGGAATACGCGTACCTCATGGATCCCTTCACGGAGCGAGAAGTGGACCGTCGGCTCCGGCGTATGACGAATTCTGCGCCGGGTCCCGACGGTATCACGTACCGTGACCTCCGTGGAGCGGATCCTGGGGCGCGACTCCTCACTGCGCTGTTTAACGCGTGCTATCGGCTCGAGGCAGTCCCCGCGTTCTGGAAGACCTCCAACACCGTATTGGTGTACAAGAAAGGGGATCGCGACTCTTTAGAAAACTGGCGCCCTCTCGCACTGGGAGACACCGCCCCCAAGCTTTTTGCCGCGCTCATCGCCGATCGTATGATCGAATGGGCGGTCGCCAACAACAAGCTCTGTCCGGCTCAGAAGGGGTTCCTGCGGGACGAGGGGTGTTTTGAACACAACTTCGTTCTTCAGGAGGTTCTGACTGATGCCCGGCGGACTCGACGGCAGGCGGTCGTCGCGTGGCTGGACCTATCCAATGCGTTTGGTTCGGTCCCGCACGCGGCGATCCGCCGCGCTCTCGTTCGCTCCGGCGTGCCGGGGGGTCTCGTCAATGTATGGAACTCCATGTATGACGGGTGCTCCACGCGGGTCCGAACCGCTGAGGGCTACACCACTCCTGTCCTTATTCGCTCGGGTGTGCGGCAGGGTTGTCCGCTGAGCCCGATTGTATTTGACCTTGCTATCGACTCGGTACTGCGTGCAGTTACCGCGGTCGATGTGGGGTTCGATCTGTTGGGCTCTCGTCACAGTATTGTGGCGTACGCGGACGACATTGCACTCGTCGCAGATACGCCTGAGGGAATGCGGCGGCTTTTGGCCGTCGCGGAGGGCGCGGCGTCGTCGGTGGGGTTGCGGTTCAACCCTGCCAAATGTGCCACCCTGCATCTCGCCGCGGGCTCTGGCGACAGGGTCCTGCCGACGACGTTCGTCATCCAAGGACAGCCCGTTCATTGCCTTGCATCTGGTGAGCCTTATAGACATCTTGGTGTCCCGACCGGGTCCTCGGTCGACCAAACACCATTTGTCACAATTGGGGGCCTCCTCGAGGATCTCCGAGCGGTGGACCAATCTCTCCTCGCTCCGTGGCAGAAGTTGGAGTTAGTGGCCACCAACATCTTGCCACGGTTGGATTTTCTGCTGCGGGGCGCCACAGTGGAGAAAAAACCCCTGAAGGCCGCCGACCTGCAGGTCCGGCGGATGGCCAAGTCCTGGCTCAACCTCCCGCAGAGAGCCAGTGCGGAGGTTGTCTACCTCCCCCCGAGAGTCGGGGGTTGTGGACTGCTTCCGCTAGCTGACCTTGCGGATATCCTGTCCGTGTCGCATGCCTTCCGTATGCTTACGGCTGGCTGCGACGCGGTCAGGAATCTCGCGTGGGCGTCTCTGCGGGGAGTTGTAGCCAGGCGCATTGGCGGTCCTCCGACCAACGAGGACGTCGCGGCTTTCCTCTCGGGCTCACTCGAGGGGAGGCTGCGAGGCGGGGGTGAATCCTCCCTGTGGTCGAGGGCGAGGAATGCTGCGAGGAGGCAGTCCGAAAGGTTACTCCTTCGGTGGCGGTGGTGTGAAGCGACCGAGGAGCTGATAATCGAGTGCCGGGGTCCCAGGGGCGACGTGGTAAAAGTCCCACCTGGTGCTCGCAACCAGGTGGTGACCCGTCTGCGCTCGGCGGTGGCGGCGTATTATTTCAATTCGCTAATATCCAAACCGGACCAGGGGAAGGTGTTCGAGGTGTCGTCGCGGGCTGGGGTGAGCAATCACTTTGTCCGCGGCGGCAGCTTCACCCGCTTCGCCGACTGGCGATTTATACACCGAGCCAAATTGGATGTCCTCCCACTCAACGGTGCACGCCGTTGGGGGGAGGCAGACCGAAGGTGTCGGCGTTGCGGGTTGGCAGCCGAGACCCTTCCCCATGTCTTAAACCATTGTGGGGTCCATTCTGCCGCCATACAGCTGAGGCACGACGCCGCATTGCACCGCCTCTGGAAGGCTTGCCGGATGCCGGGAGATAAGCGGGTGAATCGGCGAGTTGAGGGAATTGACGGGGAACCTGGGGAGCTACGACCTGACCTTGTGGTCAGGCACGAGCCCTCCAAGTGTGTCGTCATATGCGACGTCGCGGTGCCCTTTGAAAATCGCTGGGAGTCGTTCGAGGAGGCTAGGGCGAGGAAAGTTGCCAAATACTCGTCCCTAGCGGAGGCGCTCCAGCGCGAAGGGTACCGCGTTGTCGTGACGGCCTTCGTCGTCGGTTCCTTGGGCTCGTGGGATCCGGCCAACGAGGCGGTGCTTCGGGTGTTGCACATTGGCAGTGCATATGCCTCTTTGTTGCGCCGTCTCGTTGTCTCGGATTCCATCCGCTGGTCCAGGGATATCTACGTGGAGCATGTGTCTGGCGTTCGCCAGTACGCCGCACCTTCACGCCCCTCTGCTGGTGGGGTGCCCGCTACGCCCCCCCGCGCGTTTCGCCGGCGCGGGCCCGCCGAGCAGGAGCGGCACTAGGTGTCCTGTGCTGATTTGTCTAGTCCCTGTTGTATGTTGTTGTGTGTGAATGCCGCGTAATTTATTAGTTAGTTGTTGTCTTGCCCACGGTTTTAATCTTTTTTGTATTTTCTTCTTTATATATTGTTATATTTTAAAATGTTTATTGCATGTTGTGTGGGCCTCTTTGTTAGCGAGTGTGAATGCCGCGAAAACATTATTGTATTTTATACGAGTGTGAATGCCGCGAAAAATTCTTATTCTTATTTTTATTATCTTCTTTTTCTCTGCCGCGTGCTCGCCTCCGGGCCCTTTTTAATCTCATGACTCTTTCCGCTTGCGTTCGGCCCGGGGGTGTGAGTAATGGTAATTGATGTGAATTGCCCCGGCCAACCAACCGGGGCAATGGAACTATCAAAATGTTCATGATAGGGGGGAGGTTTTTCCTCCCCCCGCGCGCGTATTGCTCGGCCCATCGGCGGGGGGGGCGATTGTCCCCCGCCCATAAATTATTGAAGGTTGCGCGCGGCGTAAGTGTCGCTGACTGTATATCAGCACCCCGGGGGGGCCTATCCCTCCGGGGAACATTAATTGACAATAAAAATTAATTCCACACAATTTCTCATACTCAAAATATACCAAAAATGGATATTCGTCAATATTGATTTTCAGCTACTTTTTGCTGGGATTGTACATACAAAACATCCTTAAGGCTTTACTTGTTGACAATTAAAAAATTTTAAAAGCTCTCTTTCTTTTCTATTTATTTTTTAATTATTTCTCTTCTTGATTTTATATTTCATAATTTTTATACTTACTTCTTATTTTTAATTAAATAGTAGTAAAGCTCTCTTAATTAATAAATTAAAATCATTCAGACAGGCATAGAGAGCTGGAGATCATTATTATTCGCGAATTATACGGATTAAATAGTAGTAAACATTAATAGGTTGAAAATTCAGTATTAATAATACATAGATGTTTAGACAATTTAAGAGCGGACGTTTCGACTTATATTTAAGTCATCTTCAGCGCATATTAATTCTCGGAAAGTAAGCAAATGCTGTACGCAGTAAACATATTTAATGAATTTTAATTCGCAGTAAAACAGTAGGGAGATCATCTTACGGTTATATCCATGGATGAAACGGACCTTACAAGTTTAGGTTAATAGACCTAAATTGTGTGTGATTCTAATGGACGTTTGTCAAACGGCAGACCAATAGTCAGACTATAAAAATAAATAAAGTAATTGTCAACCATGGATTCGCAATATTTACATTTGAAATGAGACTTTAAACAATGAACAGAATAAAGATTATTAAAATTAAAATAATTAAATCAAATTAAGAAGTTATTAAACCCAGTGAGACAAAAGTAACTTATAATATCATGATGAGTCCGAATTATATTAATTTATCTGCCACTAGAAAAACTTTATAAAACTGTATGTTACTTCTCTCTTCGAAGGTACGAATATAAGTGACAGAATAACGTTCATTATACTGGTATTAATTTTTCTGTGTATGACCTCAGGCGTCAGGAAGTTTATTTATTAAATCATTGTATATGTCCGGAAAGCATTCTGTGTCTGTTTGTGAATTTACGCCGTTACGTCTTATTTTGAAATTATTACTATCATTTTCAATAAAATATTTTTAAAATAATGTTACAAATATTATAAATTTCGTTTTAGTTATTGTACATATTTTAATTTATTTAAAAATTATTGTACATTTTTTAATTTATTTTAAATTATTTTATTATATATTTTATAAAGTAATCTTTTTCAATTCATCTTTTACTAATTTTTTTCTTTTTTTCAATTGTTACAATCATTACTATTTCCGATAAATCAATCCTCATCTTTATCACTAGTAGATTATCTATCACACAGAATAAATAAAACATCAGTTCTGTGAAATTTCATTTCGTTTGAAGAATTTTTTCTAGAATAGTTATCAATTTCCTGCAGACGGTATCACTGATAACAGCCTGACCTTCCAATACCTTTGTCAATCCGTTGCACAATTCTTCCGCTCGTTCGTCCAGTTGTACTGATATTGGCATAATAACATCGCATGAGGTTTCCTCTTTTTCCAGCCTTGGTATCTTCTCCTCTCTCTCGGATTCCTTAAATTTATGAATTTATTATATATTTATTGTGATTATTATTTCCATAAAGTCATAATGCTTTGTATTTAACTTATGTATACAGGATGTTTTAATTTTTTTAATTGTTTTATACTTCAAAAAAAAAAAGAAAAAAGATATATAACATTAAATCAAAATTATTTTGTTCGAAGAGGAACATTGGATCTCGATCAATATAATTTTGTATAAAAATAAGAGATTCTTGAGCGATACAATTTTTTAATAATTTTTTTTATATCGTTGAAAAAATCAATTTAATTTAATAGTATACAGGGTGTCTCAAAAGTCCCGGACCGGTCGAATATTTCATAAACTATGCACTTTAGAAAGAAATGTTTCAGACAACCGTAAAATATCTTGTAAAATTTTTCGATTATCTCACCTTAATACTTTTATGTACAAAATAATGAGAGGAATCAATTGGTGTAAAGAAAAAACATAGTTGTTTTTAAGAAAAAAACATGTAATTTGCAATTAACAATTACATATTTTTTTAAAACAACTATGTGTTTTCTTTACCAATTGATTCCTCTCATTATTTTGTACATAAAAGTATTAAGATAAGATAATCGAAAAATGAATATTTTACTAGTTATTTTATGGTTTATGCAAAATTAAGAAATGATTTCAAGCCTTATAATTCGGAAAGTACTTAATGAAAACTAACTTAATTATAGTGTTTTGGAAAGCTCTCGACGTGAGCTACCAGGATATTTAACAAAAAATAGGGAGTTCCATTTAAGAAATTGACGGTGATCTTCACGTAATTTTCAAATGACTCTCCCATGTCAAATCATAGCCACTATCTGATGGCCCCCTTCAAGCCATACAACTTTTGTCTGAAACATTTCTTTCTAAAGTGCATAGTTTATTAAATATTCGACCAGTCCGGGACTTTTGGGACATTCTGTATATTAAAAATAAAATATTAAATTATTGGATTTACTGTTGTGCATAAGATTAAAATAACTTTCCTGAGATACATAATTATCTTTCATTTCTTAAATTGTATCTTTAATCATCCTTACATTGTACTCGTAGCACGTATGCTCGCCGCGACTTTGGATAGCTGTAACTAAATATCTAAGATAGTTTTGCATATTTGCGAAGCCTTCCAGGGAATAATAGGGTTTCGAGGACAAATAAGCTTGCATGATGCTGCTAATGTTCGGCATCTTAGCCAGAGCCTTTGCTACTTTAGCGACTAGTTGCTCCGAACATTTTTGTCCCATATGCTCGAAGGTCTCTAGAGCTTCCTGACGTACCCAGGAGTTTTCGTGTTCCAACAGATGAACCAACAACTCAATCAAAATAGGCGCGACGCTCTGCACTCTGCAATGATCAAAATCCTCGATGCATCGTCGTAGAAAATGGCAGATTTTGATTTTGCCCGGAGGAGGCAGATAAATGCACGAGGTCGCGATAGACTTCAAAATCTGAAATATCAAATATTTTCAATACTTTTACGACCACAAAATTTTATACTTAATAAATAAGTAAATAACAATAAAGCATATTTATACCGAACAAAACGTATTATCCTGAAAACATCCAAGATGAGTGACATCGAGCAAACTAACGAACAAATCAGATAGTATATCTAATTGTTTGCCCTCGCAAACGATGATCGCACTTTCCACGAAAGTCCATATTTTAGTTAAGATTTCAATAATGTCCTTATTATCCCTGTAATCTATCATTATTATCGTTGATATGGATTGTATCTGGAAACAAGTGGACAAGAGATTTTCAAGTTTGAAAGTTTTCTAAGCAATATTTTAACATTGATCAAAGTTTTTGAATTAAATTAATACGAAAATTTATTCATTTTTTGAATTAAATTAATAAGAAAATTTATTCTTTTTTTTTGCAATATATAAGAGATTGATAAATCTTACAAGTCGTTTCCAATTTCGAGTAGAAGGATGTTCTTGCAGATCCAAAAAAGCCTTCGACAAATCCCCGAGTTTATGGGATAATTGTTTCGTAAGAAAACCTTTAGTTTTTCCTACTAGTAAATACACGATAGGTGCGTAATTATTTGTATCCAGATTCTCGATAAGATTTCCGAGAAGGGAAAATTTCATGTCTTCGTTTAATAGTTCAAATAGACTGATAATCATGTAATCTAGCATGATTGCTTCTATGCTATCATGTCTTTCTATTAAAATGACGGATACTTTGAACAGATGTTTGATATGATCGGCGCACAACTGTGAAGTCCCGAGTCTTAAACATATTTTAATTAATATTTTAATTAATGTATGATTAAACAATTAATTATATTAATAATATTAATGAATATTAATTATATTAATGAATTAATTAGACCTATATATTATTAAAAATCATAAAAAATAATGTATTAATCAATAAAAATTATATTAATTTTTTTATTAATTAATTAATAATATATTAATTAATTGATTAATATAATAATTAATAATATATTAATTAATTAATTAAGTGCATTTGCAACTATTATTTTATTCATCAAAGTATTAATTTCATTAATATTAATGCTAATATTAATATTTATGAAGATCAAGCGCGGTCGTTTACCTGGCAATAAAACACCAAACATCCGAGCTTAACAGAGAGCTCCAAAAGTGACCACACAACAGATGCTTTAGCAAAAGTGTCTCGAGTGTGTGAAAGTCTTTTAATTGAATTTTGCTGATAAGATTGCAAAAAAAGATTAAAGTTGCCTCATAGACACTGATCAACCGTGATCCACCGATCTCATCAATGCCTGATAATCTAAACTCTCCGATACAGATTTCTTCTCCAACTACAATAGAAATAACTTATTATAACTGTTGATACAAACTGTTTATAAAAACTTATTATAACTGTTATAAAATATAAACATATTTTAATATAAAATATAAAGATATTTTAATATAAAATATAAATATAAATATAAATATAAAATATAAATATAATTTAATTGATAAATTATTTTAAATTTATAAAACTTTTTTATTAAATTCATATTTATAATATGTATTTAATTTATAAATCCTTAAAATTAGATTATATAAAATTCTTGAAATTGTTTACTTTTTATCACTTACGATATTCTATATATGTCAGTGCGACGTCTAAGATCGAATCTGAATCTAAAAACCATTTGCAACAATGCTCGTATGGCATGTTGTTCAGTTTTTTCATAATAGCTATTGTCAATAAATAATAATTTACATATTGATCATGTGAGACAATTTGCTTTCCATACTGGAAATATACCTAAAACATACGAACAATTGCAATTTACACAATTTTGTAAAATGTGCTAATTTTTATGTGCATATTTCTCATTTTTTTTCATATAATGTAATAATGTAATAATGTAAGAATATCTTAGTTTATCATATTTTGTGCTATTTTGTGTATACAAATTTATTATTTATTATTTTACGAAGAAATAGAACTGCTTATAATAATGATAAAATATTATAAATGCGATTTATTTTCTTTTTTTTTAATTGAATTTTATTGCACCTGCTTGAAATCATAGTGTTTAAAGATGATATCTAGGAAAATCGTGGCATTGATCGAGATTCTTTCATCCCGTTTTGTTAAACCGAAGCATGAATATCTGTAACAAAAATAATTAATATAATAAATTATATTATTGTATTATATAATATTTATTATATCCTTTTAATAGTATATTCTATTGTTTAATTATATAAATGTATAATATTCATATAATGTGTATATAATAATTCTATATAATATAATTTTAAGCAATACATACATACAAGCGAAAGTTCTTATAAAAGTCAAAAATATAATTTCTATTTCGATTAAAGATTAATATAGTGTGTGATTGATGAAAAGTTGATTACCCATGCATATACGCCAAAAATTCTAGCAGACATGGCATCGTTTCGGATGTAAGATGTTCATTGTAGACAGTTGTTAATTTCTCGAGGATTTTCAGCAAACGCATAGCAACCATTATACTTCGTTCCGCATTCTTATCCTTTTGATCCTACAATATAATATATCTAATTGTTACTGATGTATATACAATATTATTAATATAATTATCAATATATATATATTGATAATTATATTAATAATATTATAATATATATATTATATAATGTATAATATATATAATATATAATATATAATATATATATATATATATATAATTATATTAATAATATTATTTATATATATATATATATATATATATATATATATACAAGGTGACCCAAAAGTCCCGGATCAGTCGAATATTTCATAAACTATGCATTTTAGAAAGAAATATTTCAGACAAAAGTTGTATGGCTTGAAGAGGGCCATCAGATAATGGCAATGATTTGACATGGGAGAGTCATTTGAAAGTTACGTGAAGATTACCGTCAATTTCTTAAATGGAACTCCCTAGTTTTTATTAAATATTCTGGTAGCTCACGTCGAGAGCTTTCCAAAACACTATAAATAAGTTAGTTTTCATTAAGTACTTTCCGAATTATGAGGCTCGAAATCATTTCTTAATTTTACATAAACCATAAAATATCTTGTAAAATATTCATTTTTCGATTATCTTACCTTAATAATTTTATGTACAAAATAATGAGAGGAATCAATTGGTGTAAAGAAAAAACATAGTTGTTTTTAAGAAAAAAATATGTAATTTGCAATTAACAATTACATTTTTTTTTTTAAAACAACTATGTGTTTTCTTTACACCAATTGATTCCTCTCATTATTATTGTGTATAAAAGTATTAAGATAAGATAATCGAAAAATGAATATTTTACTAGATATTTTATGGTTTATGCAAAATTAAGAAATGATTTCAAGCCTCATAACTCGAAAAGTACTCAATGAAGAAATACTTTATTATAGTGTTTTGGGAAGCTCTCGAGATAAGCTACACAAATATGTAATAAAAATAGGGAGTTCCATTTAAGAAATTGACGGTGATCTTCACGTAACTTTCAAATGACTCTCCCATGTCAAATCATTGCCACTATCTGATGGCCCCCTTCAAGTCATACAACTTTTGTCTGAAACATTTCTTTCTAAAGTGCATAGTTTATGAAATATTCGACCGGTCCGGGACTTTTGAGACACCCTGTATATATAAAATATTGCTAATATAATAAATATAATGTATAATATTATTATATTAATATCTAAAATTATTATTTATAATGCATTGTATGAAAATATTTCATCTAGATTCGCGCTAAAATAAATAATGTAGCACATATATTAAAATTGCATTCTAATATACCTTGATCGTGGACAAAAGACAAGATACATCTTTCGCCATTTGAGTGAGATGTATTATGACGCTGTTTGGTTTAATATCATCATGATAAGTGATCGCCAGCTTAGCGAATGCTTCGGATAAATCAACAAACGTCTTGGTATCCATACCGTTTGCAATGGAAGCGATGTTACCATATGCATCGATTACTAAGAAAATCAATGGCAATAGATAGAAATTAATTAAATGCATTAAAAAGCAGTAAAATTTAATATAGTTTAAAATTTAATAAAGTTTTCTTTAATATATAACAAAAAAGAATATGTTTTATCATATATTTTACAAGAAAATCGATTTAGAATTTTGTATTTACGGGAAAATAAATATATTAATAAGAGCTCAATAAGAATGAGATATCTTATATTTTTATAAAATAATACGTTTCTAAATAATTTTTCGAAATTTGCAAAACCTCTCTCTCAAAAATCTCCCTCTCTCTCTCTCTCTCTCTCTTTCTCTCTGTTTTAATTATTTCACATATACACTGTAAATTATTGTCTATTATGTTTTTTTTTCTGTTTCTAGTTACTAAGTTAAGTTGAAAAAATCCTTAAGAATGAATACGCTCGCGATAAGGTCGAAAGTAAAGATTCCCAGGTTAAAGAGTCGTTAGGACATAATGGACGGATCGCTCTTACCTTTCGTCAACAGCTCCGTTTCCGATTGCACATCCGTGTCGAAAACGATTACGCCGTCCAAAGTGGCAAAGAACAGCTTAAAGATCGCGCCTCCTTTTGTGAATAAATTTCTCAATTCTTGCATGGCACCGCTCAATAATACTCCATATTTTGGGCTATAATAATTTTTCAACAATCTTTTTTATTCTATGTATTAATCTATGTATATTTATGTCACAAAAATGTCATAAAATCACAAAAATTCCTAATAATTATTTATTTTTTACACGAATAATTTTTAATAATAACAGAAGGAACAAAATATCATAACAGTATCATATATGATATTAATGAAAATTTCTCTAGAAAAAATGAAGTAATAATAATAATAAAAAATAATAAAAATAAAAATGAAAAATAAATATAATAAAAATAATAAAAATAAAAATGAAAAATAAATAATAATAAAAATAATAAAAATAAAAATGAAAAATAAATAATAAAAATGATCATAGTAAAATTATGGAAATAAATTAAACAAATTTAATATAAGAAAAAAATAATATCCATACAAATATAATAATATGAAAAATTAATGATGAAACAATTATATCCATCATCAAAGAAAATAATATTTATGTGACAGATTTATTTGCAATTGCGTATTTATATCGAAATCAAACAGTGTCTCGACAATATTTATTCTAATTTATAATATATGAAAATTTATTAATATTTAAATTTATATTTATTAATAAATTTAATTAGAATTTATTAATATATGAAAATGAGTGTATCGTTTATTATATTAAAAATACCTGGTTTTGCAATGCTCAAAAACGACTTTGATCGTTTCAGGTAAAATGTCGCATAATGATGTGATGTAAACAGCTCGAACTTTTCCAAGTGTGGATACATGTTCTATGCATTCCTTCCAGAAGACAAGCATACCATCACAGATACGTAGTTTGTGCGTAACATTATCCAGATCATCGATTCTCGCATCGTTCTTTACTGTGTCGTCTATGGAGCTTACGATCTTTAGCATTACAGAAAATCGAAAATATCCCAATATGAAAGATGAAACAATCAGATTATAAATAAGATTTTATGTACAATAGAATTATAATTTTACACATACAACACATACATGAATATAATTTAAAAAATATATATACAGGGTGTCCTATTTTAATTCATCCAGTCGAATATCTCGAAAACCAAGTCCGAGAGAGAAAAATGTTTCAGACAAAAGTTGTATGGTTTCAAGGGTGCCATAAGAGGGTACCATTGGTTTGACCTTGAAGAGTCATTTAGAGGTCATGCGAAGGTTACTTTAATTTTTTTAAATGGAACACCCTATATATTTTTGCACATTCTTGTAGCTCATCTCGAGAGCTTTCCAAAACACTATAATAAAGTATTTCTTCATCGAACACTTTTCGAGTTATGAGACTTGAAATAATTTCTTAATTTTACATAAACCATAAAATATCTAATAAAATATTCATTTTTCGATTATCTTACCTTAAAGAAAACATACAGTTGTTTTTACACCAATTGATTCCTCTCATTATTTTGTACATAAAAATATTAAGGTAAGATAATATTTTGTACATAAAGGTAAGATATTATTTTGTACATAAAAATATTAAGGTAAGAGAGAGATAATTGAAAAATGAATATTTTACTAGATATTTTATGGTTTGTGTAAAATTAAGAAATTATTTCAAGCCTCATAAATCGAAAAGTATTCAATGAAGAAATACTTTATTATAGAGTTTTGGAAAGATCTCGAGATGAACTACAAGAATGTATAAAAATATATAGGGTGTTCTATTTAAAAAAATTAAAGTGATCTTCGCGTGACCTTCGAATGACTCTTCAAGGTCAAACTAATGATACCATCTTATGATCCCCTTGAAATCATACAACTTTTGTCGGAAACATTTTTCTCTCTCGGGCTTGGTTTTCGAGATATTCGACTAGATATATTAAAATGGGACACCCTGTATATGTATGTTATAATATTAATTTTTCATAAAATTACCTGTAATAGAAAGTGTTGAGCTTTTGGCAGAATTTTTTTGAAAACTTGCTCATCAAGCGATTCAACTGTATATCTGGAGAGACATTGTTTCAATGTTTCTAGCAAGCATTTCGTATCAAGAGCAAGCTCTTCATTTTCTAGTAACGCGTAACGATTGAAAAAAGCATTAAGGATTAATCATCTTAATGGGATTCGCAAAAGAAGATTATATAAGAAATGTGGGAGAAAGAAAAAAGATTATATAACGAGATATTAATTAATTATATATGCATAATTTTAAAAAGAAAACATAATATAAAAAAATTTCTTATTTTTCAAAAAATTTATTATTTTCATATTTTTCAAGATTAACATGTTTTTCTTTAAATGAAAAGATGTATTTTTATTTTTCTTGCATTTTTTGTAAATGTATATATTTTGTAAATGTATATATTTATATATTTTTTGTAAATGTATATATTTTTAAAAATATACATTTTTCGAAAAAATAAATAAATTTATGTATTTTTATTTTTCTTGCATTTTTTATTTCGAATTAATTTTATATCATTAGAACTTCTTGCAACGTAATTAGCTTCTTAAAATTATACAAATTATATCATTAATATCTTTCGGTTTTTTTTAAATTTAAAGTTACTTAGATATTCTATTCCCACCTAATCATTTTGTATATTAAAAGGATATTTGTAGCTTGCACACTTGGTTATCTATATCAACCAATTCGAAGAAATCCTCATCGAGCTGATAGCTTGAAGCTTCGCTGAAGTTGATTGTACAGTTGGGCGATGACATCTTCCTACACAGCCTATTCTAGAATGTAAAACAAATTATTAATAAAATATTTATTATTAACGTATAAATATCTCAGAAAAACTATTGATAACTTTTTACATTTAATAAGTCTTTTCTATTCTATTGTTCCAAATATCTCTCCTATTATTTTCAAGTATTTTATACTTGACAAACTTAATTAGCAGTGTTTGCTGTAGATAATTTCAAAATTATCTAGATAAAGATAAAGATAAAAATCCGTAAATTTATCTTAGATGAGATAAAGATGATTTTGCTTTTACTTAATCTAGATGAAAGATGAGAGGATTATTGTGATAATCTAGATAATCTAGATATTTTTGTTTATTTTATAAGACTATAAATATTTGTAAAAAATGTGACGCAGATTATAAATGGGATATTAAAATCATAAACACATATTCTTTCTCTTTTCCTAAAGAATATTTAAATAATAACAAAAAAGTATATAAACAATATGATAAATATTTATTTATTAATTTATATTTATAATATATTTTTATAATATATTTATAATATATTAATAATATATTAATAATATAATAATCAATGTGTAACAATACATATATCATTTTTATAAAATATACATTAATGCATTGCACAAATTTAAGTAAAACATGTACAAGATAAAGTATATTTGTAATATTATTTTCCAAATAAAAAATATATTTTAGCTATTTTAGATAGATTTTTAGAAGCTTGCCTGGAAAATTCTTTTGCATAATGAAAACGTCATCTTAGACAATTTTTAGATAAGATGACATATATTTTTTATCTAAGATAAAGATAAAGATACTTTGTATTTCTTCACCTAGTTAAAGATAAAGATGATCCATTTCTTTACCTAGATAATTATCTAGATAATTTTATCTAGATACCAGCAAACACTGTTAATTAGTGATACTTAAACTATTATTAAAGAGATTTAAATACAATTTATTGATTCAATTTATTGATTAAGTGTTATAATAAAAGTAAAATACACTAATAGTTCAAACTATTCGCCAGTAGCGTATTTTCATAACAGCCCCAATGTGAAGATCGATCAACGGGGGGGGGGGGGGGGTTGTAATCAGACCTCCCCCCTCCCGATCGTGAATAATGGGTAAAAGCGGAGCAAATCGAAAATTTCTTGGCAATGCTCGAGGTTGCCGAAGTTTGCTGATAAGGATGTCAATTAAGGCAGCCTCTCTAATCGCCGATTTGCCAAAACTTTCTGTCTGCAATTTCTGCGCTATCGCCGACAACCGAGATTGTAACCCACTTCTCAAAAGGATTTAACCGATCGAGTCGATGCAAAGTCAATCTATTGAAATTCCTCATCATTTCATTCATTTTAATCATTCAATTATTATACAAATATTTTTTTGCGTTCATCAGATTGCAATTTTTCGATAACGCGCATAAAATTCAAGATAAAAATAATTAAAATAAAAATATTGGGATCAATATTATGCGATCAATGTTAATAGAATAGAGGAAAATCAAACTGAGATTAGTTGAAAAGGCTTCTATGAATCAAGAAAAAGGGATTTTATGAATGAATAAAAAAAAGAGAGAAATAACTTTAGAAAGATTAACGAATATTTGTAGGGTTGCACAAGACACAAGACACGACAATATTCGTAAAAATATTGTATTGGTACTGAAAATTTTCAAAAATTTAAATCTTGCCTTGGTCTTGAGTGAATATTGGTAGCAAAAATCTCGTCTTGTATTGTCTTATCTCGATTTTATTAACAATTTTTTATCTAATATTAAAAAATTATTTAAATAATATTTAACATAATTTTTGTAATATAATTTGAAATAATTATTACTATTGTATGATATTTTAATTATAATTATTACTATGTAATCGATATAAATGCCGTTTATTTATATAAAAAAACATTTAATGTTTCATGGAAAACAGAAATTAATAATTATTTATAGGCTCCAAGAGAATGTGCAGATATAAATATTTTGGAGTGGTAAAAAAATCAGATTCATATTTATCCCACATTGTCAAAAATGGCTCGAAACATTTTAAGTTCAATTGCCTCGTCCATGCCAGTAGAAAGACTTTTCTCAATGGGAACTTTGACTATGTTAAAAAATAGAACCAGATTACAAAGTAAATCTTTAAAAGCACTAATGTATATCAATTCCTGGGTGAAATCCTCTTTATAATGTCTAAAATTTGCGAGTTTGATTTCTAATTTATAAAAATATTATATTGTATTAATATTAAATGCTTTTAAATTTATTAATATAAATGTTTTTATTGAATACATTTTTTTTAAATTCATATACAGGGTGTCCCAAAAGTCCCGGACCGATCGAATATTTCATAAACTATGTATTTTAGAAAGAAATGTTTCAGACAAAAGTTGTATGGCTTGAAGGGGACCATCAAATAGTGGCAATGATTTGACCTTGGAGAGTCATTTGAAGGTGACATAAAGGTCTTCAATTTCTTAAATGGAACTCCCTATTTTTTATTACATATTCGTATAGCTTATCTCGAGACTTTTCCAAAACACTATAATAAAGTATTTCTTCATTGAGTACTTTTCGAGTTATGAGGCTTGAAATCATTTCTTAATTTTGCATAAACCATAAAATATCTAGTATATTCATTTTTCGATTATCTTACCTTAATATTTTTATGTACAAAATAATGAGAGGAATCAATTGGTGTAAAGAAAACACATAGTTGTTTAAAAAAAAATGTAATTGTTAATTGCAAATTACATATTTTTTTCTTAAAAACAACTATGTTTTTTCTTTACACCAATTGATTCCTCTCATTATTTTGTACATAAAAGTATTAAGGTAAGATAATAGAAAAATTAATATTTTACAAGATATTTTACGGTTTATGCAAAATTAAGAAATGATTTCAAGCCTCATAACTCGAAAAGTACTCAATGAAGAAATACTTTATTATAGTGTTTTGGAAAGCTCTCGACGTGAGCTACCAGAATATTTAATAAAAAATAGGAAGTTTCATTTAAGAAATTGACGGTGATCTTCACGTGACTTTCAAATGACTCTCCCATGTCAAATCATTGCCACTATCTGATGGCCGCCTTCAAGCCATACAACTTTTGTCTGAAACATTTCTTTCTAAAGTGCATAGTTTATGAAATATTCGATCGGTTCGGGACTTTTGGGACCTGTATAGTGATTTTTTTCATTTACAAATATAAATATTTTAGTTTCTTTGAGAACCAATAATCTTGACAGTCTTAGTCTTGGTATTGTCTTGATAACTAATTAAAAATCTTGTCTTGATCTTGTCTTGAAATTCAAGACAAGGCAAGACAATATCAAGACTAATCTTGGTATCTCGTGCAATCCTGCAAGGGAAAGGAGAGGTAATCGCGGGGTGTCGAGTAGTTGGAGGGTAAACGAGTGAGAAAAGAAGCCGATCCCAGCCAGGAATTGGAATGATCGAGCCGTCGACTTGCCATGGCAACTGCGGACAACAAGCTGTCAGATGATGGGCAGAGTTTTGATCAATAATACCGGCAGTGACTGGCTGCCTGTGCCGGCGGTTCTCGAATTCGATATACGGAGTCGCGCGAACGGTGATTTCGACGACTCCAAACAACAGCACGTGGTCGCTGGGTTGTAGTAAGGACAGAGGGTGGTAAAGGGGTTAAGAGAGGGTGGTTCCGACACGTGACCACGCGAGCGACGTGTACCAGGCTGAGTCACGGAGGATGGATTTGAGCGATGTGATTTTCGATCGAGAGATGCTAATTTTTCGTCCCTGAATTACTGAATTCGAGTCACTATAAAAAGCGGCATCGACTACTGATTGCAATAGTCGGCGTTTCGGTACTTTGATATCGGAAAAGTTTGATTTATTGAGTTGATATGATATCCAAACATTATATTCGGATAAAGCGATAAATGATGAAATGAAAAATCTGCAACGGGGAATATTACAAATAACGTAATGCAGAAGATTAAAGTTTGCTATCGACGAAAGAATTATCTACATTTAAATTTCCTTCAATTATCTCCCGTTTCTTACTTTAATAATGCGGAAAAATACAAGATAATTAAAAAGAAAATTAAAATAATAATAAGATGATAATTATTCGCTTGAGGAAAATAAATATATATCATGCTCACGTGAGGCTTTTTTTTTAATTTAAAAGTTATTCACGTTTTTTAATAATATAACTCTCATTAATAATAACGATATAACTCTCGTTAATAGCGTGCAGTAACACAAATAAAAATTTAATCCAAAAAATGATATAATTAATAAAATAAATTTCACCCCAAATAAATAAAATCCCTCCTAAGGATGTTAAGCAAATCATTCTTTTGTCTATTTTTCCGTGTCATTAAAAAGCAAGGAAAATATTTCGACTACACAAATTAAGACATTTCATATACAGGGTGTCTCATTTTAATTTCCCCAGGCAAATATTTCGAAAAATAATAAAAAATCGAAAAAATGTTTCATACAAAAGTTGTATGGTTTCTAGGGGGACATAAGATGATGCCATTAGTTTGACCTTGAAGAGTCACATGAACGTTATTTTGAATTTCTTAAATGAAACATATATTTTTGCATATTCTTGTAGCTTATCTCGAGAGCTTTCCAAAACACTATAATAAATTATTTTTTCATGAAGTACTTTTCGAGTTATAAGGCTTAAAATCATTTCTTAATTTTCCATAAACCATAAAATATCTTGTAAAATATTCATTTTTCGATTATCTTTCCTCAATACTTTTATGTACAAAATAATGAGAGAAATCAATTAGTATAAAGAAAACAGAAAAAATATGGAATTGTTAATTGTAAATTACATATTTTTTCTTAAAAACAACTGTATATTTTCTTTAGACCAATTGATTTCTCTCATTATTTTGTACATAAAAGTATTGAGGTAAGATAATCGAAAAATGAATATTTTACAAGATATTTTATGGTTTATGGAAAATTAAGAAATGATTTTAAGCCTTATAACTCGAAAAGTACTTCATGAAAAAATAATTTATTATAAGAAATTCAAAATGACCTTCACGTAACCTTCATGTTCAAGGTCAAACCAATGGCACCATCTTATGTTCTCCTAGAAACCATACAACTTTTGTCTGAAACATTTTTTAGATTTTTCATTATTTTCCGAAATATTTGCCTCGGGAAATTAAAATGGGACACCCTGTATATGCAGATATCGTGATGTTATATCATCGTGGCCTCGAGGGCAGCGTGTACGAAGTCAGCGAGGAGTTCGACCACCCTGGCAGCGCTGACAGTGATCGTAATGACGGGAGTTAATGGTACTAGTACAATCGTAGTATTGGTGTGTTGGCCGCCGTTCAAAGTAGACAGAGAAAGAAAGAGACGGGGATAGCGATACATCTGTGTTTGACAGGTGTGGTGGTGAACCGGGCTTGGATTTGGTACACATCCGAGGGTGGGTGGAGGGTGATGGCAATGGATGAAGGTAGCCAGTCAGTCGGCGCCCGATCGCGGCGTCGACAACGTTCCTCGGTGCGCTCTTCGCTCGAGGATCGAAAAAAGAAAAAGAGAGAGCTCTTCAAGTACACGTTTGCTAAAAATTAAGTAAGTATATTTATGCGCATTTGTGAAAGCACGAATTTTCACGCGTAGGATTAGTAGTTTGGCAAATTTGCGCCTACCCTTTTAAGCTACAAATCCTTAGGATTTGATAGACACACGTAAGACTTATAGCTTTCGTGATCCTTTGCCTCTTAAAAATACCTTAGAGCTAGGTTTGCTGTTCTTCAGATGATACATTTAATTTAGTAACGCTATTGGCAGATAGTATCACCTTTTTTCTTTATTGAAGTGAAAGCAATTTATATTATAGATCAATCAATCGATCGATAAGTTCCACTTGAAGAGCGATTCTAGCGATTCTGGCAATTCTGTTGGGAAGATCCACTGATGATTGCTCGGAAATGTCTAGTGGTAAAAGAGCGACGAGACCCGTCAGACAATTGTCGTTGCAGCAACCTGCACCGCGTCGGCAGCACATTAGACGACAGAAATCGGCGGAGGATGATTGTAGCAAATCCTTGCAGATCTACGCGAATCCGATCGCGCGCGATAGACTAGCCACAAATGCGACGGACAAGCCCAAGGTGCGATTGTTGAGGAATCTCTTAATCGTTAGAATGTTATCATTTCACCATCTGAAAAATTACAATGTCCTATATATTATCCTTTAATATACTTTATTACTTATAATCTTATATTATTATTACCCAGCAAACACTAACAGTTATACAGGGTGGCCCCGAACGTTCCAGCCAGACTTTGAGATTTTATAAGAAATTTAATTCTGAACTAAAAATTTCCTATAAACATGGATCGAAAAATGCTTCCTTGAAGAGCAAAAAGTGAAAAGAAAAATAGAAAGAAAATGAAACTAAATAAATTTCTTGAAAAAAACGATAAAAATAAAAAAATAAAAATCTTTTTCTTTTATGAAAATAAAATATTTTTTTTTTAAACTAATATTTTAGTAATAGCACGTAATAGTAGAAAATGAATAAAGACGTTTTTCAAGAAATTTATTTAGTTTCATTTTCTTTTTATTTCATTTTCTTTTCACCTTTTGCTCTTCCTTCATCAGAGGTTTTTGAGCGATGACTTCTTAAGGAAGCATTTTTCGACTTATGTTTATAGGAAATTTTTTGTTCAGAATTAAATTTCCTATAAGATCTCAAAGTCTGGCTGGAACGTTCGGGCCACCCTGTATAACTGTTATTTCTATAACTGTTAGTTGTAATTTTTCACTCAACAATATAACTGTTACATGTTATGTTATGTAAATGTTATTTGATGTTTGCTGGGTATACAGAGTGTCCCAGATCATCCGTACACCCCTTTTAAAAGGAAAATAAATGGCTTTTATCAAAAATCGCGGACAATTTTTAAATAAATCGGGTACGCTCTATCAAATGGTAATATTTTCAACTTTTGATTCCGACCGAAAATACGCCATCCGTATCGGAAGTTGAATTTTTTTAGGGGAACATGATACTTTTTATTACAGATTCAAATTGTACGTAAAAAAATAAGAAACTTATGTATCAAATGTTTTTTCTGAAAATGCCTCTGTCAATCTTAAAATTGAAAGTTCATTATTTCATCACAGTTACCTTCAAGGTCAATTTTAAGATTGACAGAGGCACTTTCAGAAAAAATGTTTGATATAAAAGTTTCTTATTTTTTCGTGTGCAATTTGAATCTGTAATAAAAAGTACCATGTTCTCCTAAAAAAAATTCAACTTCCGATCCGGGTGGCGTATTTCCGGTCGGAATCAGAAGTTGAAAATATCATCATTTGATAGAGCGTACGCGATTTATTTAAAAATTGTCTGTGATTTTTGATAAAAGCCATTTATTTTCATTTTAAAAGGAGTGATCTGGGACACCCTCTATATCTGTATCTATTATAATTGGCAAGTACGAGTCGCCTGGGGCGACGATCGTCGCGGAAAAAATAAGAAACTTTTGTATCAAACGTTTTTTCTGAAAGTGCCTCTGTCAATCTTAAAATTGAAAGTTCATTATTTCATCCCAGTTACTTTCAAGGTCAATTTTAAGATTGACAGAGGCACTTTCAGAAAAAACATTTGATACAAAAGTTTCTTATTGTTTCGTGTACAATTCGAATCTGTAATAAAAAGTACCATGTTCTCCTAAAAAAAATTCAACTTCCGATCCGGATGGCGTATTTCCGGTCGGAATCATAAGTTGAAAATATCACCATTTGATAGAGCGTACCCGATTTATTTAAAAATTGTCCGTGATTTTTGATAAAAGCCATTTATTATCATTTTAAAAGGGGTGGTCTGGGACACCCTGTATATCTTCATCTATTATAATTGGCAGGTACGAGTCGCCTGGGGCGACGATCGTCGCGGATGCGATGGTCTGGCCCAGGTGGAGGTGGTGGCTCGGCAGATCCCGAGCCGATCTAGACCAACTACAGGCCGATCTAGCAGGTCTTATGCCACGGAGAAGGCGTCGATTCTCTACTCGCGGCAGGAGCTGGCCGAAAGGCTGCGGCTCGCGTGGAAGCATCGCGAGCAGAACAAAGCGAACATCGACATTTTCTTGGCACATAACGTGGCCGTAGAGGAGCGCTGCGAATCTGGATTGTCAATGTCCACTCCGCCAACTCCGCTCCCCAAAGAGGAGGCTGATCTTATGCCAGATGAAGAAAGGAGCCCGCAAAATCTGAAAATATCTGGCAATTCAGGAGATCGAGGAAGGAAAACGCGTGAAATCGAGCACGAAGATGAAAGAGAACGCGACGGGAAGCTGGAGATTTCGTCTGGAATGATGGAAAACAACTTGATGAACAAAGATGAAAATGTGACGAAGAGCGTGGAAAAAAAAGGAACGGAGAACGAGGCATGTATCTCGATAAGTAATTATGTCACTAATAATTATTAATATACAGGGTGTCCCAAAAGTCCCGGACCAGTCGAATATTTCATAAACTATGCACTTTAGAAAGAAATGTTTCAGACAAAAGTTGTATGGCTTGAAGGGGACCATCAGATAGTGGCAATGACCTTGGAGAGTCATTTGAAGGTGACATAAAGGTTTTCAATTTCTTAAATGGAACCCCCTATTTTTTATTACATATTCGTGTAGCTTATCTCGAGACCTTTCCAAAACACTATAATAAAGTATTTCTTCATTGAGTACTTTTCGAGTTATGAGGCTTGAAATCATTTCTTAATTTTGCATAAACCATAAAATATCTAGTAAAATATTCAATTTTCGATTATCTTACCTTAATACTTTTATGTACAAAGTAATGAGAGGAATCAATTGATGTAAACAAAACACATAGTCGTTTTAAAAAAAATATAATAATAATTGTTAATTATAATAATAATTGTTAATTGCAAATTACATATTTTTTTCTTAAAAACAACTATGTTTTTTCTTTACACCAATTTATTTCTCTCATTATTTTGTACATAAGAGTATTAAGGTAAAATAATCGAAAAATGAATATTTTACAAGATATTTTACAGTTTATGTAAAATTAAGAAATGATTTCAAGCCTCATAATTCGGAAAGTACTTAATGAAAACTAACTTAATTATAGTGTTTTGGAAAGCTCTCGATGTGAGGTAGAATATTTAATAAAAAATAGGGAGTTCCATGTAAGAAATTGACGGTGATCTTCACGTGACTTTCAAGTGATTCTTCGATGTCAAATCATTGCCACCTGATGACCCCCTTCAAGCCATACAATTTTTGTCTGAAATATTTCTTTCTAAAGTGCATAGTTTATAAAATATTCGACCAGTCCCGGACTTTTGGGATACCCTGTATAAGCAATATAATTACTTAATTTCTACAATTAATGATATCAATTTCGTTTTATTTCTTTCATTATTTTGAACACATACAAACAATTAGTGAAATTCTATAAATTCAATATAACAGATATATTTAATAACATATTTTTGATCCTTTTATATTAAATTTTGAAATGTGCAAAAAAATTCTTCTTCCATAAAATATGAAGAATAGGATAGGATTTTTCAACATTTTTTTTTAAATAAAAGAATCTAATTTTTATAATTATCTTTACATTACAGTAGATTTCTTTTTGAAGATAAATATATAAATATCATTACTTTCTATTACAAAAATTACTAATCGGAGAATATTATCGTTTTTTTTTTCAGAAAACAACGAACACGCAAATTAATTCGGACGTTGATGAGAGAAAAAAGAAGACGAAGATAAACATCGATTGCACGAATCTTCATCTTTCTGCAAGCAATCAGTCACATCCTTCAGTTACCTTTCCGTCCCTAAAACCGGAAAACGCGGATTCAGCGAAGACCAACGACAATTTCTCGTCGGCGAAGCAGAAGCGCGCGAGTTTTCAGAACGGTACCAATCGTGCTTTTCTGATACCGATGACGGAGAAAACTCCGAAGGAGATGACGGAAGCGAAGGATAAGATCGCATCGGCGAAATCGATCGAGGTCAGATGCGCCTCGGCCGCGACGAGATCGCCGGTCGACAGGAACATCGTCCTCGCCAGAAGTTCGTCCACGACGAGCTTGGAGAAGACGAGGAGGACGAATTCCGCGCCTCCGCAAAGAAGAAATGTCGCACCTGGGACGCGCGTTCAAGTAAATATCGTGATCGATGCGCCTGGTCTCGGCGAAGACAAGTCAACCGTTTGCGGAAAAGTGCAGGATGAAAAAGACGCTGTGGAAAAACTCGAGGAAGCATCGACGAAGGTAAGAAGGATTGCGCGAACTTTTCTTCAAATCCTGAAAAGTGTATTTAAAAATTTAGAAGAGCTATTTATCACATATAATTCAAGAAGAAATATAATATAAATATATAATATATAGGGTGTTTCATTTTAATTTCCCGAGGCAAATATTTCGAAAAATAATGAACAATCGAAAAAATCTTTCAGACAAAAGTTGTATGGTTTCTAGGGGGACATAAGATGGTGTCATTAGTTTGACCTTGAAGAGTCACAAGGTTGAAGGTTACGTGAAGGTTATTTTGAATTTCTTAAATGGAACATCCTATATATTTTTGCTTATTCTTGTAGCTCATCTCGAGAGCTTTCCAAAACACTATAATAAAGTATTTCTTCATCGAACACTTTTCGAGTTATGAGACTTGAAATAATTTCTTAATTTTACATAAACCATAAAATATCTTGTAAAATATTCATTTTTCGATTATCTTACCTTAATACTTTTATGTACAAAATAATGAGAGGAATCAATTGGTGTAAAAAAACACATAGTTGTTTTTTAAAAAAAATATCTAATTTGCAATTAACAATTATACATATTTTTTCTTAAAAAATAACTATATTTTTCCTTTACACCAATTGATTCCTTTCATTATTTTGTACATAAAAGTATTAAGGTAAGATAAATCGAAAAATGAATATTTTACAAGATATTTTATGGTTCATGTAAAATTAAAAAATGATTTCAAGTCTCATAACTCGAAAAGTGTTCGATGAAGAAATACTTTATTATAGTGTTTTGGAAAGCTCTCGAGATGAGCTACAAGAATAAGCAAAAATATATAGGATGTTCCATTTAAGAAATTCAAAATAACCTTCACGTAACCTTCACGTGACTCTTCAAGGTCAAACTAATGGCACCATTTTATGTCCCCCTACAAATCATACAACTTTTGTCGGAAACATTTTTTCGATTTTTCATTATTTTCCGAAATATTTGCCTGGGGAAATTAAAATGAAACACCCTGCATAATATTTGTATGATATAAAAATATATAATATTTGTATAATATAAATTATACAAATTATATTCGATACATAAATTATGTAAATAAATATAGGAGCAAAGGATAATAAAAAGAGTATAAAAAAAAATAGATAAGTGAATAAGATACGAATCGCACGAGCCATCTTCTAGATATCGCGAGGCGAGCGCTCGATAAGATCGGCGCCTCTGAAGAAGAGATCGAGGAGCGCGAAGAGACGCCTTCTCGCTTCGGGCAAGGACGAGGATCGCGGAGGACGAGGAAAGAGCTCCATGGATCCCAGAACGAGTGACGTGATTACCATGGTATCGCTGGTCAGTTCGGCTGATAGCGACAGCGACGCGGAAAACTCGCCAGGCGACGATAAGCTCATCAACGAGCTTCGCAGCAAGCTACCCACTACCCCCATCATTAAAACGTCCCTCAACCCCAATCCCGCCATATTAAGGAAACCTATCAAGTCAGGTATGATGCTTTTTATTTGATTTTTTTGTATAAATTGAAATTTTTTTACATAAATTAAGCATTTTATATAAATTATGTAAATGTAAATTCTTAGCAGAAATAAATACAATAAATTCGATATAAAAATTTCGATTAATGCATTTTTTTATGTGTTTGTTAAAATATGGAGTAATTCGAGCTTTTGTCAAGTTTTTTTCTTCTGCACAGAAAAAAAAGTGTCAAATCAAAACTTATATACTTAAACTAATGCGTTCATTGTTTCGTATATACGCAACAATTTATAATCTTCTTAGAAGAATTTAATAATTTTAAATTTCAACAATATTATCGTCTTATTTTAATATCGTAATTGTCACCTCAAGAATATATAATTATTTAATTCTACTTTAAGAAAATTATAATCTTTGATTTAAAAATGTTATTTTCTATCCAACACTGTTTCTTTTTCATTCAAGAAAAAATTAAATCTTAAATTATGAGAATATATTTTTCTCGATTGAACTATATAAAATGGCTTCATTCAAGTAAGCAATTATTCAAGCAATTATATTTTTCTTAAATTAACGCGATATAATCTCATTTCAAGATTTCCATGTTAAAACTAAATATATTTTCAAAACAAGAATGTCCTTTTTTTCTGTGTATTCTTTCAAAAAATCCCAATTTACAGTCTAAGAATTGATGATTCTCTCTTGTATTAAATCGCATGGATAGTTTCCTTTCAGAGAGACTCCTTCAACGAGGAGCGTTCATTATATCGTATGTACGCAACAATTTATAATCTTTTTAGAAGAATTTTGATAATTTTAAATTTCAACAATATTATCGTCTTATTTTGATATCGTAATTGTCACCTCAAGAATATATAATTATTTAATTCTACTTTAAGAAAATTATAATCTTTGATTTAAAAATGTCATTTTCTATCTAACATTGTTTCTTTTCTATTCAAGAAAATTAAATCTTAAATCATAAGAATATATTTTTCTTGATTGAACTATATAAAATGGCTTCATTCAAGTAAGCAATTATTCAAGCAGTAATATTTTTCTTTAATTAACGCGATATAATCTCATTTCAAGATTTCCATGTTAAAACTAAATATATTTTCAAAATAAGAATGTCCTTTTTTTCTGTGTGGACTTCTGAAAAACGGTTTTTCATTTTGAGAAATCTGTATCATTGGGCCACGAATAAAATGGGTTTTTATAGCCTCTTAAATTTATATTTATTTAGCTGATCGTGCTGAGATAACATTCGATAACGTATACGCGTGCGGCAACAAGCAAGGCGAAGAGGCGTAGAACTATAATTGAACCGACTAATTAAGAGAGACACGAGACACGCGAACAGCACATAGCTTGAATTCCCAGACGCCAGCTTTTCTGCACAATACGCGTTTGCTTTGTAATTAGAGTGACTTCATTATTGCTATCATTTATGCAGTGCAAGATAATTATATATAAAAATTAGTTTAAAAAAATTCAGTAAACGCATTAAAATAAAATAACAAAGATATATAATTAATCTTCTCATCTTTCGAAATCGATCTACGTGAAATCTTGTTAATAAAAAAATTATCTCAATTTACCTCACAATTTCTATTATTAATAACGACTCACCCTAAATGCGGTCGTGCGGTTAATGCGGTGCATCGTGGAGATATCGTGATTGATTTTGTTGGGATTAATAGACTACCGCGTACAATCGAATTTAGGCTTTTTACAATAGCCGAATAACCTGATTCTACCCCATTGACGAATATCGTTTATTATTGATTCACTTTCAGAAGAGAAAAAAGAGAGAAATTATCTATGTTGAATATTATTTCTCACAATGAAATTTTGCTGCATCAAGTAAATTCCCTGAAAATTACACAGAAAAAAAATAAGTGTCAAATCAAAACTTATATACTTAAATTAACGCGTTAAATTGTTTCGTATATACGCAACAATTTATAATCTTCTTAGAAGAATTTAATAATTTTAAATTTCAACAATATTACAGTCTTATTTTAATATTATAATTGTCATCTCAAAAATATATAATTATTTAATTCTACTTTAAGAAAATTATAATCTTTGATTTAAAAATGCTATTTTCTATCTAACATTGTTTCTTTTCTATTCAAAAAAATTAAATCTTAAATCATAAAAATATATTTTTCTTGATTGAACTATATAAAATGGCTTCATTCAAGTAAGCAATTATTCAAACAATTATATTTTTCTTTAATTAACGCAATATAATCTCATTTCAAGATTTCTATGTTAAAACTAAATATATTTTCAAAATAACAATGTCCTTTTTTTCTGTGTATTCTCTTAAAAAATCCCAATTTACAGTTTGGGAATTGATGATTCTCTCTTGTATTAAATCACATGGATAGTCTCCTTTCAGAGAGACTCCTTCGACGAGAAGCATTCATTGTTTCGTATAATATATGCAACAATTTATAATCTTCTTAGAAGAATTTAATAATTTTAAATTTCAACAATATTACAGTCTTATTTTAATATTATAATTATCATCTCAAGAATATAAAATTATTTAATTCTACTTTAAGAAAATTATAATCTTTGATTTAAAAATGTTATTTTCTATCCAACATTGTTTCTTTTTCATTCAAGAAAAAATTAAATCTTAAATCATGAGAATATATTTTTCTCGATTGAACTATATAAAATGGCTTCATTCAAGTAAGCAATTACATTTTTCTTAAATTAACGCGATATAATCTCATTTCAAGATTTCCATGTTAAAACTAATTATATATTTTCAAAACAAGAATGTCCTTTTTTTCTGTGTATTCTTTCAAAAAATCCCAATTTACAGTCTAAGAATTGATGATTCTCTTTTGTATTAAATCGCATGGATAGTTTCCTTTCAGAGAGACTCCTTCGACGAGGAGCGTTCATTGTTTCGTATATATGCAACAATTTGTAATCTTCTTAGAAGAATTTAATAATTTTAAATTTCAACAATATTACAGTCTTATTTTAATATTATAATTGTCATCTCAAGAATATAAAATTATTTAATTCTACTTTAAGAAAATTATAATCTTTGATTTAAAAATGTTATTTTCTATCCAACATTGTTTCTTTTTCATTCAAGAAAAAATTAAATCTTAAATCATGAGAATATATTTTTCTCGATTGAACTATATAAAATGGCTTCATTCAAGTAAGCAATTATTCAAGCAATTATATTTTTCTTAAATTAACGCGATATAATCTCATTTCAAGATTTCCATGTTAAAACTGAATATATTTTCAAAACAAGAATGTCTTTTTTTTCTGTGTATTCTCTCAAAAACTCCCAATTTACAGTCTGGGAATTGATGATTCTCTCTTGTATTAAATCATATGGATAGTCTCCTTTCAGAGAGACTCCTTCGACGAGGAGCCGATGAAGGACGAGAAGCGGGTCGCCAATAATGTTCAACCTCCTTACTTCGGCTTCGCTCTTAACGTCGCGCACGGAACCAGCTGCAAGGATTCACCGGAACAGGATTTAGTTCTCGACGACATCGTCGCGTCACCGACGATGACAGCCGTTCCCGCGCTCTTAATTTCGCAGGATGCCGAGAAAGCGGTGCCAGAGGCACCGTTGACCGATCGCGAGAAGAGATGTCTGGCGGTGCCGATCGGCGATCTGCATGACAAGAAACGGAAGCTGCTGCGAACGCGGAGTATTCCAAGTCGTCCGACGTGAGGCTAATTCTAAAATAAAATAATCATAATTCAATAAAACTTTCTACGTCCTCAGACAGCATAAAAAGGCCAAAAGATGTTTTAAAGACGTCTAGAGGACTTTAAGACGTCTTTAAGTCGTCTTTTAGATGTCTTTTGGACATGTGTGTTGTCTGGGGTCTATGATTGTGTAATATAATACATTCGAATCATTTGGAATCACGTTATTTTAAGTCAGGGTTCATTAGTTGGTAATTATTTAATTTACTGATGATGAAGACTCTGCTACTCTAGAAGTTATTCTCTCGACAACGAAAGTATTACATAACGCTGCAGAATAATAGAAGCTCTCTAGAAGCTCTTTAGAAGAGAAATAGCGAAAACAAGTGATGATCGATTGGCGCGAGTGGTGTAGTCAAGTCCCACTGTCGTATCTTAATCTGTATACAAAGCGTTGGGGGAGAAGGAGGAGGGAGAAAAAGTTCGATTGGCCAACGATTTATGATATTGACGTGGAAAAAATAAAATGGGTAACGTGATGTAACCGGTAATGGGAGAGGGAGAGAAGAAGGTTGGTTTGTAACGGACTGGTACGGCCGTGAATGTTTGCATCCCGTGGATGGTGGTACGTCCTTCGATTGGTGCCTCCGTCAAACTTCGATCATCATATTTGATGTCTTCCGCGCGAACGCGTACATTGCTCGCTTATATAAAATTAGAAGACTGAACCGATTAAAGTTTGCAAATTTTACGAGTCTAAGACTCTTTCTTCGTTTTTACTACATACATATTTCTTCTATTTTCATCGATCAACTTGAACAACCTTGATATCAGGAATTTTTTTTAAGCGAAGTTTGATCCTTCTGATACGATTAATATGTTTTGATTGCCGCGATATTTTTGATAAACCTAAAAAAGAAATACAGGGTTAGGAAAAAGTCTGGATACCCCTTAATATTTCGAAAAATACGCATTTAAAAAAAAATGTTTCATACAAAAGTTATAGGGTTTTATGTGATGCATTACACAGCAACATTATCATGACCTCGAATAACGTTGTCGAGGTTATGTGTATGAAGGTCAGCTTCAATTTTTTAAATGGAACCCCCCTATTTTTCATTGCATATTCTTGTAGCTTATCTCGAGAGTTTTCCAAAACATTATAATAAATTATTTTTCCATGAAGTACTTTTCGAATTATGAGGCTTGAAATCATTTCTTAATTTTACATATACAGTTGTTTTTAAGAAAAAATATGGAATTGTTAATTGCAAATTACATATTTTTTCTTAGAAACAACTATTTTCTTTACACCAATTAATTCCTCTCATTATTTTGTACATAAAAGTATTAAGGTAAGATAATCGGAAAATGAATATTTTACAAGATATTTTATGGTTTATGTAAAATTAAGAAATGATTTCAAGCCTCATAACTCGAAAAGTACTTCATGAAAAAATAATTTATTATAATGTTTTGGAAAGCTCTCGAGGTAAGCTACAAGAATATGACAATTACAAATACAATGAACAAATACAATGAAAAATAGGGGGTTCCATTTAAAAAATTGTAGCTAACCTTCATATAACCTTGACAACGCTATTCGAGGTCATAATAATGTTGCTGTGTAATGCGCCATATAAAACCCTATAACTTTTGTATGAAACATTTTTTTTTAAATGTGTATTTTTCGAAATATTAAGAGGTATCCAGACTTTTTCCTAACCCTGTATATTTCGATAATGTTCGCAGAATAACGGAATCGACGAATAATGTACCGATGGAAACGAAGGAGCAGAGGTCCTGTCTGGCGATGTCGCGAATTGATCTTGTCGCGGTTCCAATTCCGCCAATTGATATTCCGCTTTCAAAGGTAAAGGAGTTAATTCTCTATCAAATTCAAACGAATTTAATATAATTAAATATTTAATATAATATATATTTTAATATTATTTTATATTCTAATACTATTATATTATTATTATGCGAATATAGCAGGTTGAACACTTTTCTAAAGAAACATTGCCGGCGAAAGAAACACCGCGAGAGATGATGCCTTCGGAGCCGCACTTTCAAACGACGAAGGAAAAAGAATGCTGGCATCTTTACAGACGAATGTGCGATAAGGGAGTGTGCGTGTCTTTCGACACTGTTTTAAGGTAATAGATAATTATCAATCGGATTAAAAATGTAATAATCAATTTCAATTAATTAAAAATATAAATTTTAAATAATTAATAATAAATAGTATAATATATCACTTTTATATTATAATTTTTTATATAATATTATATAATAATATATAATATTATATAATAATATTATATTATTATATAATATTATATTATTATTTATATTTAATTATTTATTTAATTTATATTTAATTATTTATTATTTATATTATTATAATTTTTTATATAATATTTATATAATCAAAATAAAAAAATAAGGAATAATAAGAAATTTATTTAAGATTTATTTAAGGAGAGAGATATTTAAAAATTTCAAAATATTTCAATAATATAGAATAATTCAAATTTTAAATATAGACAAATATAGATAAATATCGATTTAATTTTTAATTATTATTATTTGAGTCAAAATTCAATTTATTTAATTCAAATATAGAATAAAATGCAAATAATAAATTCGGAAAATTGTAAACTATCACATTTTGATATCAATTTATTAAACCTTTGTAATCTATGCGCACTCATAAATAATTGGAAAAATATTTTTCAGAGGTATGCTGACACCAACGGAATATCGATTACGACAAAAAGAATATTCACAAGATTTACAATAAAATTAGTAAAAACATGAGATTGTTTTGTTATAATGTTTAGATACTTTTTTAATTATAGATAACCGAGATTATTTTTATCTTCTTGAATCGGTCAGTTATCCAGAGATGATAGAAACAAAACGTAATATTACTAGAAAAAACCTATATAATTTATATAAGTGTAATTTATATTAATTATAATTAATAAATTATACATAACATGTATATATAATTTATTAATTCTTAATTATATTTTACTAATTTTTATATATAATTTATATATAGAATTGTTATTTGGATATTATATAATTTTGTTAAAATTATAATAAATAAATTGAATATATCATACATTATAATTTTTATATATAATTTATTAATTGTGATTAATTATGATTTTACGATTAGAAAAATGTGTATGGAAATTACACATAAAATTAAAATAACTGAAATAATCAGATAGACTATAAATTATTATTATTAAAATCGAATAAGTGATGTCTTAATAATAATAATTAATAATTATAATAAATTACATATTCAAAAAATAATGATAAAAATAGGCGTACTCAAATTATTTGATATTTAGTAATTCCTATTAAATTTTCAATGAAGTTGTATCATCTTTTTCTTAATCCACTTTCTTTCTCTTTAAATTATTTTTAAACTATTCCAAATAGTATTAGAATACTTGTAATATATAAAAATATAGCAATGTATATTACATAAAGTTAAGGAAATTATCTGTTCTTCTAATTGCACATTATATATTAATAATAAGATAAATATGTATTCAGTTATTAGAAAAAAAAGAGAAAGAAATGAGAAAAATACAGGAGGTACAACTATACAAAAGAAAATCTATCGTTTCATACAACAATTTTGATTGTTTTGAAATATGGGAATATTTTCCCTTGTAAATATACAGAGTATTTCACACCATCCGTACCACCCATTTAAAAACTAAAGAAGTGATTATTTCAAAAATATAAAAACATTTTCTTTATAAATCGGGTGCGCTCTATCGAATGGTGATATTTTCAACTTCTGCTTCCGGCCAGAAATAGGCGATTCAGACCGGAAGTGCTGTGTTTTAGAAAGCTCTCGAGCCTACAAGAATATGCAATGAAAAATAGAGGATACCATTTTTTTAAATGGAACCCCCTATTTTTCATTGCATGTTCTTGTAACCTCGAGTGCTTTCCAAAACACTATAATACATTATTTTTCCATGAAGTACTTTTCCAGTTATGAGGCTTGAAATAATTTCTTAATTTTACATAAACCATAAAATATCTTGTAAAATATTCATTTTTCGATTATCTTACCTTAATACTTTTATGTACAAAATAATAAGAGGAATCAATTGGTGTAAAGAAAACATACAGTTGCTTTTAAGAAAAAATATGGAATTATTAATTGCAAATTACATATTTTTTTCTTAAAAACAACTGTATATTTTCTTTACACCAATTGATTCCTCTCATTATTTTGTACATAACAGTATTAAGGTAAGATAATCGAAAAATGAATATTTTACATGATATTTTATGGTTTATGTAATTTATGGTATATGTTGTATAATATCTTGCAAAATATTCATTTTTCGATTATCTTACCTTAATATTTTTATGTACAAAATAATGAGAGCGATCAATTGGTGTAATGAAAACATACAGTTGCTTTAAAGAAAAGATGTGGAATTGTTAATTGCAAATTACATATTTTTTCTTAGAAACAACTATATGTTTTCTTTACACCAATTGATTCCTTTCATTATTTTGTACATAAAAGTATTAAGGTAAGATAATCGAAAAATGAATATTTTACAAGATATTTTATGGTTTATGTAAAATTAAGAAATGATTTCAAGCCTCATAACTGGAAAAGTATTTCATGGAAAAATAATTTATTATAGTGTTTTGGAAAGCTCTCGAGATAAGCTACAAGAATATGCAATGAAAAATAGGGGGTTCCATTAAGAAAAATGCACTTCCGGTCTGAATGGCCTATTTCCGGCCGGAAGGAGAAGTTGAAAATATCACCATTCGATAGAGCGCACCCGATTTATAAAGAAAATATTTTTACTTTCTTGAAATAACCACTTCTCTAGTTTTTAAACGGGTGGTACGGGTGGTCTGAAACACCCTGTATAAACAAATACACACACAAACATACAATTAAATTCAAAAAACAAAAAGTATTACTTAGGACACAAGATCGCTATAAAAATTAACGCAAAATGAATGCTCACCGATTAAAAGCAAATTTTGAATTTCCTTTCCCTGCTGTAAAATCTTTTTTTTCTTCTTCTGTTGGACCAGAGGATAAAGTTGAATCAATCGTACAGCCGTCAACTGATTTCCTTAATCTTAATAAATTATTATTCGATCCACACACGCACATAAATTGGAACCAAGGACACGCACTATTACACATTTAACCTTCGCTCCCGTCTATGAATGACAACAAACTCGATGTAAAGTTGCGAATATGATATTTCGTTAATATTTTTAAGTATACAGAATTTTTTAATTATTTTAATTATATTTTTATTATATTTTAGAATTTTTTAATTATTTTAATTATATTTTTATTATATTTTATTTTAATATTTTATATTTTATATTAACATTTTATATTATTTTATTATATTTTAATTTAATATTTAATATTTTATATTAATATTTTATATTATTTTAATATTTTATATTAAAAATTATATTTTAATTATATTTTTAATTATACAGAATTTTTTTATATTTACGTTCATCGTGAAACGATAAAAAAAAATTCTGTATAATTTCCTTATCTCGGAATGCAATTATCCTACCTTTTCCCAAACGAAGTTCAAAGTCAAAGTACGAATCGACCAATCGTCATGCACCTGCGCGAATGTAGATGCGCCCGCGAAGCTGTCAGCTGTGCACCTGTCACCGTGATTACCGATTGGGGCATATCTGGAGCAATCAGGATAAGAGGAGCGAAGGTATCCCTGCCCTGATTGGTTGACGAAACGTTGCTCTATCTCACGGATAAAATTCCCGAATGTACTCTTATCATGTGAAATTGTGTGGTTGATGTTATCATCGCTTATCACGCTTGTCGGTCCCGCGAAATGAGATCCTTACCCGCCTCCTTGTCATGACAACGGATGCGAGCAAGGATAAGGATGTCGAGGAAGCACGGGAGTAAGGCTAATATCGACTACAAGGCGCGGCTCGAGTATAAGTTGTACTTGGTACGTATACATCTACGAATTTAGGTTAGGACGGTCGCAGTAATTCGGATCAATTAGCAGCACCTTGATTATTCATTAATTAAATAGTGTTCGTTTATTACTGATTATATAAGTATCGTTACATAATAAATATGATATATTTAAGTAACAATAGTATTACGAAAAAAATTAATTTGTAAATGTGGGTAAAAGAGGAATTGGAAATTAATAGAATTACAAAACTTTCATGAAAAAAAAAAATATATATGTATATTAATTTTTTATTTGGTACATATTTTCTTTATTTTCTTAATTCTTATTTTATATTTAATATCATTATTATAATAATGATATTTATATATATAATATATAAATAATATGTATAAAATAATATTTATATATATATATATATATATATATAATATATAAATAATAATGATATATATATATATATATTAATTTTCTATTTGGTACATATTTTCTTTATTTTCTTAATTCTTATTTTATATTTAATGTTATTATTATAATAATGATATTTATATATACAGGGTGGTCCCAAACGTTCCAGCCAGACTTCAAGATCTTAGGAAATTTAATTCTGAACAAAAAATTTCCTATAAACATGGATCGAAAAATGCTTCCTCAAGACGTTATCGCTCAAAAATCTCTGATGAAGGAAGAGTAAAAGGTGAAAAGAAAATGAAATAAAAAGAAAATGAAACTAAATAAATTTCTTGAAAAAAACGATAAAAATAAAAAATAAAAATCTTTTTCTTTTATAAAAATAAAATAAATTTTTTTTTTTTAACTAATATTTTAGTAATAGCACGTAATAGTAGAAAATGAATAAAGACGTTTTTCAAGAAATTTATTTAGTTTCATTTTCTTTTTATTTCATTTTCTTTTCACCTTTTGCTCTTCCTTCATCAGAGGTTTTTGAGCGATAACTTCTTGAGGAAGCATTTTTCGACCCATGTTTATAGGAAATTTTTTGTTCAGAATTAAATTTCTTATAAGATCTCAAAGTCTGGCTGGAACATTCGGGACCCCTATATAATATATATATATATATATATATATATATATATATATATAATATATAATAATGATTTTTATTATAACATTAATTGTTAGATATATAATTATGGATGCATGTTTGAGAGCAAGTTTTTGCAGCTTTAATTATGCAAAGATTAAAGCAGCATATTGGTTCTTTAAGACATTAAATACTTCTTTTATGTGTATTATAATTTCAAGGCCAGAGAAAATCCAGAGCCAATATTTGACGTGTCGGAATGTGCCTTGAAGCATGTGCCGTCTGGTATCTACTCACTTTGCAAGGTGTTTCGGAAGAAAACCTTACTGATGTACGACAACAAGCTGAGCTCGCTCTCAGGAGGAGGTGCCTTAAATGACTTGTCGCTGCTGACTATTTTAGACCTTCATGGAAACGAGTTTACCACATTACCCCCTGATATTATGTGTCTCTCTTCCCTCAAGGTGTATTTATTAGATTGAGCAGAAAGTTTTATTGTTTGTTCCCTATACAACTTTTATATATAAAAAGAAAGAGAATATTGTGTAGATTCCTACTGACAATACGAAATAATATATTATATTGTATATAATATAAATAAGATACTAAAATATAGTGATTTTTTTTAGGAGCTCTATTTGCAAGACAACAGCATCCGCAAACTGCCCAATGAAATAACTTACTTGAGTAACTTAACAATTCTTAATATTTCGAGGAACAACCTGAAACAACTGCCTAATGGTATTGGACAAATGCAGAAACAACTAACTATTCTCAATATCAGTCATAATAAATCGCTGCAAAAGCTGCCCAAATCTCTGGGCTATGCTCAGCAATTGACAAATTTAAATATTGATGATTTAAACTTGTCATATCCACCTCAAGATATTTTAGATGGTGGCACAATAGTGATTATCGCATTTTTGGCTAACGAGAATGGCATCGACTACTCGCCAGAGACTCCGATATCAGAGACTGATATTTCGAGGGACATAAGTTCAGAAGATATGCAGATAGTACATCACAATAAGAATAATGACGTTCAGGTATTGTAGTAAAAAATAATGCAAAATTTCATTATTATAATCAAATTATAATAATTATATATGTATATATGTAATAATTGTTCATGTTTTGTTGGCTACATTATTATTATTAGATATGCAGTAACTCACTTAATTGATCAAGAATTATCTCAAAGATAAAAAGAAATAAGATATATAGACATTTATTTTAGAAATATTACTTTAGAGAAATATATATATATATATATATATATATATATATATATATATAATATAAATGTTTTTTTTATATGTTATGTTTTTCATTTTTTCCTTCTTGACATATATTTAAAAAATTTTATAAAAGTTAATTAATTTTGTGAGTACTTATAAGAATTACCTCAAAGATAAAAAGAAATAATAAGATATACTATAGACATTTATTTTAGAAATATTACTTTAGAGAAATATATATATATATATATATATATATATATATATATAATATAATATAAATGTTTTTTTATATGTTATGTTTTTTCATTTTTTCCTTCTTGACATATATATTTAAAAAATTTTATAAAAGTTAATCAATTTTGTGAGTACTTATAAGAATTACCTCAAAGATAAAAAGAAATAATAAGGTATACTATAGACATTTATTTTAGAAATATTACTTTAGAGAAATATATATATAATATAAATGTTTTTTTATATGTTATGTTTTTTCATTTTTTCCTTCTTGACATATATTTAAAAAATTTTATAAAAGTTAATCAATTTTGTGAGTACTTATAATTAATTCACACAATGTGCTTTTGCTGTTTGTGCATAATCACCTTTTCTTTTTTTCTCTCTCTCTTTTAGGCAGCATTACAGAAGCTAGACAAAATGAAGGCATGTTGGATGCTACTTTGAGTTTCGTATGCTTCTCACTTGTTATCCATCTATTTTATTATTATTTATTAATATTATTTATTAATAAGTTGATTTTTGAAAGACGTTCAGTGCATTCAATCCAATAAATTAATTGCATAAAAAGATTTGAATAAGAAAGATTCATATATAGCATAATTCTTTATATCAAAAGAAAATCACGATTTAATTATTTCTATTTTTTGGATAAATGCACTGAACATCTTATTTATATGTTCAATTATTAATTGCATTGCTAAAATGTTAATTACATTCCCATTTATGCTTTTTATACGATCTTTTCTGAATATTTTGTACACTATTCTACAATATGTACATTTTTCTCACTTATCAATTTTTTTTCTTTAATTATTTCTTTTAAATGAGCATTAAAAGAAGTTCATTATTATAAATCCATAAAAATCTTAATTATATTAGATTGATAAAAGAATTTATTCGCTTTTCTGTTCCACTTTACATAAATAAAAACTTATATGTATGTAAAAAAGCGAATATATTATTTTATCAACTCAATACATAATTTCATACTGTAATATTGTGATAATAAAAATTATATCCCGACAGGAACAGCGACAAAATGCTTTGTTGGAAGTGGAGAAAAACATAAAACAGCAGCAAGAATATGAAATGGAACTGCAATCCATGCTGAAAGTTCATAGAAAGAAGGTAAAATATCATTAAACCAGAAATTGAAATGCTGTACATGCTTTTATGATTGTTAAATATTATCTAGACAAATACAGATATAAAAAAATTCAGAACATTTGAATATTTTCTTTGTGTTTTTTCAGCTTTTGGAGGATCTAGCATCACAACAAATACAATTGGAACAAGAGCTTGAGAAAGTGCAGCAAGAAAGAGATACGAACAGAGCGCGTTTACTTTCATACATTTATAATGGTACAATTTTACTTTCAGTCCTTAATTCTTTTGAATTTTGCACTAAATATATAATTTATTGTACACTTGTTTTGTGATTAATTTATTAAATATGAAAAAGTTTTGTAATTAATTTATTAAGTATTAAATAAACTTTTCTTTTTAGCTGAAAAAGAAGCCGATAACGTAATTAAAGAATTTCTAAAAAATAGTGAAGAAGAAAGGCAAAGTCAAGCTGAATTACTGGAACGGGAGAAGCAAGAAGAAATGCAATTGTTAAGTTCTTGCCACTCGGAACAATTCATGCTACGCATGAAAGATACTCTCTGTAAATATTAAACATATAAAAATACATAAAATTCAAATCATCCATATATCGTATATAACAGATTTGTTTTTACAGTTGAAATGGAGAAATTGTTGGAAGAGGAAATGTGCAAGGCGAGAAAACTGGAAGAGTATACTAAATATAGAGATTACACAGCGCAATCTCTACTTACACTGTCAGTATAAACTTCAATATAATTCTCTTCTTTATAAAAGTTTTTCTTCACATTTTCAAGAATGAAAAGCAGAATTAACAAGCAAAAATAAAATCTTAATTTATTATATCTCTGTTGATTTTGTTTTATTCTAAGAATTAATTATATGAAAGTATTATATAAGAAAAAAATGAAAATTTATATTTATGATTAAAAATTTATGAAAGTAAGATTCAGGAAAATTATTTCAGGGAGGTAAGAAACAACGACCATCTGGCACAAATAGTGCAAGATCAAGAAAAAAATAGGCAAGATCTCGTTGATAGATTGCGACAGGATGAAGTTTTGCAGAAAGCGGCAGTTGCTGCATTATTGGAACGCAGTGATGCGCGTTGTTGGAGCATTGTTCAACAAGTGAATCTAGTCCAATCACAATTAGCCGCGCTGACAAACATCGAGCTTGAGAGGAGAAAATTGGAGATTAATCAGCAGCTTGTAAGTTTAAGCTTCTAATTTAAGAATTAAAGAGAATTGAAGAAAGTCTTTAAATTTCTTGAATTCATAAATATAATAAAATGTAATTATGATAATATAATTTATAAAAATTTATATAAATAATTTCTTTTTAGAACGAGATCGCTGATAGACGTGTAGCTCTAACAGCTATTCTAATTGATTTATTGGAACAGCAAAAGAATAGGAGAGATCAACTACTAGAGACAATCAATGCGATAGAGCAGCAGCGATGCATCTCTGTATGTTTTTTGTTTTCTAAGTTCTTGACAACACAGATTTTATTTTTGTGAAAATATTTTACAGAAATAGTTTATATATATATATATATATATATATATATATATATTTATTATGTTTTTATATTTTGATAGAGAGGTTGTTTAATTTCCACAAATTCCAAACCTATTCTTTCTTTCATAAGATTTAAAAAAATATTAATTGAGGATGAGCTTCCATTAAAAAATATTTAATAAATTTTTATAGAACGCAAGACGAGGCAGTTTGTTCTGGTTAATGCAGTATCAATCTCTAATGGAAGCACGGCCACAAGGATTGCTGGAAATGTTGGAACCTATGCTAGTTCGACATGTAGCAATAGCAGGAGCTTTGCATTGCCTTCCATTCCTGGCCACATTGCCGTCTTTATTACCAGACATCAATGATGAACAGTTAAAAGATGTACGTAAAAATTCAATGGATATTAGAAAGGATAATCTGTAATTTACAATATAATAATGTACTTAAAAATAAATTTTTTAAACGTAAAAATCAGGGAATTTAGAAATATATTCCATCTTTTAAATTTAAATTTTTCTATTAAAATTTTCTATTAAATTTTTCTTATTTTCTATTTTCTATTAAAATTTTATTTTCTAATAAAATTAAACTTTAAGGTTTATCACAAACTATGATATTTATAAGATTAGATTTTGATTTTTAACATGTGATTTACAAACTTTTCAAATTTGAATAATCTTGATTTAATATTTTTATTTTAAAATTGTCAGATTGTTAAATATTTGAATTTGAATGATTTTGTATAAAATATAAAGTAAGCTTTAGAAGAGAAATTTTAAAAGAGAAGTTTCATGTTTATTTATAATGCCTTATAAACACAAAATTTATCAAAATTCATTATACATTTTAATTTTTTATTTAATTTTTGTTTTGCAGATAGGCATAAATTGCGATACAGATCGTGCCGCTATAATGCTAGCAGTTGAGAATTATTTGGCAGAGATGAAACTAAATGAATCTACATCACCCACAATACCTTCTGCGCCTCCTGAAGAAGCGTCATCCAGTAATCAGGACTGCAATTTCACTCAGAACATTAATATGATGGAATGCGTAATTTGCCTCGATTTGCAAGTATGTTTTTCTTAAATTTTATATATATATATATATATATATATATAATATGTGTGTGTATATATATATATATATATATATATATATATATATATATATATATACACACACACACACACACACACACACACACACACACAGGGTAGATCATTTTAATCAATACGCGAATATCTCAGAAACACTGCATTAAATCGAAAAATGTTTTAAACAAGAGTTCTATGGCTTGAAGAATCATCTGAAAATCACGTGAAGGTCATCTCCAACTTTTTAAATGGGACATCCTAAATACTTTTGTATATTTTTGTAGCTTGCCTCAAGAGCTTTCCAAAACACTATAATAAAGTATTTTTTCAGTACTTTTCGAGTTATGAGGATTAAAATAATATCTTAATTTTACATAAACCATAAAATATCTAGTAAAATATTCATTTTTCGATTATCTTACCTTAATACATTTATGCACAAAATAATGTGAGAAATCGATGTAAAGAAAAAACATAGTTGTTTAAAAAAAAAAATACGGAATTGTTAATTGTAAATTACATATTTTTTTCTTAAAAAGAACTATGTTTTTTCTTTACACCAATCGATTCCTCTCATTATTTTGTGCATAAATGTATTAAGGTAAGATAATATAAATTGAAAATTGAATATTTTACAAGATATTTTATGGTTTATGTAAAATTAAAAAAATATTTCAAGTCTCGAAAAGTACTCAATGAAAAAATACTTTATTATAGTGTTTTGGAAAACTCTTGAGGCAAGCTACAAGAATATACAAAAGTATATAGGGTGGTATATAGGGCCATTTAAAAAGTTGGAGATAACCTTCACATGATCTTCAGATGATTCTTCAAGGTCAAATTAATGGCACCATCTTATGTCCCCCTTCAAGCTATACAACTTTTGTCTGAAACATTTTTCGATTTAATGTAGTGTTTCTGAGATATTTGCGTGTATTGATTAAAATGGTCTACCCTGTGTGTATATATATATATATATATATATATATATATATATATATATATATATATATATATATATAAAATATATAATTTCGTGCATTCGCATTCGTAAGAAATTGTATATTTTATATATATAATTTTAAGACATTACTAAAAAACTGTGTCATTATAATTAATATTATATTATTATATTCTATTATTATATCTCTCTTTGTAGTGTGAGGTCATTTTTCTACCTTGTGGACATCTCTGCTGTTGTTCCACTTGTGCGGACAAAGTTTCTGCAGGATGTCCAATGTGCAGGAGTTCAATAGACCGTAAAGTTCGAATTGTGCAGCCTTAAATTTGCGAAATTCAATTGTATTCAGTTTATTCGTGAATTCAATTCGATGCTCTTCAAAGGTATGAAAATAATGCACTATTCTTCCTAAACTGTGATTATACACGCGCGCGCAAACGAAATATTTCGATAATAGCTATTTATAATGCGCACAACAATTATATTTACCATTGGTAACATAATGCTCATGTAAATGTCGATTCCATATATACACAAATATTTCATTTTATTGGAACATAAGTATAAAACGTCAAGTTTACAAAATATGCAACTGTTACCAATAAAATGGAATACTTTATATGTGTATATATATATATATATAGAAAACATACCAATATTATATATAGTAACTCACAAAATTGTTCGATTGTTTTTAATATTTTAAAAATATATTTAAAAAGAAGAAAAAAAATTAATGTTTCAAAAAAATAATCTAGAAACAATAAATTTTAATAATTTTATTTTAATAGGTTGTTAATGTATCATTTGTTTGTTTTTGTGTGTATTCTTTTTTTTCATGATAAGAAAATTTTTAAAATATTTGATCAATTTCGTGAGTAATTAGATTTTTAGACATAAAGTCCAATTATTTGCTGCAAGAGACTTGACCAGCTCAATATTCACTTTTTTTCTTAATAAGTTAATCAAAATAACATTTCGCAAGTTATCACAAATTTGTTATACTTCAGCATAATCTTGTTACATACATTTTATTGATTATTTAAAAAGTAATCAGATACTAGTAAATTAACTTTATCCACTCATAAATATTATTAAAATAATAAACAATTTATTCCTTTTTTTTCTCTTTATTTTATTTATATTACTAAGAACAAAAAAAAGCATACTACTTTTTTAAATTTAATGTATCAGAAAATGCATCCTCTATGCATCACAGATTCAATAGATTTCTGTATTTCTTTTATTGATCTGTCATAAATCTATTATATAGATTAATTTAAAAAATTATAAGTAGCTAAGCAAAAAATTACAAATTTAGCCAAATACCTATACTTTACTTGCATATAATTTAAAATATATACATAAAATAAAGTATTTGATTTTAAATATAACTTTCAATTATATTTTAAAATATAGAGAAAAATTAAAAATTTTATCTTAAAGGGACTTAGGTATATTTTGCATTCATAATACTTGACATATTTTATACAGTATAGCTACTTTATATAAATCGTGAACATATCCTTGTAGAGTACAGAAGATATAAAAAAATATATATTTGAGCAAGGATGAAGTATAAAACTTGTTAGCAATGGAATGCAAGAAAAAGAATAAAACTCTAGAGCATATAACAGGCTTTTATAATAAATAATTTTTACGACGAAATTTTGATATAAATGTGTAATTATTTCTATGTGGGAACAGTTTTGAATCAATGCAATTTAAATTCCATCTTTCTGTGCAAATATTAGCATTGTCACAATTTTGATCTTGAAAAAAATTCCTGTTAAATAATATAATAAAATTCGTTTATGCAAATCATTGTTTTTCTTTGCAATTTTTAAGTAAATAACCCATTTCCCTTTTTTATGAATATTTTGGGCTATTAATTATAATTATATAATTAATTATATGATAACTATCCTAAAGTCATTAAAAATTTTATATATATATATATATATATATATATATATATATATATATGCATTTATATATAAGCTTATCAAACAAATAAATATTAATTTTAATAAATACTAATTGAAATAAATATTAATTCTTTTTGTTTTACTGTATTTATTTTGTATCTTTTTTTATATTTGAAAATACTTAATTTCTTTTATAAATATCAAATTATTATTATTAAATTAATCTAATAATAAGTTTACTTATAAACATTATAATAAATCTAATTCTTAGAAAACTGTAATAATTTCTCTCCCTGCTTCCTCATCTTCACCATTTATATCATCCTCATCTTTCTTTTGTTGCTTCTTTTTTGATGTCGCATCCTTTTTCTCTTTTTGAACTTTTCTAAAGTTTTCTAGAGATTCTTGTAGCGGATCAACAAATTGATCAAATTCAATATCCACCATTGCTTGAATCACATCTTGTCCACTGATGGTTTTGCGATTGCCTTTCTTAGCTATTATATTGGCAGATGATGTGAGATAGAGTATAAAAATGGATGCAGCCTTTGCCACCGCTGTTCTAGCGTCTTTTCCAACTGTCACTCCATCTGGTAAAGCTTCCTTGATGATTCTCGTCACAACTGCATTGGGCAGGTTCAGATCTTCTAACCGTTCGGCCATCTGATTTTCATTCATACATATTTTAAATTTTATAAACTTAACGTTATAAGATATTGCAATTTTATAAATATGTGCAACTATTGTAATATTTGAAAATCAAAAGAATTCAATTGAAAATAAAACCTATACAATGTAATAAAATTACATTATAAATTACAATGCAAGATGTAAATTATTTTACATTTGTAAACTATTGTTCTACAACACACTTGTAAAATACAATGCAGATATAATAAAAAACGGAAATAAAAATGAGAATTAAATGAAATTAGTATTTTCAAGTTACTTTACATAAGCGACAATAAAATGTCTAAAGGCATAAAAAAAATTACACAAACAAAATTACAAACTAATAGTTATAAAAAGGTGTAAAAAAGAAGTACGATAGAAATTGTTATTATTACCTTGACTTTAAAATGTATCAGAATTTATCTGTCAGAGGTTAGATCTTTCCCGCCAGCGAGCTCGACGAAAAGATAACAGTTTGTACAAAGAACAAAACAGTATTCACTGTACAAAAATATATAAAGAATTAACGTGAGATTAAACCTAGGACAAAATTAAGAGATATATTCGCAGAAGGACAAAAAATGCGATAGTTACATTTTTATCGAGTGCATAAAATATGCCCGGAAAAATTTAAATAAATAATACGACGACGCAAAAAAAACCAAACGCGGAATGATCGAACGAAGACAGCGCGATGTAGAATGAATTTTAGCGATTCGACGTAAGGGATGCATTCGTGCAATACCTGAAGCTGATTCGCCGAGTCCAACGGCAAGAACCAATCACCGCTCGCGATACAATGGCAAGAACCAATCACCGCTCGCGATACGACGGCAAGAACCAATCACCGCTCGCGATACAACGGCAAGAGCGAATCACCGCTCACGATACAACGGCAAGAGCCAATCACCACTCACGGACACGGAGCAGGTTAGATTAGGTGAGGTTGGGTCGGGTGAGGTGAGGTTAGGTTGTTCGACTACGACAGATAATTGATTATGCGCTTCGCAATCTCGAAAACGTCGTCTTTATGAACGGTATAAAGTGTAAAGATTAGTTTCGGCGACTGTATTGCACGAAATACGTACAGTGCCTTGACGGAAGAGCGTGAATAATTCGTGCTCCAGAACTGACGTACGCATAATTTTGGGATCGCGACGCATAATTTCGTCGTCGTTGTGTCAGATTGAAAGAAAACGAGGCACCATACGGAGAAAAATGTCAAAAATCGAAGAGGCGAACGAACATATACGGCAGGCTGAGAAAGCGTAAGCGCTTTCGCGAATATTTTCATCCCCCTCATCTCTACCTTTTTTGACATTTCTGAAAATCGCACGCTTCTCCGTCTCAAAATTATGAATTTTCAAATGCACATAGGTGTATATACAGGGTGGCTCCGAACATTCCAGCTAGACTTTGAGATCTTGTAGGAAATTTAATTCTGAAGAAAAAATTTCCTATAAAGATGGGTCGAAATATGCTTCCTCAAGAAGTTATCGCTCAAAAATCTCTGATGAAGGAAGAGCAAAAGGTGAAAAGAAAATGAAATAAAAAGAAAATGAAACTAAATAAATTTCTTGAAAAAAACGACAAAAATAAAAATCTTTTTCTTTTATGAAAATAAAATAATTTTTTTTTTTAATTAACTTCTATTTTATTTTCATAAAAGAAAAAGATTTTTATTTTTGTCGTTTTTTTCAAGAAATTTATTTAGTTTCATTTTCTTTTTATTTCATTTTCTTTTCACCTTTTGCTCTTCCTTCATCAGAGGTTTTTGAGCGATAACTTCTTAAGGAAGCATTTTTCGACCCATGTTTATAGGAAATTTTTTGTTCAGAATTAAATTTCCTATAAGATCTCAAAGTCTGGCTGGAACGTTCAGGACCATCCTGTATATATATAGGCATTTCTTGATTAGATCAGATTATATTGGCAATTATAAATCTAATATAACGAAAATTATGTGAGAAAGAAGCAATGCACAAATGCATAAGGATTATTTTACTGATTTTCACACAATATTTTGACAAGATTACATGTTCCAAAATGTAATCAAATCACGCAACATTTGGAGGATTAAATATTAAATAATTTTTTTGTAGCTTAAAGCCTACTCTTTTGAAATGGCGACCTGATTATGAGGTAGCAGCTGATGAATACTCACATGCAGGTATGATAAATATTGTAATTGTAAAAATAAAAAAATTCAATTACAATAAAATAATACTAAAATATGTATTAAATTTTTTAGGATTTAACTCAATTTTTTTTCGAGTAAATTTTAAGAAATCAAATAACTTAAATATATAAAATGCATTACATTTGAAAATTAAATCAATTGTATCAAAATTTTGCAAATAGATAATTGTTTAAAAATTTTGTATTAAAGATTTTGCAACTAAAATTATATTTTTTCAATTTTTCCACTAGCAACATGCTTTCGAATAGCCAAATCATATGCACAATGCAAAGACTGTTTGGTGAAAGCAGCTGATTGTTATAAACAGACGAAAGCGTATCCTTTGAAGTATAAACAAACATTCTAAATTTCGCAATTTTGTAAATACTTGGTAAATACTATTAATATATTAGATTCAAAAAATTTTCATTTTTTGTTTTATCATTATTTTAATAAAGCATTAATTTATTATATTCCATACAGAATTGTTATTTTATTTTACTTGATTTATTTTATGTTATATATTTTATATTATAATTTTATTGATAAGAGCGAAAGTTAAAAAGTATAAAAACAAAAAATAAAAAATTGTTTTTTATCAACTTAATATTTTTTTAAACTTTCTCCTAAATCAAAAAAGTATAATTTCCATATTACATTTTCTTTAATTCTCCTTAACTTCAATTTAATCATAATATAGATGGTTCCATGCAGCAAAGTATGTATTAAAAAAATTGAAATCTTAATGTGCAGTGTATTTCGGTATTATATAAATGCAATGTTTTCAGGAGCATCGAACAAGCTCTGCTCATCTGCAAAGAAATGGGAGATCTTTCAGAAGTATCAAAACTAGCTCATAGTGCCTGCAGTCTTTTTCAGCAACATGGTTCTCCTGAATCTGGCGTAAATGCCCTCGATAAGGCGGCCAAGATGCTAGAAGCTACACAGCCTCAACAGGCTTTAGAATTGTTTAAACGTGCAGCTGATATAATCATGGTATGCAATTAATTTAAATTAATACAGATATACATGTATAATTATAAATACACAAAAAGCAGAAATAAATAATAAATAAATTTAGTTATAAATTTGTAAAAAATTCGATTACGTAAAAAAAAAAGATTGTATAAAATTCATTTATATAAATGTATAATTTTAAAGATTTGTAATTTTTTGTGAATTTTGTGAATTTTAAAAAGTTTAAAAAATCATAAAGCTAAAAAATTTTATTTAAAAATTTAAAAATTTTGAAAATGCTAAAAGATTCTAAAAAAATTTTTAATTAAAATTATATCTATAATTATATTAAAATTATATTTTTAATTAAAATTATATAAAATCATAAGAAGCTTTAAAAGGTTTGAAAGAAGATGGAAAATATTTGTTCAGGGCGAGGATAGTCCGCGACACGCAGCGGAATATATGAGCAAAGCCGCGAGATTATTGGTGAAGCTGCAAATGTATGATGAGGCCGCGGATGCGATACGTCGTGAAATTGGCATGTATCAAGAAATTAAGCTTTGGCAATCACTTGGGAGGCTCACTGTAGCCCTGGTGCTGGTACAATTAGCGCGGGGCGATCAAGTGGCGGCCGAGAAAGCCTTCAAAGAATGGGGAAACTATTGCGAACCTCCCGAAGTATGTCAAGAGAATTTATACTAAGAATAATTATTTAATTTATTAATAAAAATACATGAAAAAAATTTAATTTAATTATTAGTAAAATCATTTTATGCTGTGTTAAACATGTGAAAATATTGTGTGCAAAAAAAAAGAAGGAAAATATTAAATAACTAAACATAATTTATTGTTCTGTCAAAAATTTCTTAGCAATCAATATGTTAATAATCTGTCAATTAAAAGTTTGAAGATATGTGCATATAATATATAATTATATATAATTATTCATTTATATAAATAAAAATACAGAGTGGACCAATAACTCTGTCCACCTGGAATATCTCCGTTATTTTTAGAGATACAAAAATTTTGTATGTATAAAAGTTGTACGGTACCAAGAGGGCCGTAATATGCTACTAATAATTTTTTTGTAGATGGAGGCGCTTCAGAGATTTCAAGGTCATTTCCATTTTTTTAAAAAAAACTTCCCTTTTTTTATTACCTATTCTTATAGCTTATCTCGAGAGCTTTCCAAAACACTCTAATAAAGTATTTCTTCATTGAGTACTTTTTGAGTTATGAGGCTTGAAATAATTTCTTAATTTTACATAAAACCATAAAATATCTAGTAAAATATTCATTTTTTATTATCTTTCCTTAATATTTTTATATACAAAATAATGAGAGAAATCAATTGGTGTAAAGAAAAAATAGTTGTTTTTTAAAAAAAATATGTAATTTGCAATTAACAATTTCATATTTTTTCTTAAAAACAACTGTATGTTTTCTTTACACCAATTGATTCCTCTCATTATTTTGTACATAAAAGCATTAAGGTAAGATAATCGAAAAATGAATATTTTGCAAGATATTTTATGGTTTATGTAAAATTAAGAAATGATTTCAATCCTCATAACTCAAAAAAGTACTCAATGAAGAAATACTTTATTATAGTGTTTTGGAAAGCTCTCGCGATAAGCTATAAGAATAGGTAATAAAAAATGGGAGGTTCCATTTAAAAAAATGGAGATGACCTTGAAATCTCTGAAGCGCCTCCACCTACAAAAAAATTATTAGTAGCATATTACGGCCCTCTTGGTACTGTACAACTTTTACAAGTTCAAAATTTTTGTATCTCTAAAAATAACGGAGATATTCCAGGTGGACAGAGTTATTGGTCCACCCTGTATATATCCCTAATTATATAACAATCATTTATTGTATAATGCATTTATAACAATCCAATTTTACTGCAATATAATCAATTAATGTAATCTTTCTTTATATCTTTATTCTTTATATCTTTCTTTTCTATTAAATTAAGGAGTATGCTTTTCTAATTCAGGTGCAAACATTGGAGACGTTGCTACAGGCATACGACAACGAAGATGCAAACGCAGCTCGGGCGGCCCTTAATAGCCCTTTTATCAAGCATATGGATGTAGAATATGCCAAGCTAGCGCGAGGGTTGCCCTTGCCACAGCAAGAATATGCAGTTCCACCCGCTGGAATAAGGGCTAACGCCGCGGAATCTTACGTTTCTCCCAATGTGTCTAAACCCGCCGAAGCAGAAGTTAATATATGTCTTATTGCTATATTTTTTATTGACATTTTATTGATTTTTTATTACATTCGCACATATTATTTTATATCTGATTATTCATTATTTCATTATATCATCAATGACATTGATTTTCTAGGAAAAGAACGACGCAACTAATCAGGCAACGAAAAAGGTGGCTGAAAAGAAACCGGAAGTTGCACCACCACCAGAATCGCAACCAGCGCAAAAGGAGGAGGAAGAAAACGACGAATACGAGGGAGGCCTGTGTTAATCGTTTTTAGATGTAAAGAATTCTCTATTGCTCGAGTAAACTGTTAAGTGTAACGCTTGCATGTATATCGAAAGCACATTATCGGTTTTAACAGAAAATTTATCTTTCAACTTCTAAAATTATTAGAATGAGACGCTGAAATCAAGATGATAAATATTTCTTTCACATTCTACCTTTTTTTTTTTTTGAATATTTCACAAACTTAATCTATTAGTAGCTACAGAATCATTGAAAGATTACAAGATTTAATATAAGAACAACTAAAATTCCATATATACAAGAAAATATATTTTTCTTGGAAGACTTTACATAATGTGTCACCAGAAACAACTATCTCTGCAATGATACGGAGAAAGATTTAAAATTTATTTTTATTACTTTTTTTAAAAGCTATGAATATTAAATCTGGAATATTGTTTTTATATTATCGCAACTACAAAGACTAAATTCAAAATTCAGTTTTTCTGATGAGACATCCTGTACATAGTTATGCTATAAATATTTTAAATATATATTTTATATTTATTTTTATGCATTATATGTATATATATATATTCTTTTTTTATTAAATATCTTGATATTTTTAATTAGTAATTAGCTAATGCATTGTACATATTTTACTTAAAAAGTGAAACATTCCTCAAAGAAAAAAAATGTATATTTAGTTTTTCAGCACTACCTTAGCGATCATTATACTAAACTGTTATATGATTCTGAGAGTTTAAAAAAAAAACACAAAAATACATCCTGATGTTGATATTTAATTTTCAACCTTAAAATGTGTCCTGAATAAAATAAAACATTTCGTAATCGATTTTCTTTTGTAAAATTGAGGAATACATAATGTTCAAATATTTTAAATATATAAATATATATAAATATATATTATATATAAATATTTTAAATATATATTTTATATTTATTTTTATGCATTATACATATATATATATTCTTTTTTTATTAAATACCTTGATATTTTGAATTAGTAATTAGTTATGATGTTGATATTTAATTTTCAACCTTGAAATGCGTCCTGAATAAAATAAGACATTTCATAATCGATTTTCTTATGTAAAATTAAGGAATGCGTAATATTCAAATAGGTTATGTTTGTCGATTTCATATGACAAGGTTTATTTAATATATATAAAAATATATATAATTAAATATATATATATATATATATATATATATATATAATTAATAGTTAAAAAAAAAGAACTAAAAGAAGAGATATGACAGCTAAAAAAACCGACTGATGCAAAACACAAAAAAACTTACCAAAGCTGAAAATACACGGAATCAGATAAGTGCAGAATTTATCCTGTAGCAGCGTTGGATTTTCCTCAGAATTTAAAAGTCGCAAACAATCAAATCACATCACATCACACGTTATCGACTTTATAATTCGCGAGACGGTTTACAAACTCAAAATTGTTGTTGTTCAAAACTGAACGAAAATGGCGCGATTGTTATGAATTGAAAATAATCATAGAAGATGATTGACATAGAGAGTACACTGCTCAGTAAAAGAGCGGAATATTTGATTGACCAATCATGAAAAAGAAATATTTACTTTTTGTCCTAATTTGATGGATATCCGATTAACCACGTCGCCAATTGGTCAATTTAAAATAGGACTCTCTGATTGGTTAATCGTTGCTGGAGCCTAGGCAAAGGTCGATATAATTGGCTGTGATCAATCGTAACGTGGTCAAATGAGATATTCCCTTCTAATTTTGTTATATTATAAAATATGATTGATCGAGCATTCGTATACTCACAATTAATAAAATTATTGCGTCACAAACGTTGTAATTATTAATTTGACATACGCACATATAATATTTTCACGAGAAACTACACGTAAATAAAATGTCAAAGGACTGCAAAAATGTTCAGGGCTTAAAAAATTCTCCATTTCATGGTTAATCGCGTCCGTCTATTGAATATCGGCGATCTCAAATTATTTGTTATATTTTTTAAGATTTGTTTATATTATTTTATTTTTTATTATTATATTTATTTATTATTTATTTTATTATTATATTTATATTATATTATATTATTATTATATTATTATTATATTATATTATTATATTTATATTATATTATATTATATTTATTATATTATTATATTACTATATTTTTTATTATTATATTTTTATTAAAATATATTTTTTATTTATTATTTTATATTTTTTTATTATTTATTTATTATTTATTTTATATTATTTATTATATTATTTATATATTAATTATTTATTATATATTTATTATATTTATTTATTATATTATTTATTATATTATTTATTATTTTTTATTATTCTATTCTATTATTTATTATTTATTATTATTTATTATATATTTCATTATTTATTTATTGACTATCTTCTACATATTTACTATCAATTAAATGAATAGAATACAAAAGATTTGGAAAAATGTAGACGATTTAAATTTTGCGCGCAAATTGCAAGAGATAACACTTGTTTTCTCACACTTATCTACGATGAAAAATTGGAAGAATTTTCGCGACTCGATAAATTCTCTATTCAATGGCCGGTAATCTTTCCGTCGAACACCAGGCGGTAGAAACCCTTTTATTATATCATTATTATATTTTTATTAAAATATTTTTTATTTATTATTTTATATTTTTTTATTATTTATTTTATATTATTTATTTATTATTATATTTATCATTATATTATATTTATTATTGTTATTTATTATATATTTTATTATTTATTTATTGACTATCTTCTACATATTTACTATCAAATAAAATGAATAGAATACAAAAGATTTGGAAAAATGTAGACGATTTAAATTTCGCGCGCAAATTGCAAGAGATGACACTTGTTTTCCCCCGCTTATTTACGATGAAAAATTGGAAAAATTTTCGTGACTCGATAAATTCTCTATTCAATGGCCGATAATCCTTCCTCTCTACCGGGCGGTTCGTATGAACGCCACCTCATATCGCGCCGCGGAATCAATAAATTGTCGGCGGCCGCCGCCGCGTGGCGTCGTGGCGCGCCGCGCCGGGGCGCGCGCGACCCTGAAAATCGAATAAATAGTGGCGAGCGACGCCGGAGCCGGAGTAGACGTCATACGACGACCGACAGCCAGCCGCGAGTGACGCGGGTGCCGATAACTCGTCGCTTACTTCGCGCGATTCGCGACTCACGTCCGCACCTCTTTCCGTCCTCCCCTCGCCGCCTCCGACAAGGGATCGGGATATTAGGGGGCGGGCTCTTTATCACCCGCCAACGGGCCGCACACCGTACCTAAAGCAGCCTCCGGAATCTCATCCCACCGATGAGCGCGCGGCCGGGGCGCGATCGCGCTTTCACCGAGGGTGCCGCGCGAGACAGGCCGCGGCCCAGGCTTTAAATTCAAAGATACGAGGAGGAATGACGCTGGAGAACCCGTTCTTTGTCGTCAAAGAGTGAGTAATCGCGGCCGAGAAATCGATTTTCCTCGCGCGATCGACGCACATCGTATGCACCTATGCATGACATCCGTGCTCGTCTCGAGCCCGAAAGGGAGAAAAGAAAAAAAAAAGCATGGTGATTCGAGTGTGGATCCCGTGCGTATATCATGGGGATTTTTCCCCGCAGGGAGGGAGGAAGGAGGAGGGATGACGGGGGAGCGAGAGAGCACGGATGACAGGAACGTTTGCAAACATGCTGATAACGTGCGCGGCCGATAAGAGGTGTGATATCGCGAATTAAGCTGATGACGACCGATTGCTCAAGCGTTTTATCGCCTTTTTTTATTTTTTTTTAAGAACAGCGTATCTCGAAGCGCGTTATCTCGAGTTGACACATTGCTCCAATAAGGGCGATGCTCGCTTAAGAGGTGCATGGGTTTTAGAGGGTGAATGTTGCACGATGTTGCGTCTCTGACAGATTTGACATTTTAATGAAATGAATGATTTGCGAGCCTCGAGTCGAAGACTCTTATATTTGAAAATTTAAATATTTCGTATCGAATATAAATCGATGTGTATTCGTAAATTCGTGAAATAATTTTCTTTAATTATTAGATAATTTAACGATTCGTTTTGTATGGAGCATATTGTTTTTTTTTAAATATCTATTATATTTTCGAGACTTAAGAAAAAGGGGTGAATTTTACGATAAGAATTTTCTTTCAAAGTCACACGGTTTTTGAAAAGTCAAAATTAAATTGTTCGTTTTTTCTTTCTTTTTTTTTTAACAAATTGATGTAAATAATTTTATATTCTTAATATCAAACATTTTTTGTTTTCATGTATTTCGATGTAAAATATACGAAGAACATATGGTCGTTTTCTAAATAATTTTCGACATGCGCGATACCTAAAAGAGAACATAACCTCTTTTGTAGAGATTTGATGCGAAATACTTACCAGTTAATTGATAGCAGCACGGTCACGATATTATTACATGAGATTAACGCAGATATATCATCATTTTATAATTACATTATTACATATAATTATATCGATGCATGACATGACATTTGATTTCGAAAAAACACGGAAAACATGCACGAGAAAAAATATTTTCTTTAAAATAAAAGAGAGAAATTGTAAAAATTAATTACGAAAAGTAATTACCTAATTTTAGTACAGAAAGTCGTGATTGTATCTAAAAAAAAAATAGAAATTATTTTATAACCATAAAAATATACAAGGTGTTTCAGACCACCCATTTAAAAACTAGAGAAGTGGTTATTTAAAAAAAGTAAAAATATTTTCTTTATAAATCGGGTGCGCTCTATCGAATGGTGATATTTTCAATTTCTGGTTTCGGGCGGAAATAGGCGATTCAGACCGGAAGCGCATTTTTTTAAATGGAATCCCTTATTTTTCATTGCATATTCTTGTAGTTTACCTCGAGAGCTTTCCAAAACACTATAATAAATTATTTTTTCATGAAGTACTTTTCGAGTTATGAGGCTTGAAATCATTTCTTAATTTTACATAAACCATAAAATATCCTGTAAAATATTCATTTTTCGATTATCTTACCTTAATACTTTTATGTACAAAATAATGGGAGGAATCAATTGGTGTAAAGAAAACATACAGTTGTTTTTAAGAAAAAATATGAAATTGTTAATTGCAAATTACATATTTTTTTCTTTTTTGAAATAACCACTTCTCTAGTTTTAAATGGATGATACGGGTGGTCTGAAACACCTTGTATATCTGTAGAAACGAATCGATCACATGTCTAACGTCAAAGTACGAATCTGGGGTTGATTTTAAATTTGAAAATATTGTATGTAACTTCGAATTTGAAAATTTAAATTATTAATTATTATGGTCGAAACGTCGTAATCAATAAATAAAAAATGTCTAGCTAGTTTTGGTCGATTATATTATTTTCAACGATCCTTTGATTAATTGACTAGCGATATTAAGATAATTTATGTTATTTAAATTATTAATTTAAAAAAAAGTACATAAATTCTTAAGTTCCATTTACGCTTAAGATCGAGCGTGAACGTAAATTTCCGAGTTGCCACGTGTATCCCCCGATACTGGAGGTGTCATATTGATTGATCACCAGGCAAACGTCTCTGCGACTTTGTCTAGATAAGTATCGCGACTTAATTGGTTCGCGCGCTCGACATGGCCTGTCGTGTTTCAGCGAGGTGTGCAAGGCGCTGAACAAAAACCGCGGCTTGTATGGCCGTTGGAGCGAGCTGCAGGATGTCGGGATCACATCGCCGATCGGCGGCGGTGCCCCGATGAGCGGCTCGGCCACGGCACCGCCGATCTCGCGAACGGACGAGCTCGATTGGACCACCACCGAGCTGCGAAAGGCTCTGCGTTCCATCGAGTGGGACCTCGACGACCTCGAGGACACTATCTATATCCTTTTCCCCTCAATCCGAAGAATTACGCATCAGGGTTGGCATGTTTTAAACAATCCCAGACAGCACACATGTCCAAAAGACATCTAAAAGACGACTTAAAGATGTCTTAAAGTCCTTTGGACATCTTTAAGACATCTTTTTGCCTTTTTGTGCTGTCTGGGATGTGTTTAAAATCGTTTGATTAAAACCTCTTCAAAACAGTGGACGCTGTTTTAGACATTTTTGTTTTAAACTGTTTTAAACTACTGTTTAGAACCGTTTAAAAATATTAAAATAAAATATGATTATTTGGAAAAGAGATTATTTAAAAACAAACAAAAACTAATAGATGTGTTGCAAAAAAGTTCTTGTTTTAGATTTTTATCTATATTTATGTAACATATAGATATAAAAATATAAATAATAAAATAAAAATGATAAGATGGGTATTATTTTAGCAGAATATTTATTTTTGCATATTAAATAACAATCAATACAATAAAGATTACTTAGAAGATATTGACTGACTTTACATTTCACATTTTAGTATTTTAAATTAATAGTACATAACTCATAGCAGTCAGTAGTTCTAAAAAAAAGTTCTTCTTTTAAAAAGAAGAATTGAGATTTTTTATTTTTCTTTTATTTATAATTTATGTTGAGAGTTAAGCATGAGGTTACTTAATAAGAATAGGAAAGGAATTAAAGTATTATATATTAAATATTATTAACTAGAACTTTTTTTCTCCAAAAATAAATATTTTGCTAAAATAATACTCATCTTATCATTTTTATTTTATTATTTATATTTTTAATAGTGTTGTCAATTTTGGCAACGTTATTTACAGTTTAACGCTAGCGAAAAATTTAAATATTTACACAGATCAAAGCTATTAAGTGTTTTTTGCTTGTTTAAAACATGCTTTTTTGTTTAAAACATGTTTTTTTATTTAAAAACACAAATAAAACATAAAACATTGTTCTAAACAAAAAAAAACAATGTTTTTTGTTCAAAATAAAAAAAACAAGTTTTTTTGCCAACTCTGTTCCGCATGAATTTCTACTCGGTCGAAGCAGACAGTCAATTGTCTCTGCGAGATCGCGTTGCCAACAATTGTTGAATAAATAATACAATTGTATAATATATCATAGTATAATTGTAATGCGATAATACAGTTGTTGGCAACGAGACGATATTATTAATCATATTAATTATTAACGTGATAGCAATGTGATTAATCAATATGATTAATCATGATAAATGAATATGTATACGTATTCTGTCTAAACTTGGTCCTGTAGTTGAATTCTAAATTTGAAATTGTGTAGAAATTTGAGTTTGATGGATGTAAAATCAAAATTTGAATTGAATAGAAATATGAATTTGAAGAACATTGTATGAATTTTTTTTTATAGAATTGAATTGATTTTTAATTTGAATTATCTACATTGTCCTTAACTCGTACATACGTATCGTTGAGAAAAATCCGACAAAATTCAAGATCGATAACAAGGAGTTGACCGTTCAACGCAGTTTCATCGAGCAAGCACGAGAAGAAGTCAAGGTAATTAATTGTGAATACTTTATTATAAAATAACAATGCGTTATAATCGCTGATTATTTCACCATCATTTGCTGTCTTTAATTTAAAAACAATTGCTTCTCGTGAGATTTATAAAAATATTGTTATTCGCAATATTAATGCTAACTTGATATACACTATTCATTTATTAAATATTTCACAGATCATGAAGGACAAATTGAACTTGAGCAGAAGTCGGGATCGTGACAATACAGCTAGACAGGTTTGTATAAATTATATTTTATCATATTTTAATTATATACTTTATTATAATATATTTATGTTATATATTTATAATATATATTTATATTATAATATATTTATGTTATATATTTATAATATATTTATATTATAATATATTATATTATATATTTTACGGCATTCTAAAAAGTATTAAGTTATACAATATATACATAGCGATAAAAGAAAACGTGAGATAAGCAAAAATAAGTAAGAGAATAAAAACAAACAAAAAGGGGAGATAAAAGATGAACAATGAAAAAAGATAAAAAGTATACTTAAACAATTTCATAATTTTGCATGAATTTTTTAGTAAGGATTTAAAAAAATAATCTTAATTAATAATTATGAGAAAAATGAATATAAAATATATGCTTTTCTTTTTATTATCAACATTGCTTCTCTCGTTTTACATATAGGAAAATACTTGAAATGTGCTACATAAATCAAGAAAACTTCAAATTTAAAATTGTATTTAAATTTACAGTTTTAATACATTTATTATATTTTATTTATATTTATTTTTTTAATTAAATTTTTTATTTATATTTTTTATTTATATTTATATTTATATTTTTATTTATATTTTTTATTTATATTTTTTATTTATATTTTTTATTTAAATTTACAGTTTTAATACATTTATTATATTTTATTTATATTTTATTTATTTATATTATTTATTTATATTTTTTTTTCTTCTTTCATTTATACTTTCTCCTTTATATATTACAAATATATATCACAGTATATCTAATTATTTTTATTAAATAAGCAAAATTTATAAATTGTTTATAAGCAAATTCGTAATTTCCCTCTGTTTTGTGGGGCGAGCACAGTGACATCTATCGGTAGCTCATTATTGAACGATCTTACTCCGCGATTGGTCTATGACATTTTAGTTCATTCGGTGATCTCTAACCTGAAAGACGTGATTTAACATGTTGATCTTAATTGGTGTTATTTTGACAATTCACACTTAAAATTGACAGATTCATCGATTCTTGCAAACGACAATGGTATACACGGTATTCAAAATGTTTCCTTGTGAAACATGAAACTAAATTATATATTCTCTCTAACGTCTATCTAAGAAACGATTACTTATCTAGTTCTCGAAAATTTTTATTTCTCACATATTATATTTAAAATGAATGATAAATTGTATAAATTTTGATTGAATCACTTATCTGTTTTTTTATTATTTTATTTTTTTCTATTTTTATTTGTATTTATTATTTTATTTTATTTATTTTTTATTTATTATTTATTTATTATTTTATTTTATTATTTTATTTTATTTTATTTGTATTTATTATTTTATTTTTTCTATTTTTATTTGTATTTTATTAATATCTGAACAATTATTAAGTCTTTTTTTTAATTGCTAATTATTAAATCTCTAGATGTGTGTTAAATATATATTTTATATTCAAATAAACAAATAAATATAATAATATTAAATAAATATAATTTATTATTTCCATAATATTAATCATATGTTATATATCTACAATAATTTGTATTTATATATGTTCAGCCGCTTCTGGACAACAGCCCGGCACGAGTACCAACCAATCATGGCACCACTAAATACAGCAAGTTAGAAAATGAAATTGATAGTCCAAATAGGCAATTCCTAAGTGACACATTACAACAACAGAACACCATGATAATGCAACAGGATGAACAATTAGACATGATTGGGGAAACAGTTGGCACATTAAAAACAGTGTCTAGACAAATCAACAGTGAACTAGATGAGCAAGCTGTGTAAATAAAATTTTCTCATTTTTTTTCCATTATCTGTGTCATATCTTTCTTTTGTTCATTATGTCTTTATAACATTATGAGATTTCAAGATATATCTTTTGTAGGATGTTGGATGAATTTGGGAATGAACTGGAAACGACAGATTCTAAACTGGATGCTACCATGAAAAAGATGGCCAAAGTGCTGCACATGAGTAATGGTAACTATAACAATTACATTCCTGCTCCCACTACCCCAGTGACATCCAGTGTCACCGATCTCATCTCTGATAACAAGCCCTCCTCTCTCTCCTCTTTATCTACCACAATTACCAATTGTTTCCTATGTTCTAATAATTAATTGTTATGCATTTTTAGATAACCCAAAGGCATCAATGAGAAATATTGTAATCACAATTTTTTTAAGCATTTTTAATTACAAGGATTTTGAAATATTATTTCATTAGCATCTTTTAAGAAAGTACAAATAAAAATAATTTTTTTGAAAAATTAGTTTTATAATTACAATACTTTTTATTGATGCCATTGAATTGTTCTTTAACAATTCAATTGTCCTTTGTGAAATTATTTAGTTACAGAGAGTGATTGTTTAAAGTCTCAAAAGAATACACTTTGATCTACAAATTTAAGACAAGTTTATCTTGCATATTAATCACAATTAGGAATGTTTAGAAATTTAAAGTTACAAGGATCTATTAAATTATATAAAATATATCAGTTTTAAATTTCTTTAAAAATTTTATTGTATGCTAAAGACAAAGGATGATATTGCAAAATACAGCCTACATATTATATGTAATATATTATCACAAAGAATTAGTTGTTGTATAATCTGGACTAGAATCTTTGTCCTAGATAATTATTTATTAAATTATGCCTAAATTATTTTTAAAAAGAAATTTTATGTATATATAATTTATCAACTGCATTAATAATTTTACTATTAATTATATTTTATATTATCAATATATTATATAATTATATTGTTTACTGAAATACTTTAATATTAAAAAATAATTTAATAATTTTCCTTTTTACTTTCAAATTTTGTTTACAATTTATTTAGAAACAATTTAAAACGACTTTTAGAAAATAATTGGCTAGTTAGTAATTAATATGTAATTATATGTACATATAATTATGTACAAATTATTTTTAATAATTAAAACTAATTTAACTTACCTCTTTAGTTGTAATATTTAAAAATAACTTAGACAGAAATTTAGTAAATAATTAACTAATCTTATAAATAATTGTTACTAATAAAAAATAATTTATCTAACCTAAACCTAAACGTTTTAAACCATTATTAACTATTATTATTTTCTGTTCTAATGTATAGTGATGTGTTAATCACATTTTGCATTTTTGTTATCCTTCACTAATTATGATTAGCACTAATTATAAGTAGAAATAAAATAAAGATTAAGAATAAAATAAAGATGAAAATAAGGAAAAATTAAGATTCTTTAATTAGATGCAAACGAGTAATATTTTAGAGTGTAGAACGGATAAATATAATGAATATATTATATCTGCAAACTCTTTTTAGAAAAGGAGAAAATAAAAACCTAATTAGTTAAGTTTAATGGCTGCTACATCAGAGATTATGTAGTTTGTTATAATTACCAAAGAATATCGAGTCTTGTTCAGAAATCGCGAGTGTAGTGTCGAAATCAGGACGGACCAGTTAGACATATATTCCTGAAGGAATATTCTTAATAAAATCATATATTACAAAATATAGTGCAGTTGTTGAATATAATCTTTAAGTACTGAAAGAATGTGTATATCATTCTAAAAGTTGCATATATTTAATTCTTTTTGGAAAAAATTGAAAAAATAAATTAATAAATAAATGATGTATGAAAAATAAAAAGATTTAAGAACATAATATGAGCAAAACATAAAAAGAACTAAAGAATTTAAAAAAAAAGCTAAATGACATTAAAGACAGATTTAGATATTTGAAAACTGATTTTAAAGATTATTAAAGATTATAATTCTTATATTTCTCTAAAAAGCAAAGAAATGAGAAAATTCAAAAATTTATAAAGCAAAAAGTTTTAGAATCTTAGGATTGAAAAATCGATGAGTATATGAAATCAGATATCTAACAATTTATGGATTTAAGTCTTTATAATTTGGAAATTCAAGTATTGAGGAATTAAATTCAGGAATTATGAAGAAATCAAATTAAAAAATTGAATTTCTTCATTAAAGAAAAACAAAGGAATATATCTGTGTGAATCGAAAAGAGCGTAGATTGTAAATGTAATTAAAAATGTAGTTTTATTGTTATCTCTTTCTCTCGTCGACGACCAATTGTGTGAAAAAAGAAAGAATAGAATACAGTGAATAAAATATGAGAACCAATTTGTGTATTGTGAACTGAAAATAATTATAAATACTCCTATTTCCTCGCTGTTTTTTATTTAAAATTATATCTACCGTTACTCATAAAATTAGTCAAATGTTTTTAAAATTATTTTATACACATAATTCTAAAACATTAACAAAACTTTAGTCTATCAGAATTGATCTATTCTACAACATTAAAGTGAAAATATCTGTTTAACTAATGGTTTCTCGGTACAGATATAAAAAAATAATAAAAACAAATATTAATAAATAACATAGTACTTCTTCACAGTGAAAATATATAAATTAATATATTCAGAAGTATATAATTTTTCAAAACAGTTGTTTTCTTTAAATTATCTAAAAAAAATTTGACATCAAATTATATCCTGCTCATTGAATTTTTGCCTGAAACATTTTTCAATGTCATCATATTGCATGTATAATTTAAAATGAAATACTATATTTATATACAATTATATTTTTAAGTAGATTTCAAAATTTTTAATACATTTGATCAATAATTTTTATGAGTAATTGTATAAATTATGATTGGTATTGATATGTTCTCTGTATATTATAGATATTTTGGATAATTTTAATTTTGTTTGTATAAGTTGTATATGTCGTGCTTTCAATGTTAAATAAACAAAGAATATTTTCTGCTTCATAAATAATTTCAAAATAAATAAGTATTAAGAATAATATAAATATTAAGAATTCCAGCATCACAATGTATTTTTATATTACCAGGTTAATTATCATTAATTATCATTAATTCTAATATGAACATTTTTATAAATCCATAATTCTGATTTCGTAAATGACATTAATCTCGTAGAGGATCACGAGTGATGCATGTGATGTTACTTTCCGTTTGTTTTAGATCGGAGACAATGGGTAGCCATTGGAGTGTTGACTGCTATATTGGTGTTTTTAATAATTTTATTCATAATTAAATGAATCATCTCCCGCCTTTTCCAGCTTCTTCTCTCTTCTCTTCCTTTACACGATAAGAGTATACCAAATCCTCTTTAGCTTTAAATGTAATCTAAGTCCCGTTTGACATATTTAAATATTATTGATATAGTGAGATTTTATGAATAAAAAATAAACAGTTAATTATAAAATAATTCTATGACGGCCTCTTTTTAAAATGTCTCTCACATCAATAGCAGATGCAGATTTACTAATAATGATCTGTATAAAATTTTTGATTGCTAATTTTTTATCATTATCATTTATTATGTGCAATAAATGTGTATTATATGTTTTGTAATATATTACAATTGTTTCTTCTCTTTAAAAAGTCTCCAATAATAGATATCTTTTTTATTTTTGCAATATGAGAACATGCAATAATTTCATGAAATTACTCTAGCAACAAAAAAATATTTTATAACACTTTTTAAGATATTTATTGCCTTTCAATGATACAGTTTATAACATTCAAAATTCATATAAAAATGCTCTTTTATCTTAACTATGTCTCCATGTGTAAAATTATGATTGTCACCAGCTAATTTGATTATGAATCTCAAAATTTAGCTATATGGATAATAGTTGATAATAAAAAAATGTTATAAAAAATGATATGATTTTAATAATCATGTAAATATATTTTCCATTCAGCATTTTTCAACGAATGAGAAAATGGAATTTTCTATTATTTTATCCTTATTCTAATTAAAATATATTTTAATTTCATTCTCCTTTATGTTTTAATTTCATTTTCCTTTATTATCTCTCAAATTGGTTGATTATTTTCTTATTTGTAATTTCCTCATTGTTTTACACAGTTTTTAATTATTTTTGTTATATTCGTGAATATTTTCTATTCTAAAATATTTTATTACTTTTAAAAAATCCAAAGAACACTTAAAATTGACATATCCACCTGATATTGGTCTCTTAAATTCTAGATAATGTAACATGGCAGTTATGTGTTATAAATGTATACAGATCTATATACATATTTATACATGATAAAGTAATTATAACAAATACAATATATGCTAATCGAACGATAAATGACGATATAAGTCCCAATGTATATAATATAAAAAATCTTTGGTATAAAACGCATTTATTATTGCCATTATGTGCATGTATAGTTATGCACAAAATTTGTCTGTAATATGTAAAATGCTTTTTAAGTAGATTATTTAAGTAGATGATTTAAGTAGATCAAAAGACTGCAATTTAAAATTTTAAAAAACAGAAATCTATTCGAAATATATGAAAATATAAGTATATTAAATAATTTTTCAAGAGTTTTCTAATAATATTTTTTTATCACAAAAATCTATAAGAATCTATATTAATTATCATCGAGTATTTAAAATTGAGATTACTTAAAGAACTTGTTGCTGAAGATTCAAGAGTCTGATATTTTTACAAATAATTTTTTATAGAGTCATAAAATCCTAATAATATCCCTTCTAAGCAAAAAAAAGAAATGACTTTTAACGATCTAGCTAAAGATTTTTGATTCTTAATACTAAAAATACATAGGATTTAAAAAAAATGTTTTATATGACTTAATATATTTTTAAAAACTTACGCAAAAATGTGTTTGATACGGCGTAAAAAGATTAATTTCAAGGCTCTAGACGAAGACGCTGATAACAATCAGTTGGTAAAGCCTTTCGAATATCATCGATGTTCTCTACTTCGATGCGCAGTCTGCTAACTTCATCTTCATAATTTTTAACCCACTGTGTCTGTAGATTTTTTGCTTCTGTCAAGGCACGGATCCGTTGATCTAAATTTGCGGCTTTAATTTCTGTCTCGGCAGCGACTAGGCGTTCTTCTAGGCGATTCAAATCGACGTCATCTAAATTGTAAAATTAAAATTCATATGCAGAAATCACAGAATATACAAATTAGAATTATTTAAGATCCAAAAGTATAGAAAATGTGAGTTTCTTAGAATGTTTCAATTTTTTTTTCTTTTTCTAGATTAATCGTTCAGAAATCGTTTTAACACATATTCCACATGTTGCAAGCAAACATATACACATAAATAAGTTAAATAAAATATGTAATGAGCCAATATTATGTATATGTACAGAAAATTTAAAAATAGACTTTTTTCCAGAAATAAATGAATTTAAAATTTAAAAAATCGAAAAGAGGGACGAAAAAAATTTACCAATTTCTGGTAAATTCTCGAGTTCTCTAATAATTGCGGCTACATCAGATAAGGCCTTGTCAACTTGTTGCGACGCGAGAGTAACATTGATTTTTGCTTGACCCACTTTATGGTTCGCCTAAAAATAAGAATATTAGATATTGTGTAATTTACATCCATTTTAGATAAAAGATATCCGAATAAGAAAAAAATAGCTTAGTGTATTATAAACGTATATTTATTTCATTTTAGGAAATATTTTTTTCATAAAAATTTTATTTACTTAATTCAATGTATCCTGTACTAATTCAATATATTCCTTGTAATTTTTGTTTTAACATTTAAAACATTTATTAATTATCTATTAACTGCTTATATCCGATATATCATTATTATTAAATTAAATTCTTACCTCAGCAGTGACATTGGCATCCTCAGTCATTTGGATCTCGTATTCCTTCATTATCGAATCTGTGGTATCAACTCTGAGATGTAGCTTCTCGGCTTCGTTTCCAAGCCGTAGAACTGCAATTTTTGTCTTGTTTGCCTCCATTCGAATGTTATTCGCATTAGCGCTTGCTTTATCTGCAAAAGTCTGGAATAACAAGTAATAGATAATGATAGATATTATTTATACATAATGAATTCAGATAATTAAAAAATATACAGGGTGTTCCAAAAGTCCCGGTCGAATATTTCATAAACTATGCACTTTAGAAAGAAATGTTTCAGACAAAAGTTGAGAGACAAAAGTATGGCTTGAAGGGGGCCATCAGATAGTGGCAATGATTTGACATGGGAGAATCATTTGAAAGTCACGTGAAAATCACCATCAATTTCTTAAATGGAACTCCCTATTTTTTATTAAATATTCTGGTAGATCACGTCGAGAGCTTTCCAAAACACTATAATTAAGTTAGTTTTCATTAAGTACTTTCCGAATTATGAGGCTTGAAATCATTTCTTAATTTTACATAAACCGTAAAATATCTTGTAAAATATAGTTGTTTTTAAGAAAAAAATATGTAATTTACAATTAATAATTACATTTTTTTTAAACAACTATGTGTTTTCTTTACACCAATTGATTCCTCTCATTATTTTGTACATAAAAGTATTAAGGTAAGATAATCGAAAAATGAATATTTTAGATATTTTATGATTTATGTAAAATTAACAAATTATTTCAAGCCTCATAATTCGAAAAGTACTCAATGAAGAAATACTTTATTATAGTGTTTTGGAAAGCTCTCGAGATAAGCTACACGAATATGTAATAAAAAATAGGGGGTTCCATTTAAGAAATTGAAAGTGACCTTTACGTCACCTTCAAATAATTCTCCAAGATCAAATCATTGCCACTATCTGATGGCCCCCTTCAAGACATACAACTTTTGTCTGAAACATTTCTTTCTAAAGTGCATAGTTTATGAAATATTCGATCGGTCCGGGACTTTTGGGGCACTCTGTATAACTTTCAGAAAATAAATCACAAAAGATGAAATTAAAAAAATAGCATCGCTTTAATTTTTGTAATAAAAATCATAATTAAAAAATTTTTTCTAATAATAGATTTGAATAATCTCTCTTGCCTGAGCATTTTGTGCTATTTCGCGCGCGCTTTTAGCATTACCCTCTGATCCGTTTAATACTCTCTCCACTTCTTTAGCTTGCATACTAGCAGACTCAATCAATTTTTCAATATCATCAATATCTTGCAAAGCATCCTGAGCTTTAATACGTTCGCGTTGCACCTCAGCGTCAAATTCTAGAACCAAATAGAATAGAAATTAAAATAAAGAATTTTTTTGTAACCATTTTATATGAAGATTTTTTCCATGAATCATACCTCCTAATTTCTTTAAGGTTTCCTGAGCTTCTTTCAGAGTTTGATCGCCACGTTTAACGGCATCATTTGCCGTTTCGTTGGCTTCGTCTAACTCTGCTAAGTGCTCGGCCGTTGCAGCTTGTTGATCTTGGGCTCGATCTAAAAGTTCTTCGCTATTTTTTACTTTTTCGGACATTTCCTTAATAAAATTTTCATTTTGTTCCAGTAATAGTTGTGCCTGCTCTTTTATTCTTAAACCCTTGACAGAAACATATACATCAGTTAAACCTTATATTAACATATCTATGTATGTGTGTATATATATATATATATATATATATATATATATATATATATACAGGGTGAGCCATTTTAAGTTACCCACCCCAATAATTTTTTTATTTTTGACTGTACAACAAAATGTTTCAAATAAAAGTTACTTGACTTCGAGGGGGACAGAAGATGATGGTCATTTTAAGTTACCCACCCCCCAATAACTTTTTTATTTTTGAATGTACAACAAAATGTTTCAAATAAAAGTTGCTTGACTTCTTGTGTATATATATATATACACAGGATGAGAAAGAGAGAAAGAGATTTTATATATAATTAAAATATTTTAATTTCTATCTATTTATTTATAATATTATAATTACCTCATTACTGACAGTTTCTACTTGTTGTCGTAATTGCTCAAGATCGACCGTAGGAAGTGTTAAATCAAGAATTAGTAAATCTAATGCTTCCTGCGAGACAGCAGAAGATTTAGCAGCTGCAATAGCAGTCAGATTCCTTACTTCGTCCATACGATCCTCCAGTTGTGCCAATTTATTTTCCAAACCTCTAATTTCATCCCTGTCATCACAACAAGATCATTTTGTTTTTCAATGCACATAGAACATCGCATGTTTATAAAAGATTATGAATATTACATAATAATATTACTACAGAAGAGAAAAAAATAAAAGAATTATTTAGAATAGAGAGAAATGAAAGAAATGATCTATTAAATTACATATTAAAATAACAGAATTATATGTTGAAGATTAAATTAAGATAAATTAAAATGTTGAAGATAAAAATTAAATTATTAATTATTTTTTCAATCAGATTATTAATTAATTAAATTAATTGATTAAATGCATGAAATTATTAATTATATGCATTTACATATTAAATACATATCACATGTGAATTAATTTAATTAAGAAAATCAAGAAAAAGA